ATTAGGAGATTTTTCGGTTTCAGAAAGTTCTTTTCAAACCGAAACGTACTGGTCGTTGGTCTACTGGTCCTTAAGGTGCTAAAAAAAGAGTCCTCGAATTTCATAACCGTGTGGTTGCCGGCATTTAAAGCTAAAAATTGTCGGGCCTCGATCGCGTGGGCGGCTGCGTTCAGTGAGGCAACACGTTATTTCGAGGCGCCGTATCAGGATCGTGAAAGCAAATTCTTTAATTATCCGAATCTCGAATTTCCAAAATTCGAGATTCGGTTAATTAAAGTGTAATGGCATCGGTGATCTCAAACTTTTCGAATCAGGATTTTTCCATTGGTCTAACTTTGCGAATAGGCGATTGGACGTATAGCCCCGTTTTTCAAGCGGCTTTGTGAAAATTTGTGATTCGGACTTTTGGGATTGCTGTTTTCGAGTCACACGATGGCCGAAGCCCGGATCGCAGGCGTTGCGTGCGCCCCGCTTGAGGCCCGTGCCAGCAACCCGGAAAAATCCACTAAACGTTTTTGCTCGTCACCACTCAGTTTGTGTTTTGATGTGCGTTTGGTTCAACATGGCTGCGCAAAAACTTCGCAGCCAGGTGCCGGTGGTAGCTGCAAATAACTTCCAGATCCTTGGCCAGCCAGTTTCTGGTTTTCTGGTCTGGACAAAAACCTGAAACTCATAAATCGCGCTCTGATCAAAATCAAGAACGCTAGGTGTAACAGTAATAGGGGGGCAAGCTGCTCACAGCATAAAAGATCGAACAAAAATGCCGACAATGAAAAATGAGATAAACGGATACCAACTGAAAGGCTGTGAATTTATGCTTCCACCTTTAGAGACAATCAAGGTTTTTTTTCTAGCAAACTACGCGTTAATTTATTAGCATCAAGTGACCTCTGACCCCTTCTGTCACCATCCCTTTAAATGTCCGGAAAACTTCCTGCCCTGCCCGAGCGTTCCGACATCACTTTCCCGCTGCCGTCAAACGTCCATCCAAATGGCCCCCTCTATGCTCTTCATGTATGTATGTACATTTGGCAATGAGCCGTGAGTGACTGAAGGGAAGAATAGACCCGCAGAGAATGAGAGTGAGCGCAAAATTGGCCAATCGGATAGGCCGATGCTCCGCGGAGGAGAAGCGGAGGCATTATCTCGGATTCGGAGGAGGGGGAAAGGTTTTTCATAGTATGTATGTTTTATATCGTACTTGTTTCTCTCTCTCTCCCTTTCTCTCTCTCTCTCTCTCCCTCTCTCTTTCCCGTTCTCTCGCTCTCTCTCTCATCCCATGATCGCTTTGCATGTATTGCTCGACTTCTTCTAATGTGTGATCAGATTAGACAAAATGCCCCCCGACCGCCTCCGAGCATTCCTTCCGGGATTGGCTTCTCGTGCTCCTTTTTTGACTCCTGCTTCCTTGTCTGGAGCTCCGTTCCTTACTTCCCAGTCCCTTTAAATTCCCATGCAAGATTCCAAAAATCGCCGACCCCAAGAAACAATTTCCAATTATCGCAGAACTTCCAGGGCTTTTCTAAAATAGCTCTTTCAGCAGCAGCGGATCTCTAAAAAATTTCTCTCTGAACCCGGCAACTTTCCACCTGTTCCTTTTTTAGATGTATTCCCTGGAATCCAGGATGCGGCCAGGTGTTTGTTAGATTTGATTAAATCAAGCCTGCAGATTTTTAATCAGCTATTGTGCCTGTTTGGATAGGCGAGAAATGCCAAGAAGATTACAGTATCCTGCTGACAAAAAAAATTGGATTCTAGGGCCCATGATGCAGGCAGGTGTTTATTAAATTTCGGCTGCAGATTTTTAGTCATCGGATTCTGGATTCTGGATGTCTGTTAGTTGCCGGCTAGGACAAAAACACACTGAAAAAGCATGCGCCACAGCAGGCGGCTCGAACTTAAGCCACAAGATGCTTGAGCGATACGGAAGTTGAGCAAAAACGGTTTGATGAAGCAGTAAGCTAAAAGCTGAAACGAATATTTCATCAATTGGGGGCTTGGAAAGGTGCCTCTTTTTGACCTAGGTCTCGACGACTACAGATGTGCCGCCCGAAAACACGATAATTGAAACAACATGTGTGCGTGCGGTCGAGATTGTCTATCGGCTAAAATCTTGCCCTCAATGTTGCCAAAACTTACTGTAGGGGAAAGTCCCGCCTTCCGAGTGCCTTTAAACTTCCGTAAAATCCAGAGATCGGGTAGTTCTACCTGTTTTTGCCTCAACTTTGCGCTCGGCTCTTGCTGCCGCAATTGGCTCAATTAAAATATAACACCTGTTTCCTTCAACGAAATACAGACCCCAATCCTGGGCGCCAATGGTTAAATTTAGAGAAGAGATTTTGAATCGCGAGTGGGGGCGGACAGCATAAAATGCTTCGGGACTGAGTAGTCAAGCGATGAGTGCGTAGTTTGATGCTGGGGCTGAAAATAGGTTAGGCGCGTCCCGGGGAAAGCGCTATATAAAAACCGCAAAGGGGTAGTGTAGCGAACCCAATACCCTCTAACTGTCCGGATAGTCCAGGGGGATAGTCGAGCTTCTTCCTTCAATGAATTTTCTAAATAGCTTTTTCTTGCTACAATAGTTGGAGAATACGGTAGCGCAATCAATTCCAAAACAGGGGCGCACGCTTACATTTTATCGCAGTCATTTTTAGAGCCAAATTGATACCTGACTAAGCGAACTACGCGGTATCCCAAAAAATCCTAAACATATGGCTTTGGGCGATTTTGCATTTTTGCTAATTTTTGCTTGGATAAATTAGCCTTGTTGCTGTTTAAAAACTACAAAGAGCCTGAAATTTGGCCCCAATGGTTGATTTTGTCAAAGTGGCGTCCTAAAACTCCGCCAAGCCATTCGTCGAACTAGAAATAACTTATTTCTGCTTCCGTTTTACGATTTCTTCGAGAATTTGGCGAAATCTGGCACTCTATAGCAAATCTCGCGCACGATGGCATACGATGAATGACCGAATATATAATCCTACTCCTTTCCCCCATTCCGATGAATTTTATGGTATGTGTAATGGGGACTACGTAATGTTTTCCCGTTTCCCACGTTCTGCCCTTTCCATTTTGGGGGGTAGGACTGGACGGAAAAAGACGCATTTTACCCCGAGGACCACCCCGCCACCACCACTGCCACAGCGCATCGTATAATTTAATAAACCAAATAGCCATCCGGCCCCGATTTTGGGCGGAACGAAAAAAGAAGAGGAAAAGGATAATGACTCGAAGCAGGGGGGCGTACGCCGTGGTTTCGGCCGTTCGAATCGAATTCTTCTGGGTTTTAGAAGATTTTTGGCATTGTTTCAATTCGCTCTAAATGCTTATTATTTCCTTTATTTCCCTAGATTCAAAGTTCAATGATACCTATTCCTAAGACGTTTAAACGTTCAAACGTTTAAACTTTTGACGTTTTTTCCCTTGGGAGTTAGCGATATGATTTGGTTTACAATAATTGAAACGTTGAGAAAACGTATCATTTTTAAAGGGATTAAGAAGCTCTTAAATCCACTCTTTCCCCCGGCTAGGTCTCGGCAACTACGTGACTCTCCAAAATCACTCGCCAGTAATCACAGTAATGGCCCATAAAATCGAGGTTTTCAGCAAAACTTAACGGTTTAATGTGTATCTTGGCCTGGCGTGTAGCTGTAAAGAGCTAGTCGTTATAACAGGTTGATTTTCCCTCTCCATAGCCCCTTAAATTTTACCTTTACCAAAATTTACAGGGTTTTCTGAAGCTGTGAAGAGAATTTGGTAATTTACAAGGCATCGGGCTAATTTGCCTATTTAACAAATTCCTTTTCGACACTTTGTCGCATGACTTTTATCACCTAGCTGCTATTGCAGAGCTTCAGCTATTCTCGGCATTTTTGGAACGACGTTTGGCCAGCGGGATGAAATTTTCATATCCGATTTGCGCGGCTTCTGCTTTTGGGGCGTAGGCGGATGTTACGAAAGGGAAGTTGCGCATAAAAGCTAGGAATTTCCTAAACCATGAAAATTTTTGAAGCCCCTAAGAATATATTTAAAGAATAGTATTCTATTTTAAATTTATATCGCTTCGGTTGCAGCTTGCAAAAATTCCGCAAATGATCTCTGCTAGCTGTTCAGATCTGTTTTTTCTAAATTTCAAATTTGATGTGGTAAGTTTTAAACAATTCTCAAAAAGTTGATTGGCTTTGAAAGCGGCTCGGATATTCTATAGAATTTTCATCAATTGACAAAATTTCCAAAATGCTTCTGCTAGTTCGCCTTTTCGTCTCAATTAATTCACTACAGAAAATTGCGTCGGAGCGTTTTATTTTAAGCCTCTAATGTTCGAACTTTCCCCGAAATTTATGTATGGCTTTTGCAGGGCGGAACTACGCTTTTTGAGGGGATGGCCATTATCCCGCGCAAGCAATTATAATTTCAGCTGGCCTCAGGAAAAATGGGGGAACAAAAAGAGAAAAAACTGCGCGGGTTCAATTTCGTGGATAACGCAGAGGAAGGGCGGGGGTGTGCAGGTGGTATTCCGGCTCTACTTAATCTATTTTGCTAGCTTCTTGATACCAGAGAACTCGACAATGTTTGGCAGCCGGAGGTTTTCAACACGGTCAGGTCCCGTCGGGTACTGTAGGCTACCGTGGCTGAATTTTGCGCTTTTCAAACAGTAAACTGTTTTTATATTAGTTTCTCCAGCCTTTCGCTCCGGAAGCCGATACTTTTCACCACGTTCAAGCCCTGCGGCATACTGTAGCAGATCTAGGGTTAATTTCCACTTTAATTTTAACTAGCTTTCATTTTTGTGATCGTACCCTGGTTTTCGCGCTACGTTTCTGCTTTCTCGCTCTTCCTCGCATGTCTTTCGCTCTCTCTCTCTCTCTCTCTCTCTCTCTCTCTCTCTCTCGCTCTCCCTCTGTCTCTCTCTCTCTGTCTCTCTGTTCTCTCTCTCTCTCTCTCTCTCTCTCTCTCTCTCCCATTCTCTCTCTCTCTCCTCACAATATCTTTCTTCCAGGATGGCCCGTCTCTTCCAAATGGCAGTAGTCGTGGCCTGGATGGGTTCTACCTGGGCTGTGCCACAGGAAAATCGTGGCGGTCCGACGAATCGGCTGTCGTTTTGGCCGGGGGTCAGGTAAGGTATCCATTAACAAATAATTCATAACAAATAACAAATAAAATTGACAGTATCACGGTTTCAGTTGGCAACCAAAAGAGAACCGTATCACAGCCGATAGAAGATCACCAACGGCTTCTGCTTTGAGGTAGTATCGAGTTGTTTCCTCGTTTTAAATGTCGTTCCTGTTTCCAGTAAGCTGCAGGGCAATCCAGACCTGAATTTTTTGAGGGATCGTTTGACCGAGTGCTATCGAGCACCCGAATCATGCAAATTGGACGCTGTCAGCAAAAAGGTTTGCGCGAGAATGTGTTTTTGCGAATGTTGCGGTGTTTTTCATTATTTTTCATGGTGGTTTATGCCTTTCTTTCAAAATTTTAATCATATTCAAAGGAAAAATAAACACATGCTTTGAATTACTTTTAAAGGAGCGTGTAAGCGTCAGAATCGACCTCTGAGTCAGCTAGGTGTAGACAGATACGCAAAACCATAAAATACTCTTATTTTCTTGTGAAACTACGTTTCGAAAACACTACTTTCACTTTGCAGACGCGTTTTGGTGCATCGCGTAGCTGTCTAGACCTAGCCGACGAAAGGCGTCGATTTTCGCATTTTCCAAATTTTTAAAGATTTTTATGATACTTTTCAAATGCCTTTCCAGGAAAAAAGTCCATAAACCAATTTCTTATTTTTAGGGAGCCGATCTCCTGCGAAAGATGCACGAGGAGCTGGAGATTGAGTGGCCTCCGATGAGTCGCAGAGACTATCCAGATATCGCTGAAGATTCCACATCCGGAGCAGTGACGGGATTTGATCCTCAGGCTCCAGCCCTCCGCCCTCTGCGCCTACAACACTCTCACTACCTCTACAACCCTCATCTACGGCTCCAGGCATTGGCTGAGCAGAGCAAGAACAAATTTCAATAAAGCTTCGGGGTTGTGTATGTTAATATTTGCCCCCATATATTGTGCTGCATACTAAACGTTGGCTGGATCCGAATAAAGGGTAGAATCTGTTTGGGAGAATGGAAAGTGCATGAAACAAGTTCAGAACCAAAAATGTACCTATAGATTTTGCCTAACCTTACGGTGGTGAATTTCACGAAAAACCTAGCCTAGCTGGCTAGCAAAATTGTCGTTCAGAGCACCGCTAATGCATATCAAAAAATTACCAGTTCCGCGGCCTTCTAGGTTCAAGGCTTTTCATGGAAACGCGCGGGAATCGACAACTACGCGACACTCCAAAGTTCACGCACGTACAGCTACGTATCTCTGAACCCCGTGCCTGACGAACCTCCGCGAGATTATGCTAGAGCGTTTACTTGCGAATTCCTGAAAAGGCGTCCCTAAGATCGAGTTCTGTTCTGTCCATTGTTTTTTGTAAGATGATTTGACTTTTGTCAACGTGTCAATACAAATCACACGCGAATAGTGCGCGAAAATCGCGTCAATGGGCGTATCCGTGGTTTTTGCTGTAAAAATGAACAGATTTTTGGAGCGTAAGTAGCCGCACGGTGACGATTGAAAGAAATGTTTGATTCGAACCAGTTCGAATCAAGGCAGCACAGTGTATCTAACCTATTGAAGGCGGTTGGTCACCGGGTGTAGTTTGGCGCGTAACGTTCGCAAAAGGCTTGACTACGCTCGGATCCAGTAGATCCACTTGAATTCTTTACAAAACTCTACTTCTTGAATTCTTAAAATGCTTAAATGTTATTTTTTGTGTGTTTGAGGGTCACCCTGCCTAACTGTACTCTTCGTGCTTCCTGCCAAATAAATATTTAAAAACATAAATAACCATTTATTCAACCGATCTTTTATTATTACACGTTTTTCCTTGTTGTGGTTATCTCCTTGATGGTGGCAAATAGCATTGTGTCGGGGAGAGGAAGCATACACGGTACCGGTCCACATTCGAATACGTCAAATCTCTGAAACAAGGTCATAAAAATTAATAAAATCTAAATAAATTAATAAAATCACTCTAAAAGTTTTCACCCGCGAAGTGCAACGCTTTCCTATGTCCTTTGAACTTAAAAATTTCATATTCTGTGTCCAGGTGAAAATTAAATTTCGGATTGAAAATTCGAAAAATGAAAAATGAATGGAGGTGGACGGCTGAATTTTTTGAATTTTTGAGTCTACTGATTTTTCAGGTTTAAAGAAAGCCCAAAAAAGTTATTTTCTCACCTGAGCGCCATATCTTTCGGAAGGTAGAGGGTTTTCGTCATTACCGTCTGCTGTTGGGGCCATCTGGAAAATATCAAAATTACCATAATAGGCTACAAAAATCCATAGTTTCCTACATATTTTGCAATAAAGATATCATAAAAAACGGGACATGCCGGTTCCTTAAACGTCCTTATGGATACGGTATTTTTGGTGCAAAACAAGGGAATCAGGATGGTCTCGACTGAGTTTTACCCCAAAATACCGTTTTCCGGCCACGTCCTACGGCCTTCGATGCTTTTCTGCCGCTCAGATAACCGTATTTTGGATACCAAAAGAAAAGTATCTAAGCCTACGATATACAACTGGATACGTGTTCAACTTACACTCACCGTACTTCCGAGCTTACTACCATACCCCTGCCAATACCGCATTTCAGTTACCGTACCTCCGATCCCGAATCCCCAGATCGAGATCAAACGTTCGATCATTCCGTCGATATCTTCCATCTGGGATGAAGAGTGAAGAGCAGAGAAGGGGCAGAAGGAGAAGGATTACTGCCAGTAGCCCACACCGCTCCATTACACTCCAAAAAAGACGAGTGGCCGAGATGGGGCCCTGCAAAATTGGAATTATCGTTGACGCGATAGTCTAGTCGTACTGGGGAAAACAATGGAATTAACGGGGGGTGAAAGGAAGTGAAAATAAAGAGGAACAAGTCAGATTTCAATTCGAAAAACGGGTTTATAGGATGAGTTGACATGGTGAAATCGAAGTTGACGTCGGTGTTATCTCTAGAAATCGCTTTTCGGTATTTTAAAGGTACTAGGAAGGCAAGAATTTCGCGGACATGGATTTTTGGCACCATTGGTCTCGGGTGTTTTTTAAACTCATAGAGATGGTCAAAGGCTTGAAACTAACCTTAGCCGGTTAAAAGCTAAAAAGGTGCTTTCGGGCCCCGGCTTTGGTAAATGCTTGGCAAATTGGTAAAATTGACTTTCCGCTCCTTTTAAAACCACCTCTGGCAAACGCCATCTGTTCAAATATATCTTTCAAGGTATTCAAAAAGGGTAGAATAAGCTTGAACTTCAAGTTTTGCGCAAAGTTTTAAACTTCAATTTATATCGGGCCTAATTTGTGCCAAAATTCAAAAAACATGGACTGCTGTAACCATTTTCAATGGGGCCTGGTTTAAATTTTCGCAAAATAATACACGTTTCTGAAATTATGAATCCAATCTGAAACGAAACATCATACCCAGAATAAGTTTTAAACTTAAGTGGTCTTAAGCTTCTTGTAGGATTTACTAAATTACTGAAATCACTCTAGGCTAGGTATAAAATATTCCCCAGCTCCGCCTTCCTAACCCTGTTAATAAAGCAACACCCTAGTCAGGGATCAGATTTTTTAAAGATCCAATGATCAAGAAAGATGTGCCCGGTGTTTTTTGCGTGATGTTCTTTATTGGTCGAGCTGCTGTCGTCAATTTCATGGTCCGTAAGAGACCAGCGGGCGGTTTAACGTTATGGGGCTTCGCAGTTATTGCGACTGAACTGGGCCGGGAATAGAAGAAACTACCTAGAAAAATGTAGCGATTTTTAGCGATTTTTCGTTGAGTTTTAGATATTTCCTACGCGGAGGTGATGCGATTTTGAAAAATACCTTAAAAACTCAAAATTATTATTGCTGCTGTCTAATATGACTTGCGTAGTCGCTTGGGAATTCTGGAGAAAAATAGTATGATGGTTTGAAGAAAGGCAAACAAGTAGCAATATAAGAAAAAAACTCTGCTCGTAATTATTTAGTGTCATGTAGCTGGCAAGGAAATTTGGAATTTGGATTTTTAGGTTTTTGTTTTTAAATGATTATTTACGCATTTTCTAACATTTTTCACGTCTCAATCTGTTTGACGAATTTTCCACACTAGCAATCTTTCCAAAATTCCATCTAAAAACAATCCTGCTGAATAATAGAACAAAAACTTGGCAAAAATGCATTAATCTTGGCTACTGTAAGTAGCCAGAAACGCCGTTTTTAACCGAGAATTACTAAATTTCGTTATATAGGAAACGTTATGTTGAGTGTTGGATAAAACTAATTAAATCAAGAATTAAAAGACGTAAAAGTAAACAAAACAATTTTTAAGATTTAAGCAGTTTAAACGATCTTTTTTTAAAGATTTCAATATCTGCCTCAACCGGAAACAGCTGAAAAAAGGGAATTAACCGTCTTTTTTCAGGAAATGACCTCTCTGGGAAAAGGAAGGAAACAAGCCAATACACGCCATTCCCAACCCCACTACTCTCTGACCTCTTCCCTTGAAACGGGTGAAGCCTCCCCTGGAATTAACCGCAGGAGGCCAAAAACAATGTGATTGCCCCCCGGGTTGCCGCTGAACGCTAAAAAGGCCGGACCGCTCTGGAAAATTTAGTTTTGGGATTCAGATTGAAAAATACACGAATTCGGGGTCCGAGGATCAGACCCCACCCGACCCCACCCCCACCTCCGCTCCGATTCAATTAGTTGAGCCACAAATGAACGGAGTAGGGGTTATTTCTGCGAAAGTTCTGATAAATCATACCTTACTTTTGACGTGCACAGGAGAAAATAGCGTCTAGAAAAATCTATTTTTATTCTCCATAAATAGTCCAATCGCCTTGGCGTCTTAAAACAGCTTCTGTTTAATGTCCTGCTAGCCAGGTATTACTGGAAATATTTTTCTTAATTTGGGGATACCTCTCGGAATCTCAAAAGTCGGAACTTCGATAACCAGAGAATCGCGAAAATCGAGGTTTTGGGCCCAGAAATTAGAATATTCAGACTCGAATTCTCATAGCCTACGGAAAATTCTAGATTCCCAGAACTCGAGATTCTCAAAATGAAAAATCTTGATTTCAAGGTTTGGCTAGACGGTCTATTGTATATAGACAGTAAAACAAAATATTACGCTTTTCTGCCGCTTTAAAGCGCTTAGGAAGTGCGAAATTCGATCCCTTCAGACTACCAGGTCTCGGCAGCTCTAGATGGTTCCAAACGAGCTAAATCGCAAGTTTTCAAAGTTCTGATTTATGGGAAATAGTGCGAGACGTTAGGCCCGTTAGAAAAACTTCGACGAGCTCAAGCCGTTCAGCATGGCAGACAGAGAGGGAAGCAAAAGTCGGTTCGAACTTTTAGCTTTATGGGTATTCCACTTGTGGCGCAGAAAGGTCAACTCCATCAGCATCCAATTCTAACTATATGCCCAGAAGCGGGATAGGTCATTTCGCGAAATAATTCCACCCACCCGACCACCCGCCCGACCCACTCTCGAATTTTAGGGCCCACCGGGCGGGAGCCAAAATTGGCCCCACCCCGAGTCATAATCTAATTTTTTGGGGCTCCAGGAAAAAGAAAAGTCGTCGTCATCCCGCAGTGGATCGAAAGAGCAAAAAAAATGAAAATGCAACCCTGTTTTTGCTCGCGAAACTTTTTGAGAGTTTGAGAGGTCGGGCTCGAAATTTTTGAGTGTTTTGTTTTGACGGCGCCGGATTTTGGGAGCTGAATTTTGAGTTTTGATATCAAGAGAAAAAAAATACTTTTGCATCAAAGCTGGTACTTTTGCATTATCGGGGGGGGGCTGATCTGTCTCTTGAAGTCCACAAATGCCTAGTAACATTTTAATCACTATTTTAATCAGGTTGTTAGTAAAATTTAGCTATATTTAAAGTACAAAAGCTATCTTAAAACCCCAAAAAATGCTAAAATCAGATATTTTAGTCGAAAATGGCCATTTTTGGCCCTGTCCTAGTCTGGTTGAGATTTTCGCTATTTTCTAATCAAATATTTGTTCCTTTTTACGTTTAGAAATAGTTAAAATTAGTTTGAAACGCCTTGCGTATTTTATTAAAACATTTGGCTCTTGGAAAATGCCCCCCCCCCCGCTAACGCGAAAGCACCCTAAAATTGAAAAAGAGCGCCAGAAATCATAGAAAACCGAAAAATGTCCTAGCTACAAACACTAAAATCCGGAATGGCTACGAATAACTATCGCCTGAAAATTTGGCAGTTGCGCCATTCATTTTCCCGGATTTTCCAGGTGATAATGGGACAATGGCGTTTTTCAGACACTGACGGCCTGGCCCCATAGTTCCGGGACCCAAATAGCAATCGAAAAAGCTGCTGATTGTTAGTGGCTACGTACTAACAACTACGTAATAACATCAAGAACAAGAACAATGCGCGCGAGAATACGCCAAAAATGTATGTTTAGGCGGGGAAAGGTATTGTCAAAGGACAGTACTAGGATTGGGTAAGAACTACACTGGATTCTCACTTTTGTAAAAATAAACAAACGTGAGAATACACAATGATCAGATCCATGCAGGTTCTTTGGCATTATCGGGGCGGGGGGGGGGGGTGTATCAGGGAAAACCAACTTTCTCCTTAAGTATCTAACAATGTAAGGTGCCTTGTAAGGTGGATAGAGGATGTGTTTCTAGGCCGTTTTTACTATTCCTAAACGCAAAAACCGTACAAATTTTTAATAAATACTAACAAAATATGCTTTTTCGATAAAAATTATAAAAATTTTTTCGATTAGACTTTTTAGAAAACTAAACAAATAAATTAATTGTTTGGATAGTTTTTCTACTGGAAATGTGGTTAAATTATACTAAAAAGACGCCCCTCCCCGATAATGCTCAAGCACTTTATTATCATAATCAGAGAGACATAATAATTCTAACTAATTATTAAAGCTAAAATGCTTTGCGATTATAACAAAACAACATTTACTGTAGTAAAATATAATGGTCAGTTAGATCAAGGCCAATTTCAGCTCAATTTTATACAATCTGCAAGCGTGACCTCTCTTAAATGACACACTTTAGAAAAGGACAGGCTAATTGCAAAATTGGAACAGCAGTGAGGGTGGGGGAACCGAACCAGAGCTATTCACACGCAAACGTGAAAGGGGAGAGCTGAAAGGATTCAGGATGTTTCCCTTTGTGACTCTATTCTAGGCGCGGGGCTTGTAAATTATGAACCGAATCGAAAAAGGATGAACAAGGACTAACTGAATAAATGTTGAGGTCAAGGCAGAAACTAGAAAACGACGGCAAAATATTTACAGGAATGGATTTGAAAGTTAATGAGGACCTCAGGCGTTCAGAAAATTTGGCTTTGATCGAAAATTTCACGGCTAATTTTACCATCTAATATCTCTCGTAACCGTACCCAATTTACTTTAAAGGGATGCCGACGGCATAGTCAATCGGTTACGCGCTGGAAAGAAATTGTCTCTGCGCCTCTCCCTAGGGCGCGCTCTCTGCCCTGTTGGCTACTTGCCAATGTGTTGATGGGGGGGATCGACACATGCCGTCCGCAGCCCTTTAAAGCCCATGAAAGCCTAAAGAAGGTAGAATTATGGAAACTTAATGCATACTAATTAGATGGCGTAGGAAAATTGGGCATAGCGAAAATTTTTGAGCTGGTTTAGCGCCGGTTTTGCTACCCCTGAAAAGGTATCACTACCGTAACTTGCCAATATAAAAAACAAATCCTGGAGACAACTACAAGGACCGGAATGAGCATAGTGTAGTACGGCATAACACCTAGCATTAGCAGAACGGTTTATAAAACTCATGAACGTGCTCAACTAGCCAAAAAACTAGAAACTTCTTGAGCTGATTTTGACCTCTAAACCTACCGCTTTACAGGTATCACAATTTATACAACCTATTTTACCTTATTAAACGAAATTCCAAAATTCAGAAGGCTATCCCATTAAACCACAGGCTCAAAACAGTGAATCAGTAGGAACTCTACAAAAATCATGAAGCTTGCTAACATCGCATCGGCAAGAAAACGGAGCCTTTTAAGAAACTTACGAGCTTATTATACCCGCTCCAGGGCATCTAGCTACCATATGCCCAAGAAGAGATCACTGTTCGAATACCGCCCCGAGCTTTATGTACCGCCCTGTAAGGAGGAAACGGGCGGACAGGTGCCTTTTGCAGCGTCTTGTCCACGAACGGGAGGGTTTTAGCGTCAGGTTGGGGGTGGCCACCCGAAAAAAGTATAAAAAAATTACGCAAACCACCTGGCTGTAGATGACCTGCTGACTGGAAATGTGGAGGGAAGAAGCGGAAAAAAATTAGATAAAAATGAGAAGTACAAGAAGCAGAAAGGAAAGGTAATGAAGGAGGAATGAAACATCAGTTTCTGGGTCGGTGGAATAGAATAGCAGGAAATGGCAAAATTTGTGCTCTGCTCAGAGTCCTTTAAAGCTAAACGAATGGCCAGTAGCACGTGACCTTACCGGTAAAATAAGAATAAAGAGAAAAATGCAATCGACCAAAAAGACAAAATACTCCTGAGTTATGATTACGATTCTAAATGAATTTAAAACGGATTGAGCACAAGCTGCATTTTTCGTATTAAAGGGCTCTTGATCGGAATCCAAGAGCAAACAAGCAGAGGCGCCTTAGACTTAAAAGAATACCGAGAAATGCCAATAGTTTTGAAAGTTTTTGGGGCGTCTTGCACAGTTTTAAAGGGGCTCCGAAATCTGGTCCACGGCCCTTTGCGTTGTTTCCTGGCAAAAAGCCAACGCGACCGCGCCGCACGCCGCTCCGCACGCCCCTGTTTGGACGTGAAAACGCTTGAATTTCAAAATTCCTAAGCTATTTCTGTAATCATCGAATTTTTATCATTCTAGACTTTTTAATTATGAAAATTCACCAGAGACCAGAGTTTGGGTGCCTTACAAGGCATTACGACATGAAATCGCTGCCCCCTCAAAAAGTATTTGAACAAAACGCCTTTGAAAACAAATGAAAACAAAAAAAATTGCCACTAATTTTCTTTGCCGGACACAGACGCGTTCCAAAGCTACCTGATCTCCTATCCTCAAATCTTTAGACAGCAAGAAAGCCATGAATTCAGCGGACGAAGCACGCGGGACCAGGCGGTCCCGTGAACTTTGCGAGCCCAAAATCCGAGACTAGTTGCTAGTTTGTCTGTCTGTCTGTTTTCGGTTCACTTTTTGCCCCCTCATTTGACTACACTTCAATTCTGCCGTCGGCGGCGATGATTCATGCATTTCGACTTGCATTTCGCGGTCCCCGCCGCCGCCCACCAGTCAGACGACGTCCTCACCCACTGCTTGTTTTTGCTCCGTTTCTGCTAGTGTTTGTCTGCCTGTTTACCGCTTTCCGCGTAATATTTGACGAGGCGCAACTCGACACGTCGGATTCGCACGCGTGGCCGGACGATTTTGGCATTTCGGCCAGGGCAAACTTTTGCAAGTGATGCATTGCTAAAACGTCAGATTCTGGCTGTGTATCTGAAACCTAAATATTGCTGAAAATTAGGGTAATTTGCCAACCAGCGCGTTAATACATATAACACCGGAGATCCGTATACCATATATTTTTGACGACTAATTTGTAAAAGGGGACTTTTTACGGGAATTTACGCAAAGACCCAGATACCTACGCACACCACCCACACCGAAGCCTGGGATTTTCGATCCTTCTGATTTATTCGCAGTTAGTGATTGAAAATCTCAACCTAAATTTAGAAAAACACCTGCCAGGCGGTGGCGGACTTCACAGAACGGCACAGCTGAAAATTGATCCTTATAGAGAGCATTTTCCAGCTATTTTTTTAAGACGCGTGGGTCATCAACAGAATGTGGAAGAGTATGCTTTAAAGGGGATACGAAATGCCAAAAATTGGGTGACGGCCCGAAAATCGGAGCCCTGTACGTGGGAGGCCTCTGTACACCTGTGGGCGCGGGAAGCTCGCAAATTTGAAATGGCCTGTTGTCACCTCCTAATCACGTTGTCTGCTGTTTCTGGGCAAAACTTGATGATTCAAACACCAAAACTGTTTAAAATTGAGTGAGAATTTCAAAAATAGGCTCAGAATGCGCGAATTGGAGTGTTTTCACAAAGAAACCGGGCAAAAACAACTTCGCGCAAAAATCGAAAGAGTGAGGGCTCTCGTCCCGCAGCGCCCGCTGGCAATTTGCCAGAAATCAAAGAGCCCTCCGAAAAAGGGCAGTTCGGAGCCCCTTTAATCAGAGGCAACTCAAGAAATCTCGAAACCAACGATTGATGCTCCTGTCACAAAACACAGTCAATAACAAAAGGAGGACAAAACGGTCCGACATCCTAAATGAATTGCCCGGAGGTTAACATCAATTTTGATCAAAGCTAACAAATACCTGGAACGTGGAGATTATCGTCTACTATCTATCTTTTACCGGCGCGTTTTTTTTTCAAGCAGTCTGCACCGATCTCATAACCCTGAACTTTAGTTGAAAACATGTCTCAATGCTCCTTACTGTAACCCTCTTATGGTCGAAGTGGAAATTCCGTACGTGAGATAGCACATCTTGTGCAGAATTTTTTGTTGATTCCGAATCTGTTTTCAAAAGTTGCGGAACCCCTCAAATTAAAAAGTTACAAGCTTTTTAGGACCCAAAATGCCAGAAATCGCTCACTTTAAACGTTCTAAAAATTCCGTAAAATAGTTTTGGGGGGAAGAGTAAGGCGTTTCCCGGGGTAAAAAAAACATGCGCTTTCAAATGAGCTGCCTCAAAAACCCGTAGCTCAAAATTACTAAAATTTCGAAAATTGGTCATCTTGGGCAAAGGTCCGCCAAAAAAACTTTTTTGCAAATTTTGGGCTACGGGTTGGTGAGGTAGCCCATTCGAAAAACCACGTTTTTTTACCCCGGTGAACGCCGTACTCTCTCCCCAAAAGTATTTTACGGAATTTTCAGAACGTTTTAAAGTAAGCGATTTTTGGAATTTTGGGTATTAAAATCGCTTGTAACTTTTTAATCTGAGGAGTTCCGCAACTTTTGAAAACAGATTAGGAATCAGCAAGAAATTCTGCACAAGATGTGCTATCTCACGTACGGAATTTCCACTTCGACCATAAGAGCGTTACAGTTAGGAGAATCCTGTTCTTATGAAATGCGAGTTTCGACTAATGAGTGGACCACTTAAGAGTTCCACCTGTCTATTTGGTTGTCCCAATTCGAATGGGTGCAAAAGACAGACGGCCAGCTGGCGCGGTTCTTGCGAGATTCTGAATGTCTCAAAATTGGCTGTGTAATCGATCCTAGCTTCATAATCAACGCATAATTATCGCTATCCAGATGAGTGGCTCAGTTCCAATAGTCTCTGGCTGTTACGAGCCACCAACTATGTATATTTTATACTCTGAAGTGTTGCCCTTCGTCAGTATACCACTAGGTCTCGTCGCTTTCTACCTTGTTATATACCGTACTCCGCCCCATATGAAGGAGATTCGGGTGCAATTCTTGATAGCACATGTTAGTCAGCGTCACACGAAAAGCGTACTAAAAGTTTAGAGCATCTCGATGGTCTATGAATCTGTAATGTTCACCATCGTACCCGAACTGTACTTTCCGGGGTTGTCCGGCCGTATCCTTGGACCATGGGATTCTGTTTTTGGCTTTGGAGCAAGACATGCTTTTGTAAGCGTATACTTAGGCTTAGGCTTACAGCATATGACCTAGCAGATGATTACTGAGTTAGAGAAGCGTCTAGGCTTGATTTTTTATCTCAAGACCTTGCCCTTCAGGGTGCCGGCGCTTTCTTGACCGTCGTCATCAACGAGTCGGTGAAGCAAATGTTTACTTTCAAGCACCAGGCTCTTTTGGATCCGGATAGTCGACTGAAGTAAGACATGTATAGGCTTTTGCTTGCGTAAGGATTTAAAGGGGGTAGGCAAAACGCCCATGGGTTCGGTCCGGGTGGTTCAAGGGAAAGAGCGTATTGTACGTGTTTTTTTCGCGCGATGCGTGCGGGTGCGCGGAATAGCAACCGGTTTTTAGCTGCGCAGGCCTGCTTTCGCAATTGCGCGACGCGTCTATCGCACGCGTTGCGGTCTTCCCTCCTTTCAAAGCTACCGGACGTTTCATTAGGAGCCGGGCCGCTGTGTAGGAAGTAAAAATTAGCCTGCTCAAAACTAAAAGCGCAGCTACCGGTCGATTAATTAAAGGATGCCTCCTTTAGTCGTCCATTCGTCCCTGCAAAAGCCTTGTCAGCATCAGCAAACTAGGCTTCTCAATGATTATTTTATAGAGTTTCAAAAAAGAATTGGTCAATCTACGTGGTCGTTTTCTATATCTTAAATAGCGGCAGTGTTTTTATTGTCGTCGAAATGCTCACTTATGAAAGTGGTCCTGACTCTCCTGGCCTCCAGGCATTCTTTGCAGTAATTTTTCCCGAATGAGCCCAATTTCTAATTACGTCTAGGAATATCCCTGTATGTCGGTGCTGTCAAATTATACGCATGTGTATGCGGCTATGGATAGTAATTTCTCGAATACAAACATCTCAATCATCAAAACTTTTGGGTTTATTGTGTTGTATATTTGTGTGGGAAATATCTCAATAGTAAGTCACATTCGATTGAATTATTGAATAAAAGGTTTTACGAAATACAGATTACAGTAAATACGAGAGGAAAGTCGTTTTAGAATTGTGGCTGCATCAATCATTCTTTTCATATCCTTGAGAAGGAATCTAACCACATGAGCGCAAGTACGAGAAGGATGCAAAAGCGATTTTTGACAACGTTGTGCATCCAGGTTTGTCAAATATTTAGCATGCTCCATATCCTGTCAATTTCTTAGAATATAATCCCTCTAACGGCATCTGGTCTCCCTTGGCTGTATTTTCCGTTTATTTTGATCACAAAGGTTGTGGATCCGCATCCAGGTAAGCGAAGTTACCTATCAAAAAATTTCAGTACGCGCCGCTAGCGGTCAACAACTTTCTCTTTGCTCTCATTTGCTCAAATGGTTTCTTTAATTCGGTCTTTTTGATTGGAGTCAATGATTCGTACCGGAAGGCACTCTATAGTCTGGTCGGAGTGTAGGTCAAGCCATAGCTTGCCTAACTCGGGGTTTAGGAAAAAGTCACCCACCGCCTCATTGAATCCGGTGAGCATCACCGTCAGTCGGTCGAATGAGGGATGAATATTAAAAATAAGATAAAGAAAAGATTTGGCCACACGTTACGACACACGTTACATTACGTGTCTACGTGCTCTACGCTAAGTTTTTGAAATTCAGATAAACCAATCCGATTCCATGGTTGAGCCTCATTGTCAGGAGACGGCGGACCAAGAATGTAATTTTTGATAGTTAGCTCACATTTTATACTCTGCCATACCCCCAGGGGGTATACCCCCCATGGGGGTACAAAAGGGGTACGAGGTGGGGGTACAAAGGGGGTACGGGGTGGGGGTACAAATGGGGGTACCCCCGCCCAGCAGCCTAGCAAATTTTTCTCTAGCGACCTCCCACAAATACCACATGTCGGTGGCTCGCAAAAATACAACAAGAAATGACGAAGTCAGCTGGAATTGTATCAAAGCAGTTAATAAAATCACAAATTTGAACTAAACATTTTTTAAGTTGAAAGTTTATCGGGGACCAAACTTTTTCAAATAAACCCAGAAACCCCTGGTAACGTTATAGTAAGGGAGCCTATTATAGAAAAAACCTAAAATATTTGAGTAAAACCGAAATCTTCGTGGAGCGAAAGCGACATTTTGGGTGCGCGGCGACTACATGTGTAATTCCTTGTAAGGCACCCAATCTCTCGATCCTCGTGATTCTCTGGACGATTTCATAATTAAAAACTCTCAATTGATCCAGGTTCGATAGGGTTTACAAAAAAACCTCAGAATTTTTAAATTCAAGCGTTGTCACCTCCAAACAGGGGCAAAAGATCATAAAAGTTACGCGGAATCAGGAAAGTTTGGCTTGATAAAATGACGTTTGCTTTCCACAGCTAACGCACAAATTATTGGTTATTCAGGGTGAGGATGATCAGTGGCCAAAAGGGTTACTGACAATGCAAGACCCATGCGCAGCACTTACAAATTTGTTAGCGGGGGCGGACCAGGTCCTATTTTTAAAAGTTCATCAGCTTTTCTCGGATCGCCCCATGCCGCGATGAGAAAAATTATCCCGGATAGCGGCATGCTACAGCCATTTTTGATTGCAAACATTTTCACCTGCGTGTTTTCAAGGATGGCCGATTTCAAGAACTTCGCCGCGCTCAATCCCTAGCCGCTAAAACGATTTATCAGTTTTCTTGTGAAAGCAAGTGGCTGCAACTTGATGGCCAGCCCGGAAACATTTACCATCACCAGCTGCTACGATCCTCCGTGGTTTTATGCTTTGTACGCCGATACCATGCCCTTCGTCAGTATCCCGCTAGGTCTAATCGCTTTCTACCTGATCGTTGCCAGGACGCCACCGTATATGAAGGAAATTCGGGTGCAGTTCTTGATCGCACATGTAGGTCGTCGTCATTTACAAAGATTTAGGTTATCTCGATGGTCTATGAGTCGGTGATGTTCACCATCGTCCCCGAGGTCTACCTTCCTGAGCTGGCGGGCCGTATACTTGGCCCTTGGGATTCGTTGTTCGGGTTTGGTGCTCGGCACGCTGTGGTTGGTATCGGAAGCTAACCTTAAAGGGGCTACGAACTGCCAAATCAAAGGCCTTTTGAGAGGGCTATTTGATTTCTGGCAAATTGCCAGCGGGCGCTGCGGGACGAGAGGATTCAATTCTTTCGATTTTTGCGCGAAACTGTTGTTGGCGGGTTACTTTGTGGAAACGTTATAATTCGCGCATTCTGAGCCCAGTTTTGAAATCCTCACTCAATTTGAAATAGTTCTAAGGTTTTAATAATCAAATTTGGCCCAGAAACCAGAACGTGATTTGAAGGTGACAACAGGCAATTTCAAATTTGTACGCTTCCCGCGCCCCTCGACGTACCGAGGCCTCCCACGTACAGCGCTCGGGTTTCCGGACCCCTTTAAAGAGACAAGAAAAAGTAGGATAACTCCAAATTTTAATTAAATTTAAGTTTAAGAAAATTTTATGGTTATGCTCTATATTTTAGGGAGTAGGAGCTTTTCTAACAGTGATTCTCGGACAAACCAATGTGCAAATGTTTACGTTCAAGCATCAGCTACTGCTGGAAACAAGGAGCCCCTACAAGTAAGTCTTTGCTGGGATCAACGTGGAATCAAAACCTAAAGCGGGAATGCAGGGGTTGAACGTAAATGCCGTTTTATGTCGCGATAGTGACGCGTAGAGAACCAAGTAAGTTTTAGTAAGAAGTTTTAGGGTATCAAAAAAGACTTGGTGGTCGTTGCTGATCTTTTTCTCCATTCTGAACGGCTGTCTCGTATTTACTGTCGTTGAGCTGGCCACCTACGAGATGGCGCCCAACTCCCCGGTTCTAGATGCTATTTTTCTTGTATGTATTTTCGATTTAATGAATTTCTTTTAGAAATATCCATGTCTGTCCGAGCTGTCCAATTACCCATTTGTCTATGCGGCATTGGATGGCGGGATTCCGTACACAGACATACCGCTTGTCACGGTCTTTGGCGTTGTTGTGCTTGCCATCTGTATCGGTCACACCGCGCTGGTAAGTTAGTGAATCGGCGTGTCACCTGCGAGTTTCCTGAAACTATGGCCAGAGGCGTATCAGATCCTAAATAGTAGAAACCAGATGGTTACAGTCGCTTCGCGACTGCAACCATCTGGCCTTCGGGCTACCGTACATGTCTAACTCCACCACATCCTTTCCCGCCTCCATCAATACCCCCCATAGCCGAAATCCCGTTCAAAAACTACCTGCATACCTTCCTGATGGCTGCAGATACCCCCCCCATGGCTGAAATCCCCTTCAAAAACTACCTAAATACCTTCCTAGATACTTTAAATAATTTAAATAATTAATTAACATAATTAAAAAGTATTAAAAAGTATATTAAAAAGTATTAAAGTAACTTAAAAAAGCTATCTGGGCGCGGGAAAGGGCCTGGGCAGGGGGGAGGCAGGGGAAAGGGGGCGTGGCATGCCGGGCAGGGTCCCCACCCCTTTTACTAAGGAAAAACTTTCAAAGTTAATTTTAATAATTTAAACTAAAACTTTTTCATAATTTTTTTATCAGTTTGGGGGTTTCTGACCACGCTCTATCCGAATCCGAAGAGAGCTAAGCTCTAGCTCCTTTCCCCTTCGAGTTGAATTCGGCTTCGGACAGACGGAGACCACAACAAAATTATTATAGTTGATTTTGTGGTACAGCCCAATGATACAGTAGCTGTTCAGATATCACAAACAAAAACTATTTGCTTTCCCGATGAGGTTTCCGTTTAAAGGGGCGCGGAACTCAAAATTCTTGCCTGCGGGGAATGAACCTACTGATCAAAAACGAAAGGGTTACTGCCGAGAAGTACCAGCAAGTGATTTCATTGCAAAAAAAGTAAAATAGTTGATTAAAACCGAAATATTCCCGAAGCAAAAACGACATTTTGGGTGTTTGGCGATTACATGTCGTAATGCATCCAATCTCTCGATCCAAGTGATTCTCTGATCAGTTTTCATAATTAAAAAGCCTAGAAGGATCAACCGATGAGGATTACAGAAATAGGTTCCGAATTTTTAAATTCAAGCGTTTTCACTTCCAAAGCGGGGCAAAAGATCATGTGACGCGGTCGCGTTTCGGTAGCATCTGGATATCTGCCGTGGACCAGATTTCGGAGCACTTTTCAGGTACTTTCAGGACACGCTTTGCATCAACCACTCGTTTCTAATCCTTTCCCGAGAGTCGAGTCACATGAGTGCCGCCACCCGACGATTGCAGAAAAGATTTATGATAATACTCTGTATCCAGGTATCTAACCCTGCGTCTTCTTACCTACATTTCAGAATTTCATTCCTCTAACCCTCACCGGCCTTCCATGGATTTATTTTTCCTCTATTTTGCTGACAAAATCAATCGAGCCGCACCCAGGCAGCGACAAAAGTTGCTTCGCTTGATGTGCTGATTTCTAGCTCTCAACAACCTCCTTTTCGGCCTTGGCTGCTCGAATGGATTCTGGAATTCGGCACTTTTGATCGGGCTTAACGACTCGTACCGCGGAGCACTCTACAGTATGGTTGGCGGGTAGGTAGATGATCTTTGGGAGCTAAAATTTTTTTTCAGTAAAACACACAAGGCAAATGCAGTGTCGTCTTTGAGTGTGAGTGATGCGAACCGGAACGAAGTTGAGACCTAATTCTACATGTCGAATGAGCACGACGCCGGGACACATGTATTTTAGCGTGACGCGTAGACGTACTGCGTATGTCTGCACGTCCGCTAAGCTAAAATTTGGAATCGTGCAACGCTCAAATTGTTAGAATGTAAAATAAACCTTTCGGTCCCGTGACAGTTACGCTTTCTACTCAAAATGCTACCTAATTTGCTATTTGTTCTAATTAGATAACCTGTGGAAAAACCCGCTTCGCGGCCCTTTTCGACTGGACCTGGTCTAGGAACCATGAACTCCTTTGCTTTTTTTGAAGACTGCGGCGCAGGAGCCTTTCTCAAGGACCCATTCTTTGGCCCGCGGCGTCAGAGCCAACACCAAGCTGTCCGGGGCAGTGGCAACGAAATGGGCGACCCAATGTAAGGAGGCCTTCCGTTCACTTTATAAAATTTTTGAGCCGCTGAAAATTTGTAAAGATGCGCGTGATCCCGACTTTCGAATCTATGAGTGGTCCAACATACAGACCAAAATTGCATCAGGGTTTCGGGTTATACCCCGGACACCACGGCCCGTCGCACACTTGTAAGATCTTTAATAAATATATTTTTCTGGTAAGTTCAAGCGGAAATTTTCTGACATATAAAACCGCACACATTATCATTCTTTCAGGCAGGAAAAGCACACCGCGCCTGTTTCTCGCATCAGCATCAGCAATAGTCGTTGATGGAAAAGCGACAAATTTGGCTTGAAATGGAGTTGTGGCATGGTGGAGACCAATATCAATAAATATTGTATTCAAACTCATACCCGTATCACAAATTACCGGACAAAAATATAAATGTATTCAGTAAATAGCTGAAAAAGGAAAAGCTATGCACAGAAATTTTAGTCGTCGTTATAAGCGGACCGGAAGTCGAGGCTCCCGGTTTTTCAGATGTCAAGGAAGGCATCGTCGAAGTGGGATCGCCTAAAAAGTCTTAAAGGGCCGGTGAAAGATGGCCAGGCGTCCGTCGGGGTGACGGACCGACGGGGCGCTACTATCGACGGAACACGTATTAGGAATTGGTAATTTTTATGCAAAGTCCAATTTCGGTGCAGGCCAAAGTGAGAAACCCAAAAACGGCCCGGGAAAGAACTCTAGGTTTTACTGATTCGCCTTGTCTATAATTTAAGGACGACAATAATACTCATTTCAAGGAGTACAAAAAACGGAAATACGCTCTTACCCGTAATCGGCCACGCCGTGGGGGCTCGTCGCAAATCGTATGAAACTCCACGAAGCAAAAAGCCTTTCCTCATCGCGCCCGGATTTGGTTCCCAAGAAGCCTAAAAATTTCAATGTTAATTGGGAAGGTAAGTGTAATTCTGTAACTCAAAAAATATTATAAACCGACCCTGAGTAGTTGCCCCACTTGACCCGTCAGGTTCGCGTTTGCTGTTTTATCGTCAAACCTGTAAAACTGAGAATTAGTCTTTTGCAAGCCACAGAAAATTCGCTAAAGCAAAATAATCGCGTTTGCGTTGCTTACAAATCACTAAAAACCTTACGTGGCATTCATGACGTTCCAGACGGTTCCCTGCTGCGTCATTTCGAAAAGCTCCAGTTTCAAGGAACCGCCCTCAACTTTGTCGATCCAAAAATCGACGGTCAGCTCGTCGAGGTATCCGTCTTGCAGCAATTGCTGATATTAAGGTGCTACTATTAAAACTACTCTTTACCTGCGTATACGGCTCGTTTCCAAGTTCAAGGCCCTCGTCGAAAACCCATGGGTAATTCGGGGACGTTATAAAGAAACTGCCCGGTTTGAAGAGGATCCAGTCAGCTGAAAGTTAGCGTTGCGTTAAAGTGTTGGAATTGAACTTACACGGATTATAATCGATGATTTCGAACTTGGCTTCGCAGCCGGCCGGTACGACAATTGAAAATGCGGTGGATAGGATGCGGGACTTCAGCAAATTGGTAGTAGCACTGAAATATACTTTATGACTTTTTGGAATGATAACGGGGCAGTGAAGATCGAGGATCTTTCCAAAAATCCGAAGTTCCGGAGAAAAACTAAGCGTGCTCGCCTGACTTCGGAGCCATCACATGTCGTGATCGACCTGACCCAGTTGATAAAGCTTGGCGAGATTGCGAAATCCTCGAGCGGCACGGCGCAATAATGTTTTTGGTTTTAGCAAAAAAATCGGGGCTATTTTCATCGGATTTGAATGACTTCGGAACAAGCGGATAAAAACGCAGCAGTCAAAAACTACTTACTTTACCCTTTGCAACAGATTGGTCGGGTTGCCATTTCCGGCCGGAAGCCCCCCAGCTACAACATCATAGACGCAACTGTCGGGAGTCTAAAGTATGCCTTGATACCGCGTACAATCTATTTTGTGCGCTAAGCGCTACTTACCACGGCGGTCGACAATAAAAACGTGAAGGGTCGTTTAGGATCACGCGCCGTGAATAAAGCCACCGTACCTCGAGCACTAGTTTTGGACCCGACCGTGAGCGTAGATCTGCAGCAAAATATACACGTGAAAGATTTGGCAGCTCTTACGTCGATAGGGGAACAGAGTCGTTGAAGTATGAGTGGACCGGTAAGAGAAGAACGTCAAAGGAATCTAAAATACAATTTTTTTGTTTGCCAAGGAATTTAATACCTTCCGTCCACTCCTTGACCCTGACACTAACGCCAAACTCGTAGCTGCTGGGGCTTCCAATCCGGAGTATGGCACTGTTTTTGGGGTATGTCCAACTGCATCGGGTCATGTTGTCGATACCATCGTTTCTGGAATAATTCGTTTTTGAAAGCTGTGATAGCTTCTAAATATTTTTAGCCTACCTTATTTAATTACGTTAAAAATTTAAGTGGCAGAGATATTTAAGAACTAAGCTTCAAAAAATGGTGCAGAAACGTAGAAAAATTCATATAATGAGAAGAAGTAAGGAACTTCCAAATCTTTAAAAAAATCGGGTGCAGACGCTTTTAGAAAGTATCCATGTGGGATTTTCAAAGATATCACTCTTTTATAAGCCCTAAAACTCACAATGTGTCGTCTACACAATCCATCAACATCGTCGTGTCATAGCTGAAGATGCTGCCAGTAACATTCCGAACAGTAACATCAAAGATCAAGCTGCAGCTTGTACATGAATTTATCGTTACTTGCTAAGTCGATAATTATTATTTAAAAAATCAGGTTCCAGACCTACCTGGTAGTAATTCAGCGATATCCCATGTAGCGCATAGCTAGGGTTGTCTTCTGACAAATTTATCGTAGGAAACGCTGGGTCGGCAGCTAAAATAATCAATATTTGGATGTCTTTCAGCTTTTTTTGCAACTTTTCTTACAGCGTATCATGTCTTAAAACTCGAACACAAAAATCGGGTAATTTGAAAAATTACTTACCTCTAATGTAACCCAAAAAAGCGAAAATTATGCTGAACAAGAAGCGGCCCATGTCTGCTGGAGGCCCCACTCGAAAGTGTGTTTCGAAGGTCGACCCAAAAATCTGATGTGTCACCCGGTGGGGCTGGGCGCATTTTTATCGTCATTTCTTATCGCTTCGTAAAGCCCCACGCCATCTAAAACTCGTAGTCCATGACGGGGGGTTTCCTGGATGCAAAAAGACAGCTTTTGAAGCTTTGATCTCATAGTTAGTCTTTCGTTTTTATAGCTAGCATTTTTTCTGTGGAACAAATGCGTAAAAAATTGTCTAGCATTTGCAAACATTTATATATTCGTAAATTACACCCGTATACTTATTAAGCAAGTAGTAAATAGATCAGCACCAAAGAGGAAAGCTGCAAAAAGTGGTTGGCAGAAGTTTTGGATGTTGTAAGAATGGGAGCCGAGGTAGGAGTCGGTGCGGGATTTTCAGAAGACGACGGCTCATCTGGTGATGTTGGGCTTTCTAAAAAGGTGTTGTGTGTTAATAATCAGGTATGAAAATATATTGTATGTTAACAAATACCTGTAATCGGCCAAGCGGTCGGGGCTTCCCGATAATCATAGGCGACACCTCGACACAAAAATCCCTTCCTCATCGCACCAGGTTTTGGGATCCAGTTTATCTGAGCAGGACTGAAAGGAAGAGAGAGAAAGAGAGCGAGAGAGAGAGAGGTTGAGAGCGAGAGAAAGGATGAGAGAGCGCGCAAAAATAAGTTTTTTTCGCCGTAATGGATAAGCACTCGATATCAGGCATAGAATTGGACGTACTCGACTCGTTGCAACAAATTTGACGGATTTCCTTGCCCGGATGGGCTTCCACCAGCCACAACGTCGTAGATACACGTGTTTGGGGTCTGAAAAATATCGGAATTTGCATAAAAAACCAAAAACCTACGACTGACGACGCGAGGAAAATAGTGCATGGTACGGTCGGGTTACGGGCTACGAACGTAGCAATGGTGCCGCGCGTACTGTTTTCTGCCCCGACAGTGATCATTGAACTAAAGAAAATGATCAGAAATCCCATGACGCCTTACGTGGCAATAGAGTCATTGACATATGCATGAACAGGCATTGGGACGACGTCAAAGGAGGCTAGAAACGCAAAGTGGTAACTTTTTGGAAACAATTTCGATACCTTCCGTCCACTCCTTCACCCGAATACTTATCCCAAATTCGTAGATGTTGGTATCTCCTATCCTCAGGATGGTACTATCCTTGGAATAAGGCCAACTGCACACAGTCATGTTATCGATGCCATCTTTGCTGAAAACCAGCCTTTTAATACATGTTAACAGGGGCTCCGAATTCCGGTCCACGGCCCCCATGTTGATTTCTGGCAACTAGCCAGATGCCGCGGCAGCGAGACCGTGCCGCATGATCCTTTGCCCCTGTTTGGACTTGAAAACGCCCGAATTTAAAAATTATGAGGCTATTTCTGATCCTCAACGAATTTTGATCATTCTAGACTTTTTAATTATGAAAATTGACCAAAAAATCACCGAGATCGAGAGACTGGGTGCCTTACAAGGCATTACGACATGTAATCGCCGCCCCCTCAAAATTTCATTTTCGCACAAAGAGTTTGTCGATTTTCCTCAAATATTCTACTTTTTTCGCAGCGAAATCAATTTTCTAGTACTTCTCGGCCGTGACCCTTTCGTTTTTTTTTCACCTGTAGGTTCCATCCCCGTATCTGCAAATTTTGACTTCCGAGCCCCTTTAATACCATAAAATACCCTAATTCTGCCTCTCCAGCCATTATTTCTACGAAAATACGATTGTATAATGCTTTAATAGGAATTACCATTCTTGCGTACAAAAAAAATAGGCGTGAATACCAGAAACCTGAACCTACAGCTTACTCTCGACACAATTGTAGAGCGCCGTTTCTGTGTCCTAGCTGAATAAACTCTCCCCGTTACCAGCCCGAATCGTCACATCAAAGATTAACGTACAGCCTGGGCTAGAGTTAATAGTGACTTGCTAAAAATATGGCCATTTGTGTATTTTGGTAAATAATGATTCAATTACCTTATACCAATCTAACGATAGTCCATGAATTGCATAACTTGGATTTTCTACGGTTAAATTTACTACAGGAAGAAGTAGGGCGGCAGCTAAAATTGGTTTTCGCATCTTTAGCGTTTTTAGAGAGTTTTTAGGCATTTTCAGGGCCTCTGCAGAAATGAATAACTTACAACTAATATAAAACAAGACAGAGAAAAATATGAAGTGCAGGAATACCATTAGAACGGACTAAAGTGTTGCAAGTCCCAAAAGCCAGAGCAGAATACGGCGCGTCACGGCTTGGAAGAACTTTTATTCCCACCGCTTATCACTTCGTGAGTCCCAGCCCGCCACCCGATTTTGTGCCATGTGTGAGTAACCGGGTTTGATGGGTGCAGAATGGCACATTTGGACATCGGACTTGAAAAATTATTCGAACAGCATTTCTACTGGATCAGATTTATCGAAATCTGTAATTATGCTATGATTCAGAGTCGTCACCAACATTTTTAGCATGTTCTCTAAGTATCTATCATTTCTTAATGGAATGCTATTATTTGAACGTTTTATTCATGAATACCCGTAGTAAAATTCAATACAAGCACCTGTAAATGATGAAAAACACAAGGGAAAAGGAGGAAAACGTAGTATTCGTAATTTTGGTGGTCGTGGCAGTTGGGTCTGGCGATGTAGAGCTTGGCTCGTCGGTTGTGGACGGAGATGTCGTGATGACTGTTTCTAAAATATATAGGTGCCGTCAGTGATATCAAATTTTTTGTTTCCACAAAAATCGTTTTTAATTTCGTTTATAACAGCTATTTTGCCATACCTGTTACAGGCCAAGCCGTCGGCGCTGCCCGAGAGTCATACGCTACTCCTCGGCAGACGAATCCCTTACGTCCGTCACCGGCTTTCGGGTACCATCCGACCTGTATTAAAGCTAATCAATCGAGGATCAGAACCCCACGGCAAGCCCTTGTCCTGACGAGCCTGTCAGATTTCCATTCGTCAGCACGTTCATCCTAAAAATGTTTGTATTAAGTCGAAGACCGGAGACGATATTGGAAAGACTAGATAGAAGGAAAAGGAAGAAGATTTATCCTAAAATCCAGGAAATAGGTCCGGTCCACTAGAGTTGTTATTCGACCCGGGTCGAAATGGTCGAAACCAGGGCTGGTCATTTCGGACCCGGGGTCAGACCCGGACCCGTACCCGGACCCGGACCCACCCGGACCCGCATAAATTTGCATGGGTCCGGGTGGGTCCGGGTGGGTCCGGGTAGGTCCGGGTCCGGAAATGCAACAAGATGCAAATGTAACAGCATCCTCTTCTTCATCGGATCTCTCATCATCGGACAAATAGTTGTCCATCTGTTTTTTCTCGTGATTTGGGTCTAACTTACCAACCCAAAAAAGCAAATCAATAAGAAAGCAAGTCCTTGAAAAATGACTAAGAATGGATCAAAACTATACATCGGAAATCATGCAAATGACCCGGACCCACCCGGACCCACCCGGACCCACCCGGACCCGGACCCGGTCGGACCCATGCAAATTAGGGTAGGTCCGGGTCCGGACCCGGTCCGATTGGACCCGGACCGGGTCCGGGTCCGGGTCCGAAATGACCAGCCCTGGTCGAAACTTTTGTAGGCTCCCGCAGCGAAAACTTTGTAAAATTCATAACTTTTTTCTGAAGTAGAATTCCGCTATTTCGTCTTCATTTTTGATTTTGTGAGATCATTTCCTACATTTTGAGTCCTTAAACTATAAGTTTTCATGCTAGAATCATAAAGAACGGCCTGCTTGCCTTGTTCCGCGCGCGGCCATTTCTCGGAACCACTTCCCCCCTGCCATGGTGTGCCGTTCTTTGTGATTCTAGCAAGAAAACTTAAAGCTTAAGGACTCAAAATGTAGGAAATGATCTAACAGAATCAAAAATGAAAACGAAATAACGGAATTCTACTTTAGAAAAAAGTTATGAATTTTACAAAGTTTTCGCTGCGGAAGCCTACAAAAGTTTCGACCATTTTGACCCGGGTCGAATAACAACTCTAGGTCCCACGTTACAAGAGTATCATTTGTATTGATGTGTATATTGCACGTACTTACGTAGCGTACGTAATTTTAAATCCTACCGGGACTATACTAGAGTAATTGTTAAATTAACCGACGTCGCGTTGAACATGTTCGAGACGGTCCCCTGCTGCGTGTACTGCTCGAGAAAGATCGACACGTAGCTGCCCTCAATACGATCGAGCCAAAAGTCGACGGAGTAGGTGTCTTTATAGGTTATGGGCAGATAGAGTTGGCTGTAGTTGGCCGGGGCCGTTTTCCCCTCGTCAAAGATCCAGGGGTAATTCGGGGAGGTGATGATGAATTTTCCGGGGCCGAAGAAGCTCGTGACCTCCGCGGCTGCAAGCAGAATTTATTTTCACTACGAACCGTCCGTAAAAATGTCATTAAATAGAGTAAAAAAGTTAGAAGTAAGACTCACTCGTTTGATAATCAAGAACTTGCAAGGTTGCTTCACAACCTGCCGGAATAACGACAGAAAACGCCGAACTGAGGATACGGCTTGTCAGCAGGCTGGTCGTAGCGCTAAAATTATTTTAGAATGACGTGAAAAAGCAAATTCTACGCATAATTCGAAGCGTAATTTAGTTTTTAAGGGTCAGCAAATACTTACTTTAACCGTTGCAGCAAATTTCTGAGGTTTCCATGCGTTCCGGGCGCACCTCCAGCCACAATCTCGTAGACACACGAGGCGGGTACCTAGTTTATCTGATTAGATTTTTGAAAGAGCAGTAATTAAAGAAATAGATACTCCATATTAAAAAAATGCTAGTTCCTGAATCTTACCACATATGCATTCAAAAAGTACGTGCACGGCTCCTTTGGACTGCGAGCAAGAAAAGTAGCGACAGTCCCTCGCCGGGCGTCTTTGGATCCGACGGTGATCTTGGATCTAGAAATATTATTTAGTAGTAAATATTCCTTAATATGAAAACATAAATGCTAGGCAAGATAAGCTTACGTTGACATCGTGGCATTAACATATTCATGAACGGGCATCAGCTTTACATCGAAGGAGTCTGTAATTTTAGGCGCGGATCCAATTTAAAGTTGTGGTTTTGACTTTATTCTTAAAGCTTCTTCGAAATTGATAATTTAAACTTTCGAAGGTTCTAGTTTAATATACCTTCCGTCCACTCCTGCACCCGTACGCTAATGCCGAACTCGAATCGCGTTGTAGCGCCGATTTTCAGGACAGTACTACTCTGGTTATAGGCCCAGGTGCATTGTGTCATGGTGTCCATGCCATCGTCTCTAAAAATATTTTTTAATCTAGCATACAACATAGCAAAAATCAGAACGTGCCAAAATTATCTACAAACTTACAGGCTATTCGGGGCACAGTTGTACAGCGCGGTTTTTCCATTGTATGTGAAGCTGATTTCATTTGGTGTTTCCCGAAAGGTTACGTCAAAGATTAACTGGCAATTTGTGCAGGATTCGATTCGGACTTGCTAAAAATATAAGGATTTAATAAGTAAAGTAGCCTACCTCATAAAAATCCAAGGTAATACCGTGAATAGCATAACTTGGATTATCGGCCGTTAGGTATGCGATAGGAAGATCAGCGTCTAAAATCTCGTCTTTTAAGCAGAATTTGATAATCCTACTATATATAAAAAAAATAGTGTCTGTGTGTGTGTGTGTGTGTGTGTGTGCCACTTTGCATGCAACTTCCGTCAGCGTGTCCGGAGGATATCTCAAGAGGGGAGGGGTGTAAGGAGATGTTTGATACATCATTAGATGTGTAATGGTCTATAGATGACTGCACACATATCAGATTTTGTAAAATATGTTGTTTTCGACATTAAAATTAGATTTTTCCTAAAAATTCGGCCACCCACTTTGTTAGGAGAAAATTAGCATACGCCGGAAGTTGCAGTAGCCTATATAAAGGCCCAAAGGAAGCATTTTTCATTTTTTTTTGCCATCGGAACTGGGGCACAATAATGCAAAATAGAGAACATCATAGGATTAGACGGTGGCAAGGGTTGAAAAGTCGCGAAGCGGCTTTTCAACCCTGGTTTAAATGGATTTATTACCAAAAAATGTAGAAATTTTTAGCAACACTTACCTATTAAAGAAATTACAACAGCAAGAACAAAACCAATAGCTCGCAGCATTCAAATTTCAGCACAATCTTGAGCAATCGAATCGGGCACAGACTGGGTGCGTTGGACAGCTCACCTGGCCTTTTGTCTTGCATTTCTTTTTGAGCTTATCACCCCCAAAAATGTGCCCCTCCCCCACGATTTTGTGTGGTGAGTAACGGGGCTTGGAAATATGAAAACTATAAGGAGTCGAGGTTTGTAAAATCAAGTTTCAAACCATTTTCTCATGCCAACGTCGAGAATTTAATAACGACATAGGCCAGGCTACCACATTGAAGACAGATAATACCGATCAGAAGTTGATGTTTTTATAATTTTTACCAAGTTGTTTGATTCATCTAGTTGTATTGACGGCGGAATAGTGGTTAGTCATCTGCTACAAAAAGCCATAAACCAAATATATATCCAAAACGCATATTTACTTTAATGCAAAAACCCGAAAATCAGCACCAAGAGCAGGGAGCAATAAGGCAAGGTTCTGGGGGAAGCTTTCGTTGTCGTTGTTTCGACAGTATTAGAAGATGTCGAAACTGGAGCTTTAGAAGCAGAGCTCGTGGAAGCCGGTGCTTTAGCAGCAGAAGATGCAGAGGTAATAGCGCTCCGCGTCGTTGCCACCGACGAACCAGGGTTTATTAGGGCTGTAGTAGTTGTTAGATTGTTTCCCGTGACAGTAACTCCCGTAGTCGCCGGAGTGGTAGTAATAGTATCTGCAAAAAGACCCGGTATGGAGTAGAGATGTTGCGCAAGCCGACGCGACGTCGGCATAACATGCAAATTGGGATGCAAAGTACAAAATAAGCACGATGAAACGATTTTTTCCCTTTGCATCCTAATTTGCATGTTATCCCGACGTCGCGTCGGTATGCGTAACATCTCTAGTATGGAGTCTGTAAGTTTTGCCGCATGCAACATGCAATGCTCGCTCTTTTCGCAACTCTGATTTCTTTTCTCTCTTCTCTTTCTCAGGAGCCGATTGCGCGAACATATGAATGAGAAACAAAATGGATTTTTTTGCTTTTGTTGCAAAAAACTTAATTTGCCCCATCTCTTGAGGCGCATAGACTCACGCATTTCCGACTCCGAAATTCTCTCCTACTATGCTATCCCCTGCTAAAATTTGCAATATTGACCTGACGGTGACGGTCGATAGTCGTACGCGACAATCCGGCACACAAACCCCTTCCTGCCCTCATCTTCGCGCTTTGGGAACCAACCGATCTAAAAATTTAATGGAACCGGGGTCAACTTATTTAAGATATGTGCAAAAACCTAGAAAAGGAATTCTTATTCTCGATCGGGGGTTTAGTTGCCGCATACTCACCACAAGGCCTTGCCCTGACGATCCAGTCAGGTTTCCGTTGGTCAGCACGTCAAGCCTATAAAGTCAAGGTTAAAGGCGATAACAAGTTGCGTCGTTTTTCGTATAATGGTATGTAAGAAGTAACCGTAAATCGTAGTAGGTTCAGTTAATCTCATTAAAAACCCACGTAGCGTTCAACTCGTTCCATACATTCCCTTCTTGGGTGTACTGCACCAGATTGACGGTGACGAATCCGCCTTCGATTCGATCGAACCAAAAGTCGACGGACATTGTATCTTTATAGCTGATGGGCAGATACATTTGGCTGTAGTTTGTCGGGACCGTTTTGCCCTCATCAAAGTTCCACGGGTAGTTCGGGGAGGTGATGAAGAATTTTCCGGGGCCCATGAACCCGGTCACTGCCGCGGCTAAAAAAGCGTTTTCTGCTGTGATTGCATTAAAATGTTTATGCAAACACATTATCGTGATGTCATTTAATACTATATATTCTGTAGAAAAAAAAGCGTATATTAAAAGTTACTCGATTGATAGTTGACAAATTGTAGGGTAGCTTCACAGCCGGCTGGAAGGATGACCGAGAATGCAGAACTCAAAATTCGACTCGTCAAAAGGCTCGTTGTTGCGCTAAAGAGCAGAGGATTTACTGTAGTTTTTTGATAATTAATGAATTAACGTTCTGAATGATAAATGCATACTTTAGTCGTTGTAGAAGATTCAGGAGATTTCCGCTCTTCGAAGGCGCACCTCCTGCGACGATGTCGTAAACGCAAGAGTCAGGGCTCTAAAAATTATACGCATTGTAAAAAAGGTGTGAAAATTTATCTAAACTGGTTGTAAATTTTTATCCAATAAACCAAAGCTAATCAATATTAAACTTACCACGCGTGCATCCAGGAAATGCGTGCATGGATACTTTGCATTTCGGGCGACAAACGTTGCTACAGCAGCTCGTTGGCTCGTCTTTGAGCCGATGGTTATCACCGAGCTAAAGACAAGAAAATTCGATAAAGGAACAAGGTATCCTACGTTGAATAAGATGCGTTGACGTATGCATGGATTGGCATCAGCTTTAGGTCGACGGAATCTGAAGTTAATTGATGATCTGACACACCCTTCCAAGCTTTTTTATTTTGTCTACATCCACTTAATGCGATTCCAGGCAATTTTAATATAGATTTTTTACTGTGTTTCACGTACCTTCAGTCCACTCCTGCACTCGTATACTAATTCCAAATTCGAATCGAGTCGTACTCCCAATTTTCAGCACCGTGTTGCCCTGATCGTAGATCCAGCTGCATTGTGTCATATTGTCGATCCCATCGTTTCTAAAGTAGATTTATATTCTGATATAAGTTTACTATTAAAAATAGACAACAAAAATTTTTCAGAATAATGGATCCAGCCATTTAATGGAGATAAATAACTTACAAACTATTCGATACACAATTGTACAGCGCTGTCTTTCCATCGTAGCTGAAGCTGATCTCATTGGGTGTTTCCCGAAAGGTTACGTCAAAGGTTAAATGGCAATTTGTGCAGGATTCTATTCGAACTTGCTAAAAAGCATAAATAGTTTAATCAAACAAATTAAAAATCTTATATAGCAAAATAGCACACCTCATAAAAATCCAAAGTTAAGCCATGAATGGCATAAGTCGGGTTGTCTGCCGTTAGAAAGGCGGCTCGGAGATCGGCATCTAAAGCTCTTTATAGCTTTCTCTATTGTTTTACAAGATTTGGGGATCATTACTTACCTATTAACAAAACGTTAATAACAAGGAATAGGAACGCAACTTTGATCATTCGATTTTCTGCAGAATTCGGGCAATTCCGAATTGGAATGGGCCGGTCGCGTCATTGCTGTCTTCCATGTCTGGGGTTTTATTTGAGCTTATCGTTTTCAAAGGGCCGTCCTCCCCCATACTTTTTTAGAACGTGAGTAACGGAAATAAAAGAGCACAGCTAGCGCCACAAAGTTCAGGATAAGGTTCAGAACTTTTGACGATTTTTCTCAGGGAAGCGTCTCTCTCTCCCTCTCTCTCCCTCCGTCTCTCTCTCAATCTATCACGGAGTCTCTCTCCTCTCTCCTCGCGCTCTCTCTCTCTACCTAACTCTCTCTCTCCTTCTCTCTCTCTCTCTCTCTCTCTCTCTCTCTCTCTCTCTCTCTCTCTCTCTCTCTTTCTTTCTTTCTCTCTCTCTTTTGCTATCTCTATCGCTCTTTCTATCTCTTTCTTTTTCTCTTTCTCACTCTCTCTCTTTCTCTCTCTCTCTCTCTCTCTCTCTCTTTCTCTCTTTCTCTCACTCTCTCTCTCTGTCACTTTAAAGCAAAACTAAAAATATTTATTAAACAAAATATTATACCCTGTAGCCGTAATTTTCAAACAATAAAATAGAATCAACAAATTTAGAAAAAGAGCTCAGCAATTCACGATAACTAGGAAAACTGAGATCACGGAGATCAATACTGAAGAAAATTTCGCAGCAAGTTTTGTAGTTGTAGCCTCGGGATTCATGGAAACTGTAGATACAGTAGATTCTGTGGAACCAGTCGGTGCAGGTGCCGTCGGAGCCAAAAGCGGAGTTCCAGTTTCCATCGTTAGCATAAAGCCTTTCGGCTGATCATCCTGGTTGGGGTACCATTGCACCAGGACCTCATGACCGGAAATGTTGGCGAATCGGCCAGGCACCGTGGAGGTGTAGCTAAACAGCAAGATTACGCTGGCAAAAATCCGATCGGCTGGGTATCTAATGACAATGCAACGCTAAGCCATGCAAAAAGCTATTATAATCGTAGCTCACTTGTATTGTCTGTAGTCGAAACCATTCTGATATTTTTCTGTGACCATAATATCCAGCTGGCCGCCGAATAAGTTTGTAACTTGAAAGTCGAATGGCAGCATTTGCTCAGCTACGGCCCGAGTGTATTTCTAAAGTAATAATCTGTTATAAGAATCTGTTTTAAATAAAAAAAGCCAGACGCTAACAAAATCTAAAAAATGTGAGGGGTGGTAAACAATACGGCAGAAAAATGCTAGAAACAGGAAAAAACCATGCTTGCAAACACATCTGACATTTGAAACCCTCACCTGCTCATAATATTCCTTATGCCTATTCGGATTATCGTAGAGATATGGAAATTCGGGAGATGTCATCGAGTAAGCCCCAGTATCGAGATAGCCATTGAAGTTGTATTCTAGAAAACCATTGATTTTTCACTTATCTAATCGAGCAGCAGGAGGTTGAGAACGTATTAATCTTACCATTCAACCATCCGTAAGTTTTTACCGCAGCAAAACAGTCGGCCGGGACGACGACAGAAAAAGAGGATGACAGGATGCGATTCATGCCCGTGTTCCGCGTGCCACTAAATTTTTATTATCAAACTACGCGGTAATTTTGTATTATCAGAATTTTCAGAAAAGCAGCCACGAGGAGAAAATGTTCATAGCAACGCCGTGCACTTACTCGATCCAGACTAATGCATCGGCCAATCGTGGAATGTTTGCCGGCGTTGCTCCAGGCACGATATAGGCCATACAGCGGTCGGAGGGTACCTATATAGATAGAGGTATTAAATTTGCTTAGAAACGCTAGAATCGACGCTTCCAGTTGGCTGGGTCTCGACAACGCTAAAAAGCGTTAAATCGATAGGGATAATCAAAATGACGCGGACAGTTCCAGGGGATAGATGCAGTAATTTTAATCATTTCTCAACTTTCAATATCCACTCACCACAACAAAATCAAGCAGCATCGTGCAGGGATTTGTTGTGTTCCACGCTACGAATGTGGCGACGCTCACCGTGTTGTTGTTCCCGACGTAGACCGTGGCCCTAAAGTTTGATTAGGTGTATATGGCATTAGAAGGACCGAGAAAAATACGGCAGCAAACCGTACGTTCAGTCAACTAGCGACAAAAAAATATGATGCATGGCAAAGCTCACCCCGCCGTTTCCAGGGGTCTCCTTTCTGGTTCCGGAAACACGAAAAAGTTGGTAGCTAAAAAAAAATCGAAGGAATTTGCTTGTCAAGTAAGCTTCTGGATATAATCGATTCAACAAAAAGATATCAACCCCGCTAAAATTCGTTACCTGGACTCCACTCCGATACCCTGACGCTCAGCCCAAACTCGTTAATTGTCGAATTTCCTATACTGAATAGCACTTCGCCCCGGTAACTGTACTGGCACGTCTTCAAAGTATCGATCGTATCATTTCTAAAATCATGGTAATATTGTATAAAATGAATAAAATACAGTCGTTTTAGATTGTCAACTGAAAAACGCACCAGCTTGATTGGCCCTTTAGTGATCAAAATAGATTTTTTAAACCTACAGATTTGCCACACAACTCGATAAATCCACATCGAAGCCATTAATTCTGAAAGGATCGGCATTATAATCCCGTAAAGTGACATCCACTAATAATGTACAATTTGCACAAAAGGCCACAATTTGGACGTCCTGAAATCAGATTAAAATAGAGACTAATGGTGCAGAAACCTTGTATTCCGCAAGTAATCTCCCATGCAAAGCATAGGAAGGATTTTTATCCTGCGTCAATAGTATCGTACGTCCGGGGTCGGCTGCTACGATAAAGTATAAAAAAATTGGCTGTATTTGTCGCAGTATTTTATAATTGATATATTAATCAGCTTTATTAGCTTTTTTTTGCTTTATTTTGAAAGAGTTTAGATCTTATTTGTCTGAAATGCATATTTTGTTTTTCCGATTATTTGAAACTTAAAGGTTCATTTTTTACGAAGTCAGCAAATCAACAACTTAACAAACAAAAACGAAAAAAGTATCACGAAAATTCAGGAGTTTTGTAGTTTTTCAGTTAATTCTAGTGCCTTAACGGTTGTTAATGGGTATGGGAAAACTTAAAGTATAGTTCCTACCAAAAACTATTGAAAACGTCAATAAAAACGCAGCGTAGTGGATGAAAAATGGCATCATACCCCAGAAGGCAAGCGCCACGCAATGGGCTATCAACGGTGCCGTTTTTCGATTTCCTCGCCGTTTTCTTCCTGCTTATCTTTTCTGCATTTTGCTTCAGTGAGTCAAGCCCAGCTTTGTTGGGCCCTGTTTGCACAGGGCGTGTGTTTTCGGGTGAACAAGTACGAACGTTTCAGGCCTGTTGAGTTGGTTAATTTTTTCCATCTTGGTTAACTCGCTATTTATTGAATTTTTCAAAGTTATTTTAAAAACCAAATTGAACATTTAATTCATCTAAAATTTAAATTAAAAATCTTAAACCTGTTTTAAATGGTATTTTCGGATATTTCCGATGCCTTTAGTTTGCAGGCTCAGTTTAACCTGCCATACCATTTATATGTAGCGTGCATGAGTCTTTTTCCAGTATTTCATCGATTCGCGTAGAAAGTTGAAATTTTCAATGTCTTCGGATGTCCTTCGAGGTTTGCAAAATGTACAAAATTGGCCAAAGCAACGAGGTTTTTATGGTGCTTCGATTTGCGATTAAGCCCAAAAATTATTTATGTCAAATTTTACTAGTTTTCATATTTTTCCGTAGACCCCCGGATTTTTCACGGGGTTTTATTCGCACGGTGTCAGTTGTTTACGACATATTCTCACACTAGCCGGTCCGAGAAAATCCCATCTTTATTATGAATCACCCGTAAGTCAGCAAGTATCACAATCAACACCACAATTTCGACAACAACAACGCCACAAAGGCGAATGGCAAATAAATAGTGAAATGGGTCGAGGATTTCGTGGTTGTGGACGCGATCGTGGCTGTTGACGTGGGATTCTCGGATGAACCTGTAAAAGAGTCAAGATGACTTATAAAATCAATAAAATCAGCCTTTAGAAACACATTTATGGTTTTTAAAGGCGTTGGGACGCGTCAGAACTGACCCTATATTTTCACTAGGTATCGGCAGCTACGCGGCGCTTCAGGTCTATCCTCCTTCTCATTATCTCTCCCTCTCTCTCACTCACGCTCTCTCCTCTCTCACTGACCCTCTCTCTCGCTCGCTCACTCTCACAGTCTCTCTCTCACTCTCTTTCTCTCTCTCACTCTCACTCTCTCTCTCTCTCGCTCTCTCCTCTCTGTCCCACTCTCTCACTCTGACTCTCTCTTCTTCTGTCTCCCTCTCTCTCTCCTTCTCACTCTCACCCTCTCGCTCTTTCTCTGTCTCTCTCGCTTACCAGTTGGTAAAACGGTCGTTGGAGCCGTGGGTGATGGAATTGGAGCACGGGCCGTCACACGGAGGATGAAGCCCTTGCGTTGGGCAGCCTGGACTGGCTCCCATCTGACCTGAAAAAACACGAAGTTTTACCATCTTTTTAAGGTCTTCCTTACCCTCATGGATTGCCCAAAAAATCCATCACGCTTTTCGAATGGCGTATCGACCAGAGATCTAAAAATCGGGGTTTTCTAAATTTTTGTGCGATAGGAACTGCTTCATTTGACGACATTCCGTCGTTAATTATATTTTCTAAGGGCTTACGTATAATTCGCAAATCCAATTGGATTGCCGGCCTGGTCGAATTGTTGAATGCCAATGTACAACGTCCCCCCAAGCTTGTCTTGGATCTCGAAATCGATCGGGAATTGGACCGCGGGGAGGTTGGTGTTCAAGTAGCTCTGATAAACATTTTTAACTTTACCATATATCCGTTTTAACACTACCATATTTAGGTAAATTAATACCAAATATATGTATAATTAGAAAGCGTACCTCAACAAAAGCGTCATTTTGCGTGGTCGAGTCGTCAAATACCCAGGGATAGTCCCGAGAGGTAATCACGTACTTGCCTTCGTCAAAGATACCGTTAGTCTCCATTTCTGAAACAAGGGATTACCATAGTTTATTATAGTTTATTAAAATGTGATGCTTTATATAGTTTATTTACAGTAGTGCGATTACGCTATTCTATTTCATTTTAAAGAAATTAAAAAATATTAAAATATCGGTAATCAAGGTTTTTTTCTACGAACGTTGCGGGCTTTTTTGAACGCTATTTTATTAATAATAAATAGTTTTGAAAAAATTACGGGTTTTCATACAGTATTATAACCTACGATGCCTAAATTACGATAACGCATGGCGGACGTCAAAAAGCATTTACCTGGCGGCCAATCATAGAGCTGCATTGAGGCCTGACATTTTGGTGGGAGTACGATGGAAAAAGCCGACGATTGGAAGCGGTTGAAGCCGACGAGGTCGTTTGGCCTTAAAAAGCCACATTTTTCGTTCAGCTGTAGCTTACTGTAACCGGAGGAGCAGATTTTTGTCATTTCCATTCTTGGACGGTGCTGCACCGGCAACAATCGTTGGGGCGCAGAACTTCGGGCTCTAAACGTATCTGTCACTTAAGACATGTTTTAAATAATAATAAACTTATAAAAATAGGAAAAATATAGTTCAAACAAATCAATTGCAAGCTAGAAAATTCGAAAATTAAAAACGAATTAATGAAGTTTCTGGAATTTTTCGAATATCGTGTTCGCCCTCTTAGCGTTTCTTGGCTTGCCAAGCTCTTTAAAAAACCATCCAAAGCCTTACCACGTTAAATCCGTACAACAACGCAGTTGGGAATGTGGTATTCCGGGACAATACGGTGATGACGGTTCCGGTTGTGCCAAGGACATCACCGACGGTGAACGTGGCTCTGAAAAAAGGGTTTTGACATTGGTGCGCCATTAAGCCTGATAGTCCCAGACGCTAGATATACTTTAAAAACCTACCCCTGAAAATTAGCGCCTCTCGGTGCCACAGGCATGACAAACGTAGGGGCGCTGTCTAAATTATTAATTCTTCAGGTATACACGGATTTCAGCTACCATCGGTCCATTCTTTGACTCGGACACTAATGCCCAATTCGGTGACATTCCCGGGCTGAAGTAGTACCCGGGTTTGGTAGGTCCATTGGCACGTCGACAGCATGCTTTGGGTATCGTTTCTAAACAGCAATCATCTTACTGTACCCTGAAAGTTCCGGGAGGTAATTCTATAGATTTTGAAGGTATAAAATCCATAAAAATTGTAAAACGTCCCGGCTGCGGAATCTTTTGGGACGTTTATTTCGTTTTGTAGCTCATTTTTTCTATAGCTTTTGCCAATTTAACGCTACTTACAGTGTTGGCACACATTTTGACATGTCCACCGGCATCTGGTTAATGTAGAAAGCATCGTCCTTCACTTCTCGCAAAGTTACGTCGACGACCAGGCTGCAGTTTGGGCAGTTGCTCTCGACTTGGACGCCCTGAAATTTAGACAACCATTCGTTAAAGAAATAACAAAGTACCGAAATCGACCCTTTGTAGCGACTAGCTCTAAACGGTTACGCGACACTCCAAAATACCTGTGAAAGCGGCGTCATTTCTCGAAATTTCGTGCACGCCGTAGCTGGGGGCCACTTTTTGGCTGTTGCTTTAAAGGGACCGTTAAGTCAGGAAAATGGAGAAGGACTCTTTAACAAGCTCTAGACAGCTACACGCCGCTCCAAATGACGCTTGAAAAACAACGGAATTAAACGCAATTCAGCACCTTGCGTAACTGTCTAGGTCTAGTTGACAAGAGGTCGATTCTCGCGGTTACCGTGGTATTTTAAGGGAACAAGTAGTGACACCTAACAAAAAAATTGTAGTTCTTAAGCAACAATGGAGCCATCAATGGCCCTGTAAAACTTACAATCAACTCAGCCAAGCGAATTCCATGCAATGCAAATGACGGGTTTTCTTGGGTCAACGCGATGCCCTTGGCGACAGGTTCGGCTGGAAAAATTACATCTTCATGGCCTTAAAATCCTCAGCTTTCCGAACTACACTAATTACAACGAAAACTCATACCGTATGCTCCAATTACCATAAAATAGGCACAAAATAGCCCGAAAATCCCATCAAATCGCGTCATACTTTTTGGGTGAGTTCTCGATTCTGACGGGACCGGCAGATACGCCGGGCTTTTGACCGTTTTTATCAGTAGTCTGGTGATTCATCACGATGCACCTAGACCCCGGTGGAGGGAGAGAGAGAGAGAGAGAGAGAGAGAGAGAGTGAGAGAGAGAGAGAGATAGAGAGTGAGAGCGAGAGCGAGAAAGAGAGAGAGAGAGAGAGCGAAAGAAGAAGAAGACGCACCCAAAAAAGGGTATCTGCGTCTGATTCCTACGCGCTTTGTGGATCGTGAAATATCACCCTGATGAATGGGCATTTTTGTGAAATTTTCATCGCGCCTAAGGGCGTGTAATCCGGGTGAATCAGAGGACAGTACCGTACTATCACAATCCTGTGCAAGCAAAGGGTAAATATTGGGAAATTCTGCAAAAGAGGAGCTCCACGCAACATGCGTTGCAAAATACCAAAGGAGTACCGCTACTTAATTCTGCCGCTTTTTACCCTAAAGCGTCGTGACGTTGTTTGTTAAAAGCTGCCATTCCTCACGAACACCTCAAAATAACAATATTTATTTCTTAGATACACCAATGCCGAACTTCGAGGCCACCTCGCCGACACCAAAGAGCAATCTTTGGATAAAGCTGCTCTTTTCGGGCTGTGGGTCGTGCACCAATGGGTCGCTGGCGTTGCATCCGATTTGCCCGTAGGTGGTCACCTGAAAAAAAGCTGATACACAAAAACAAGAATCCAGAAAGCAGACCGCTGCAATTTGCATAAACCAGCTATTCGATCAACTCACTTTTAGATCAAAGTAATGGCGATGATCCCAGATATACAGCGACACATTGTTCATATCGAATTTCAGCTGATCCGAGCACGCAAAATCTTCGCCGGTCGGCGTTCCGGCGCAGATTTTGTATTGACAGCCCGGCGTCATGCAATCGGGATACCTTGAAAATTTGTATTTACAGGTGATTCTTGCGCATTATCCGGGGGGGGGGGCTGTTATCGTGGGAGAATAACCAATTTTCCTAAGGCTCTAATTTTTCCAATATAAGCGGTGAAGACTTTAAAAATTACCATTAAAAATAGAAAACGTCGATTTCACGACCAAAATTGTAACCAAAAAAATTCCATTTTTTTTAAATTGCTTTCGACTTGTATAGTATAGTCGATTTTTCCTAAAAACACCATTAAAAACTTTCTATTGCGTTAATAAACGTGTATCGAATTATAGAAAAAGTTCAGGTTCAAAAGCGCCATGAAGGGCAATTAAAAGCTGAATTATTTGCGTGCATGGTTTGGTCACAATTTAAATGCCGTAAAGTATCGTGCTTATATGCTAACTTAGCGACTTTTTCGTCGCAAAGTTTTTAAAAACAACGTAGCGCATCATTGAAAATGAAAATGTAAGGAAATAGCTAGATTTGTCTAGATAAATTTTTATCATAGCCCACCAAATTTCCATCTGATGATGATAGCCGCGCATCAAATTTCGTGGGTTACAGGGCTGGCTGTCGTCATCTTGAAGTATTCATTGGAACACTTAAAAACTATTCACGCTTACCATCAGTCCCATTGATATAATCCTTATTACAGCCGGGCAAATGCGGGACGATGTCGCTGCGGAAGATGACGCGGAACCTGGAAATGTAATTCTCTTAATTTTTGTTATTTATTAGCAAAAATTAGATTGAGATTTTTAGTTTTCGTAATGAACGTTTAGGCTAAATGTTTATTTAGTGCTTTATTTAATTTTAATGTAGAAGGTTGAAAATCGGAAACAATGAAAAACCCACGCCTCCGGGACCAAGTTGTTGAACGACGCGGCAAACTGGACATTCCCGACCCTCGGCTCGCCAAAGGTATACATTTTGATTTGCTGGCTGGTGCGGAGGCCTACAATTAATAATTATATGACAATTTGTCAGTTTCGAGCCAACCTTGAGCCGCAGTCCTTGCTGCCGCCAACGTCGCCAGCGCGGCACCAAGTGAATGGCCGGTGAACACGACGTTGTAGCTCTACAACCGGAAAAAATTGTAGCTTTTACCGGGTCGTATCAGCTTCAAGAACACGGTGTATTTCCCTATTCCTTAAAGGGCACGTTCAGCGACGTTTTTTCAGAAAAAAGCAAGGACTTTTGCCGCGGCCGGGGGTCGAACCCGGGTCCCCCGCTCGGGATGCGCGGATGGATACCAGTCAGCCACAGCTACAACCTGGCGAGGGGGTGAGGGGCGCCCCACGCCGCAAAGGAGGGGAATGGCCTGTCCCAGCACGGGCAGGCACTGCGCGCGGTCCCTACGTCCATAGGGTGTACAAGTTGGGACGAGTACACGGCCCCTCCCTGAACGTGCGCTTTAAAGGGGCATCGAACTCCAAAATCAAAGCCCTTTTGGGTCTGATTCTGGGTCCCTTTTGGGTCCAAAATCTCTGATTTCCGGCCTATTGTCGCGGAAAGAGGGCCTTACGTTTTTTTGCGCGAATTTTCTTGCCCGATTTCTTTGTCAAAAACCAAAAATAAGCGGATTCTGGGCCCATTCCTGAAATCCTCACTCAATTTTTAGTAGTTTTGGTCTTTTGAGCTTCGAATTTGGCCTAGAAACAGACGCGTCGACAAGAGTGTGATTTGGAGGTGACAGCAGGGAATTTCAAATTTACGCGCTTCCCGGGTTCTGGGGTGTGCAAAGGCCTTCGACGTACAGGGCTCCCCTATAAAAACCATCACCATTTTTCCGAGCTGTTAAGTATCAAATTCAATGTTTACTTTCCACTGCGGATCAGCCAACGCCTGATAGACCGGATCGAACAGTAGATCGCTGGCTTTCGCAAAATACGAATTCACCTAAATTAAAAAGTATTACAATTTGCCAATTTTCGCTCACCAATCCCATGCCATAATATTCTTGCTGCGGCTTCAGCGTCGACCAGCCCTCCAGGATTAGCTGCACATCGGTTTTGGTTCCTCAAAAGTCAGAATTTTTGGCTACTATATTCTTGCAAATTTCTTTATTTTTAAATTCCATTCCATACCTCTAAAAACGACGATAATCTGCCTGAGCACATCGGATTTGACAATGTACCCGGAGCATAGTTGAGTCAACGCATCGCAAACTGTCGTTTTCTGCGACACGATTTGCCATTGATTCTTGGAAGGGAGGACGCTAAAATGGCCATCCTCATTATTTTCTAGATTTGGTTGTTTTGCAACGCTGCTACAGATTTTTATAACCTTGTGAAATTTGTTAACTAAAGTTGGCTAAGATTGAAAATTCCCTTACTTTTGAATGCAGGGTAACGGCGAATCGCCGTAGGCTGCGGCGGCAAAATTCAAGTAGGTCTTTGCATCCTGAAAACCAGCACATGGCTCTTGAAGGGATTGGAACATCAGATTCTTATTCTCGAGGACATAGCCACGGGGACAAAATTCTCCAAATTCGAATTTTGTCGCTTAATTTTTTGCCGTTTGATTGGCTACCGTAATCGGGCTGGCTTGCTTGTTTTCTAAGCAAATCGATGAGATGTATTTTTAGAGCAAATTCTCCAAAAAACAGCAACCCACCGCCTCATTGTAGTCTGTGGCTGCAGAGATAAGTAATGGAAGAGCTGCGACGATACATAAAAATAGTCCCGGATTTTTAGAGGCCATATCCGACTATCTGGTTCCGGACTAGGTGTCGCCCAAAACTAGCACAATTACCCTCTCGGGCCGACCAGCTGAAAATGTGATTTTGCCGGCCAGCCACCTCCCTCCGGTTGCCCTGGTAAATACAAGAGTGGAAGGGTACACAGAGCTATTCTTTCCGCTATTAGTTTCTCTCTCTATCTCTCCTTCGCTCTCCTGGTCTCTCTCTCTCTTTCTCTCTCTCTCTCTCTCTCTCTCTCTCTCTCTCTCTCTCTCTCTATCTCGCTCCCACACCTCTGACCTGCCATAATTTCCACCTTGGGCCACAAACAGAACGGAGGCCGATGGCCACCCCCCGATGAATGGTGACTCAAAAAATCCGATTCGGGTACTCAAACAAAAATGATGAGAACACAATTTTTCTGCTACTTGTGATTTCGGGTTTGGTGGATGGGGGCAAGTTGCGAAATAAGGTATACAGGGTGTCCCAATCTTTTTGGACTTTGCATCGATTTGCATCGAGTTCCGGCTGAGAATCCCTAATTTCACTTAACATCGGGGGCGACTTTGGTTACAAAAATTGCTGAAATCAACGGTTATTTGATGAATTTTCTATCAGGAAAAAATTTCTAGGGGTATAGAAGGCTGGCCGCTTTATTTTCACTTAGTATTCGAAAGGTCGATTTCGACGAAAACCTATGAAAACGCATTATAAAGTTTATTTTTGTTGTATCTCGAAAACTACTGTGGCGATCGGGCTATAACTCAGGATTGTGGTTATTTCGGGTCTGATACACCTCTCGTCCAATTTTGGGATCAATCGGATGCAATACGGCAAAATGCTGGAGAGGTGCTTTTTTTGGGACACCCTGTAGTACTCGAACCGATGGGAATTGGACGTTTTAAAAGGGCGGGTAAGCCACGGATTTGCGGCGTGCCTTTAGAACAATTTTTTTGCGCTGCGGCATGCTGATGCTACGAAAGCTGTTGCTCGACTTGACTGTCGGCTTTAACTGTGCACCAAATTCCGGCAAATACAATGCTCAAAAGTAACCAAGCTGAAGCTGATTGCAGATTACGTAGCACGGCGTTACTTACGGCGCGCAAAGCCATGATCTTTTTTTGTACGTTTGTCTGCGCTGGAGCTACCGTATTCCGTCGTGCTCGATGTAGTGATGGTTTGCGGCAAAAAGGTTCACCTGTTGCGATCTCGGTCCTGGGCTGTTAGCGGGGGAGCCAAATTTTCCCCCTATGATTCTCTATCGCCCTGTAACAATCGACCATTCTGATTGCAGTTTCCATAATTTTTAGATCTTAATACAATATAAAAATCATAAAATTTCGAACATTTTTATAATTTTCCGCAGAAATTTATGAAAATGACCAAGAAACGTCAAAACTCTAGAATTTTCAAATTTTTAAAAACATTTTTGATAACTTCTTAACTTTCAAAGATTAAGCTAATCAAAAAGACCCAAAAAAGACCAAAGACCCACCGGGAAGTATAGGTGCAAAAACAAAAAGCGTTTTTACCACCTGCTGAATCCCCCACCCCCGCTAACAGTAAAGAACCGCGACATCTTTCGTTCGGAACAGCCTTCTCTTCAAAAGTGAATTCTCCATCCAGGCTTCGTCATAACAATATTCCAGCATTTTATCTGAAAAATCGACTCTTTCGGCATTCTTGCTCCAAAATTTCCATAGCTCTCATGATACCGGTCCCACCTCCTCCAGATTTCGCATTCAAATCCGGCCGCCAGAATTAGGGCACGATCGCAAAGAGGGTGCCCTCGAAAAAACCCGCTTTGCCCCCCGTTGCAACTTGATTCCGAACCGGCCCCGGCGGCTTGTGCCCTAAAAATGAACGGGGGGAGGGCTGCCAGCTGCCAGCACGACCCAGATTCGAAGCTCTTCCTCCTCCTCACCTCACCTCACGCTCCCCGCAAAAATTATTCATTTGGCGGTCGGAGCGGGTCTGTCCTGACTGTCACCACCACCGACTGACCCATTTGCATGGCTGGGGAGGGGGAGCTGTGCCTCAGCCCTCGTCCTCCCCCCCCTGGCCGGAGTGGGGCAAGCAGACAAGCCTACTGACCTCATTTACTGACACTGAACACCCCCACGAATAATGCATTCTGGCTGGACACCACCGGGTTGACTGGCAGATGGAGCGGGGGAATTAGCATCAGCAGTAACCTAGATTACTGTGGGCAGTAGCCTTATTTTACCGGAATTTGACGCTATACAGCTTGTCTTTGGCCAATTTCGTTTTTACGCCTGAATGCGGTTCCAAAAGCCGAAAGCTTAACTTTGAAAAGTATAATGTTGCACCTGCTAGCAGTTGGGCAAGCCGGAAACTTATCGTTGCAGTTTCTCTTTCCGGTTGGTTCCGGAAGGTCGGAAGCGTTTTTCATTCGAATTTCCTGCCTCTTGCGGTTCCGGAAAGCCGGAAATTTCAAATACCTTTCCGAGCAGACACCGCTCATTTTTAAGGTGAGTTTACCCACTTTTTTAGCTGCCGTATCCACTTCCGTATCCAGAAGCCCACGTTTGATTAGGCGCGGGTACCTTCTGGTATGGATAGCTTTTCTCATATTTCACTTTTTTCCTTTTTTCATGCTTCCTGCCCAACCCAGCCTTTTGTGCTTACCTAATGCCAACTAAATGATCGCGTGACGATACTTTTTAAAAGATCAGCTTAGAGCTTTTCACCAGTATGCTTCTTGGCCTCGTGCCTTTCTTCTGCCCAATTTTGCGTGTGTCGCAACCAGGGTTGGTCACAATGATCGGGGGTCCGCGTCCGTCTGCGTCCGTCCGCGTCCGGACGCGCGTCCGTCCGCGTCCGCTATGCAAATTGCGGACGCGGACGGACCCGTCCGGACCGGACGGACGCGTCCGGACGCGGACGCAACGGACGCTACAGAGTCCGCCGGACGCCGGAAGGTCCGCGATGCAAAGCACGAAAGCGGATGCTAATTACAGGTGTCCCTGGTTTAGGAAAGCGTAGGATCGTAATCTGACTTGCATCCTTGACGTTGACTTAGAATAAAACACAAAAATCACTGTCACTGTCCAAGGGAGAGCGCTAAAAAGTTTGAGCAAGCGAAAAGCTTTGAGATTTTAGTGCAATGTTCCATTGTTCTTGAGGTTTAGTACTAGTTTCTTCGTTTCCGACTTGCTTTTGTGTGACTATTTGGACAACTGACAATTATTTTTTGTCATAATCCAAGTCAACACGAAATATTCAAATTAGGGATGTGATGATGCGCAGACTATTGAATTAACATGGTGATCTGCAATTTGCATCGCGGACCTTCCGGCGTCCGGCGGACTCTGTAGCGTCGGCTGCGTCCGCGTCCGGACGCGTCCGTCCGGTCCGGACGCGTCCGGACCCGTCCGCAATTTGCATCCCGGGTCCGGACCCGTCCGGACGCGGACGGACGCGGACGGACTTTCGATCATCATGACCAACCCTGGTCGCAACGGACCCCGCTGATCAGCTTCTGCTTCCTACCCGGTTCGAATTACGTTTAAGTTTTTAAGTACGGAAACTCGGAACATTGAATGGATTCATACCCTTAGTAGTTTATTAATTAATAGCTTTTAACTCCCCTCAGACCCTGGAAACCGCACGCTTTCCTTAACGTTTGTAGGCTTTGCGCTACTCTACTGCCGTCCAGACACCTTTAGACGCAATCGACGCAGCTTCATCAGACACGCGGTGGGCAAATCGCCAAGCGCACGCTCGTTCTCAAGTTTGCTGTAGTTGATCGAGCTGGAGCTAGAATCCTTGTAGTTTCAGATGACATAAAAGGGGAATATGCTAGCACTTGATGGCCCCTTGAAACGTAATGTAGCGGATAAAGCTGTTCATGATTTCACCATATCCACGCCAAACCTGTAGCCTGACCCGACCTCAACGGGCTTACTGACTTGGCCCGAGGCGCCTCCATGTTGCCGTAGGGCCACGGCGTGTAGTAGTTGTGGGCCGGCAACGAGAATTGACCGAGTGACCTAGTGACCGACCCTTCTCAACGCTAGGCGATCCCCTTCCAGGGTTCAAACCCCCCAGCTACATCCGCCTCAGGCGATGGGGCTCATTTTGACCTCAAGCGCCCCCCGGACTTATGCCCTCGGCTTATACGAAACTGATAGGGGAGAAACAGGGTCGTTTCTAGAAAGTGTCATTTGCATTTAAAGGTTTTCGATGTGGGTTTTTGCGGATGCCTTACAGGATTTCCGGATCTCGCTCCATTTTTAAGCGAATTTTTCTGTTTTGGTCTATAGCGGGCGCATTGGCTTTTTGCTTTTCTAAAGCCGTAAGTCGGCTGTTTTTCATGGCGTAATATTTCTTAAAACCGCGTTATGCATTTTCTGAAGCTCTCTTTGATTAACGGGCCCAAAAATTCAAAGCATCTAAAGATTTCGTTTGGTACCATGTTGGCTTGGAAACGCTAAGGTATGATTCTACGTTAATTTATTGGCCTCCTAATAACTTCTTAAACTTAAAAATTTTCAATTTTTGCTAATGCGGAGCATTTTGTATTGCGAAGATACCTTAAAACTCGGGTTTCGCTAGTTTTTTTGCCTCTAGCCGCCTTATTATCGAGGATTATCGAGAACATGATTAAAAATCGATAAGGATCTTTCCGGACTTTGCAGCGTACGGTAATCGTGTCGTACTTTAGCTAAAAAAATGAAAAGATTGAATAAAAAACGCCAGCGCAAAATTTCCCAGCTGATAAGAATGTTTGAAATATGCAAATTGCGACCGGGTGCATTTAAGGTACTGTAGCTGGGGCGTATTTTGGGGATTTTAGACGAGCCTAAAATCAGATAAAGCCACCGTGCCGGCTGTCTATTAAGTGGATATCTATTACACCCATCCAGCCATTAATGAACTCTTTATTGTTTATCCACTAACTCCACCTTGCACCCAGTTTACGATTGCCAATAATTAGCCAGCTGTCCTCGCCCCGTCTCTCTCTCTCTCTCTCTCTCTCTCTCTCTCTCTCTCTGGCTCTCTCTCTGTTTGTGTACCAGTTTGTGGTTAGAACATTGGCGGGGGGTTGGCTGGATAGATAGATTGGGGACAGGTCATAGGCATTGACCTCAGCCAAGCATCTGCCCATTCTGACCTCGATGCAGCCGGAGGAGGAGGGATCCGTTAAGGGCAACCCCGAGGCCTCGATCGAGGCCAGGGCGGGTATTTGGGACACACACACCGTGACCCACTGCCTATTTTGGGTCAACTCCCATGTTTGGGCTGGGAACGATTCTTTTTATTGCTTTTTACCAGGTTTTTCGCGGTCCTTGATCGTATTTTTCTCACGACGTGAATTTCCCCGTTTTTGCTGATAGGCTTCCCGAGAAAGCTGATGACGATGGTGGGTTACATCCAAATTTGGACGGTCTTTTTGACCTTAAAGGAAGTGGCGATTGTTGGATTTTTTTGTTCCTCGCCTCCGACGAAAAATAGCTAAAAAATGTTGAATCGTCGAGTTTTCGTTTATATAGAGCATGTGACGTTAAGATTCTGCTTCAGTTATGGATTATTATAACGCTTTAGAAAGTATTTGGCACGACAAATCTAAAAAGTATGAGTGAGAGCTGACGCTCGATGCGGAGGCTGTTAGAAAGTCGTGACACCAAGCTAAAATCCGCCAAATTCCTAGGCTTCGACGGTAATTTTTTAGGCTTTGTCTACTTTTGACAGTATTCATTGACTTTTTTGGGCTTTTCCAACCATGCGCCAGGATTTTAGCTAGTTGGCTCCGTAGCTCCCAGCTCCCAGCTGCCAGCTCCTGGCTCTTTTCTAATCTCTAGGTCATCTATCCGGTTCTAGCTCGTTTAGCGGTGTTAGGTAATGTATCTGTCGCTTGTGCCCATTTAACAAGCCTTACTTTCCGTATAATTTTTGGAAAGTAAGCGGAAAGGTGCACCGCTCATAATTCTGAAGGTCAGAGCCAGAACTCCTTACTCCTCCGCCTCGTTGTTACCTCGGTTGAGTGTTGCGCAATTGCATCGTCGCCTGGTCACCGTAATGTCTTAAAATACTTTCTTTTCTCATAATTTTGAAAATTACGGCAAAACGGAGCACTAATGTTTTTAACGCTAGGTTCCCTCTGCTATCAAATGAGCTCATTCCTTTCCCCCGCTTCCTGACATGGCTTTTTCGAATCGCTACAAATTACTCTTTGTCCAGATTCTGGAACTAGTCCGGTGCTAGAAATCCAGTGATCCATCAGAATCCCCGGCCTTCAGGTTTTTCCTCGGATTTGTGGGTGGTGAAGACAAAAGAGGGCCTTCCTCCTTCCCCCCTCCTTCTTTGGTAAGTGGGGGTCGGTGACCTGACCTGACCTACTTCTACTCCTTGGTCTTCTACTACTACCACTCTTACCACTAGCCACTTTGCCGTTCTTATCCCTACTTCTTTGCTTTGACTAGGTCATTCCGCGGCATAGAACTTTTTCCGGTTACGGTATTATACTGATTACGGTCGCTTATTTGAGTACGAAACTGTACTATTTACCCCCGCCTAATTCGACAGATATTGTTTTGTGCATTTCCACATTCCACATGGATCTTTTTTTTGTAAACTAGGGTCTTTTCTGGCTAAATAGTTACGGGATATAACTTTAGAAGGTAACCGATGGTAGCTTTCGGAGTACGGTATTTCACGCTTTAAAGACTAATTAAAACGTTAAAGAGAATTTCACTGATTAACATATTTTAAAAATTTTGGAATTTTGCGCGTCAGTTTTCTCTTTGAACTTAGATGCGATATTTTCCAGCCGATGTTACCTTACGAACTACAAAATTTTTCGTAAGTAACGTATTTTTTCGTAGCGTACTTTATGGAATTTTGTTGACTTGCATACTCTTGCGTAAATTTCTGTATTTCCCAGAACGATATTTTCAGCAATTTTTAGCTCCTGGCTTTAGTCTTAGCTTTTTACAAAGTACGAAATTATACCAATTACGATACCTTAAACTACCCCTAATTTTTAGGTCGTCAAACTTTACGAATTGGTGTATGGTGCGAAGTACTTTATTCTACACGTTGCGTTATGGCGCGGATCTCCGTATACCGTATGGCCCCCAATTTATTCAAATCCTCCCCCGCATGAAGCAATTCGGAAATTTGGCGCGTGCCTACACACCCGCGACGTCAAAATGACCCACTTTCCGGGGTCGTCCTAGTTTGCCGGCAAAAACCCCAGCGAGAGGTCGACTAGAGGGGGAAGCGTTGTTATGGCATTTCGACCTTGGATTTAGACCCCCTATTCGCTTGGCCGGGACAACATTTTGGGGCGTAAATACCCATATATTTTCTAGGATTGTCATTCCTGATACCTAATTTCTAGTGTTTCGCGTTTTTTTCAAAGCTTCAGATTTTTGGAACGGAAATCCAAAAAAGTTGCGTAGATTCTATCGAATTTTTCTGTTTTCCAGTTTATTCTAGCCCTTCCTCATCTGTTCCATACTTTTCTACGTTTCGTGAACTTTGGAGCATTGCGGAAATGAGTCCATCTCATAGTCTTGACCAATTTTGTAAAATTTTCCACGTTTTTTAGCGTTTCCTTGTCTTCTTCATACCATTTTTTTGCACTTTTCGAATTTTTTAATATTCTTCATAACTCTGCAACTTTCAAATTTCACTATTTTAGCTCTAAAATGGACGGTGCATCGCTTCCAAAACGCCAAAAGCTCGCCTCGATTCTGGAGAATAAATTCCGGTGTATGATTTCGGCGGATGTCAAGGTGGGTAGAGAGAGAGAGAGCGAGAGAGAGAGGGGGGGGGGAAGAGAGATAGAGGGAAGAGAGAGAGCACTAGAAACAGATCAATTTTTAGCAAGAATCCGAAGAAGACCTTCCCTCAACCTCACCCAGCCCTCCATCGCTTGAAGATAGATTAAGCCCGGTCGTCTCTGCCAACCCCTCAACTTCTCAAGCCAACCATCCTACCCTCTCTTCCCTGTTGTCTGCCCCTTTAAAAGCGCAACAACAACAACAACAAGCTCCAAACAAGCCGCAAGCCGCTCAACAAGGGCCTGGAGAAGAGGTGGGTTGCTTTACTAATAAATTAAGGATACCTTTATAAAGTTTAATTAGCTTCTCGATACTTCGAAAATTCCTGGCTTCCTCGGCTCTTTAATATGCCAATTTCCAGGCCTTCAAACTCTACGCTCAGTGCACGAGCTGTCGAATCTACATGCCAGATCAGAACGCTTTTATCCAGCATGTTTTGCTGCATTACCCCGCCCAGTTCAGGATTTTGGGAAGCAAGAGAGGTGTGTCTTAGCATGCGGGTCTTTGCCAAATTTATCGGAAAACTTTGCTTTCACTCATTTTCGATTAAAAATTGCTCTCTAACTTGTTTTTTTTAATTTAAAAATTAAGCTTTTTCGAATTTAAATAGATTTGTTCTTTATTTAATTTGGTTTTTAGAAGCCCCATCAAGCCCGAAAATCCAAAAACCTCTTTCTGTCAAGCCGAAAATCCCGGAAATCGAGAGCGCAGACCCTAAGAAGCATTCGATGTTGAGGAGTTTGTTGGGAGGTAGGTCCTGATCAAAATTGTTGTCTTCCAAGAATTTTATATAACCGTAATTTATATATTGAAAGTGATACTATTTCAGCGTCAACCTCTCAAACCACCACCGCAACTCACAGCCCACGACTCCATGGCAATTTGACCCCAAAATCGGAAGCGAGTGTAAGTTATTTTTAGTGCAAATTTAACTCAGACAAAATAGAATTTTACAGACCAAAAGCGTATTTTAAAAAAACACATTTAAATCGCGTATTCCACATTTACATGAATTTCCCAAAACGTTGTATTTTCATTTTCAGAATTTAAAGAATTTTTTAACAAAAAAAATCTTTCACGATTTTCAGAACCCCCCAAAACCGACTACAGCCTGTGGAATCTGCGGTGAGATCTTCCCGAATGTCGACATTTTGCTGGCGCATAACCGGGAGTGTACGCCGATGAGAAAGGTATGGGATTTTTGGCAGAATAAACATTCAACTAATTTTTAGCTCCTTTCGATCAATAATGCCGTTGTTGTGGAAGCCGCGAAAAGTTTACACCAAGCCCAGCAGGCATCTATTTTGGACCAGGTAATTTTTATTTTAAAACTTAGCCGAATTCCCGCCGAATTTTACTTTTAAAGGGAGTGCGACAGTTCATTTTCAATTCAAAATAGCGCAAATTTAAAAAAAATTTGCGTGTAAAAATTTGCTGCTTCAAATTCCCGCTTGCGATTTTTCAAATTTAACCATTTTGAACAGCATAATTTTTAAATTGAGCATTAAACTTTGAAATATTGTCTATGAAAATTGCCCCCGGTAGCTTTACATTAAACAAATTTAAAACCCAGAATTTTAAGACCTCTTTCATTTTTTAAATATGCATTTCGAGCGCCATTTTTGAAAATGGAACAAATTTTCGAGTTTTCGAATTTCGACATTAAAATAATTGGAATTATCAAGTAAAAATTAATAGAAATATGTTCATCATTTTCCTTTTGTCAGAAAAGCCGTCTTCCCCACGCGCTACGTTCCGCAAACTTCAGCAACGCCAAGGAACTCTCCACCCTCCTCCAGGCCTACAATTTGACAAGAACGGCCATGAATAGAAATTAGCATATTTGTAGCTTTATTTTGCAATTTTCTTTTATTGATTTTTGTCTGCTTGTGATCTCGGATATTTGCGTACACACGATAAACATTGCTTTATGCTCAATCAGTCCAGAAAAATAACCGTTTCATGTTATGCAAATTCATGAAAATTCAAATTAATCAAAATTGGTACGCGTATTAGCACCGGCGGGATTATGATAAGAAAGAGGAGATCGGAATTGAATTATTGAAGTTCTAATCCTACTATATATAAAAAAATAGTGTCTGTGTGTCTGTGTGTGTGTGCCACTTTGCATCCACTTCCGTCTGTCTGTCCGGAGGATATCTCAAGAAGGGACGGGTATTAGGCTACGTATGATACGTCATTAGGTGCGTAATGGTCTAGGGATGACTGCACACATATCAGATTTTTAAAAATTAGCCATTTTCGCTATTAAATTTAGGTTTTTGTAAAAATCTCTTTGTTAGGAATAATTAGCATAGACCGGAAGTGGGCGGTCGTCGATATAAAGAGGCAGAAGGGATTGTTTTTCCTTTTTTTTGCCTTCTGGATGAAGGACAATTATGCAAAGAGCGGAATAGCATGGGGTCCATGACGGGGCCAGGGTTGAAAAGTCGCGAAGCGGCTTTTCAACCCTGGTTTATACACTAAAAAAAGAGAAAATCGGGAAGAAAATTTGGAAATGTAAATATGCAAATTTTACGAATTAAATATGATAATTACACTTTCCCGTTTAATTCTTAGCCCTTCGTCCGACACTTCGACGCCCGGGAGTACTGTAAAAAACGATTTTAATTTGTATTTATCGATTTTAAAGGTCAGATAACTTTTAAAAATTGATCTCTAAATGTCACCCATTTTATTCTGAATTTTAAATCATAGTTAAGCTGGTAATTTTGAAAAAATTTTATATTTTTATAATGCAGTTCGAATTTCTAAAGTAAAAAGCTAGGGTATTTATTAAGTATGCAAATTGATAGTTACCTGCTCTCAGTTTCCATCATTTCTTTAGTGGGAGATTCCGTGGACATATTCCTGGCCTTCTAAAAGATCACACAATTTTAAGACGCCATTTTCAATTATAAAGTTATCGTAAAGAACGTTTAAAGTGTATCGTCAAGGTATCTATAAATTAACGTACCCTCCGATTTCTATTTTCCTTCTCGTCGCCTTGATCGAGTTCCATCGGCTCTTGCACTTGCTTGGCCCGTGAACTTTTTCCTGACTTTAGGCTAGCCTGAAAAATTTAAGGTATTTTCGCTACGTCAGTCCTAACGAAAAAGGATTAATCGAAGACTTAGAGCAAAAACTTACACAACTCTCAAAATAATCCAAAAGCGGAAGGCGGAAACGGGATCGCAAATCGTCGTAGCGGATGCTTTGGCGTTCCGGGTTTCTGGAAGTCGGTTTTAAGGAATTTGATAGTGGATTTGAATTTTAATAAGATAGTATATTTCGGTTATAAAGTTCTCATATTATACTTTACGTAAACCTCAATTAAATCACTTACCTTCCCTTCTTCTTAATCGTAATCACCCATAGACGATCACCGGTCAGGCCTTTTCCTTTACCTTCCTCGAGAGGCCCTTCCACTTCTACTTCTTCTGGGACCTAAATTAATAAGTGGTTGGTTCAAGAAATTCTTAGCTATCCAATTAATAATTTCTATATTTTTAAAGACCTACCGTAATTTCTTCATCAGTCAGCGCCAACATATCTCGGGGCACCCAGGTTTCTCTACAAAAATACAGATAATTTTTTAGATTATTGCGACATCACGAATATCTTTTTTTAATTAGCGATGTATCACGTTATATTGTCTAATTATCCGTTCAATAGTTGAGACCTACTCCCAATCCACCAGCGCAAATTCCACCATTTTCCCCTTGGCATCCGGGCGTTTTTCGGTTTTTATGATTCGTTGGATGATCCAGTCTTCATTTTTCATGATTGGGTCTGGAATTACAGGATTTTAAAAGTTTTAAAAAGCAAGAATGACAATTCAATGTGAAAAAGAAAACATTTTTAGCTTCCTACACAAAAAAAAAGTAAAAATTAAAATATATTTTAGAGGTCTGAAATCACGATGTTTTAAAGAATACGAAAGCAAAAAGGAGGGAGGAGGATAAAAAAATTTGAAAGATCCTACTATATATAAAAAAATAGTGTTTGTGTGTGTGTGTGCCACTTTGCATCCACTTTCGTCTGTCTGTCCTGAGGATCTCTCAAGAAGGGACGGGTAGTAGGCTACGTTTGATACGTCATTAGGTGCGTAATGGTCTAGGGATGACTGCACACATATCAGATTTTGAAAAATTAGCCATTTTCGCTATTTTTGTAAAAACCTCTTTGTTAGGAATAACTAGCATAGACCGGAAGTGAGCGGTCGCCTATATAAAGAGGCAGAAGGGGTTGTTTTTCACTTTTTTTGCCTTCTGAATGAAGACAATTATGCAAAAGGCGGAATAGCATGGGGTCCAAGACGGGGCCAGGGTTGGAAAGTCGCGAAGCGGCTTTTCAATCCTGGTATGAAGATAAGTAAATTTGAATCTACAACTCCTCAAACACAAAATAAAAACCCAAATACGACCCAAAAATGTAGGTATTAATTGCTAAAAATGGAATACAATATAACATCGAATAGAGCTTCAATGTTTCAAATATAAGAAATTCCTAGGACCTGAAAAAAATATGGCCTTATCCGACTTCAATGACACAAAAAATACTCTAAAAAACGCAAAAATTCGCTAGGAATGAGATTATAACTTCTACTAATGTCAGGTATGATAAAAGCTATGTGAACGTTGAAATCTAGCAAAAACCTACATGTTTTGGAACCAAAATGAAGCGGTAGGTCCCAGGATTTGCCAGGACCAACGGGCATTCAAAGAGGCGCCCACCGGCTACCTTGACTGGGGGACGCGGGGGCGGTCGCGTCGCGTCCCATTGGATAGCAGCCAGGCTTGAGGGGAAGGATGCCTGCCCCAGGCTTTCCCACGCTCCTCGTCGCTTTTTGTACCCGAATTTCGTTGAATCATCCTGAGCGGTAAATCGTGTCCCGGAAATTGAGTCAGGCTCGTTTTTTGGGCTCTAAACTCGGGCTGGAAGGCTGGAAATTGCACACTTTTTTCGTGCGCATAGTTCTAAGGCTTTTTCACATAGTTAAGCGTATTAATGCATATTTATGATGGTAGAACACTATCAATAGATTACGCAGTGTAACGGAAAAATATTTATTAAGTTTCCCTGCTGTAAAACAGACAGAGACAGACAACATTTTTAATTTTTGTTTACTAAGGGGTTTTAATGGCATTATAATGACAATATCTAGATACCATATCCCCGGAAATATTATGCCACAGCTAGCCAAACGTAGATATTCTATACATAAAATTATTAACCTCAAATTTAAGTATATTTACTGTCGAAAAGCCAACGAAATTCGTGAGATTCTTTCTAATATTTCATTCCCCTTATTCATCGCGTTATAATGTCTCTTAACGTTTAATTATAATGTATTTAGGATTGATTTTGACGTCCTAATCTATTTAAATTATGTAAACTTTTGTTCCTATACATACTCATACTTTTGGAATTTCACATACTTTCGCGAGCTCGGTGTCAAAATTGCAAAGTAATTATTATCCTCCAATTTTCAGTAATTTTCCATGGATCATCCACCGCAACAACCACCCACACAGCAACGAAAGGTCCCACCGCGGCCGAATCGGATCGATGCCGTCGTGTAAGTTGGAATATAGAAATTCATAAAACGAAGTTGAACTTCGAATTTATCAAATGATAATGGCGGCAATCCCATAAGCCATGAAGTTATCCTTATCACCAGCGCCCAAAACCCGCTTCGCGGGCCTTGGGCGCTGGAATGCGGCCTTTGCATGAAAAATTTGACTTTCTGATAGCTCGGGTCCGGCGGACCCCCCGACCACACGCGCGAGTGCAACTGGCCAGAATGAGGAAGTTTGTATTTTTTCGCATTATGCAAATTAGCCTTCAGGTACCCCCAAAAATCAATAAAACCGCCTTTAACTTTGTAACCTTGTATTTTTGCGAAATTCTGAAAACGCCATCGGAAACAGAAGGGTCGATTCCCCCGGGTGACGGAGAATTAGGGCATTTTATGCACGGGAAGGCCCTCAAATCGGGCCTCGAAAGTGACATCCACACACACACACACACATACACTCCAAAATTATATAAGGTAGGATAAAAATTACAGTAACCAACTCCACCAACAACAACAGCACCAACAACCGACTAGCTCTGGCGCTGGATCAATGGGTTTTGTAAGTTGAAAATTCCATCAAAAATAAAGTTAATTTAGTGTATGGAATGTGCCGAGGAGGGGATATGCTTGGATGGGTTGTGTCAGGTAATAGGAGAGCGAGAAAGCGAGAGTGAGAGAGATAGAGCAAGAGAGAGAGAGAGAGAGAGAGAGAGAGAGAGAGAGAGAGAGAGAGAGAGAGAGAGAGAGAGAGAGAGAGAGAGAGAGAGAGAGTGACAGAGTGACAGAGAGAGAGAGAGAGAGTGAGAGAGTGAGAGAGAGTGAGGGTGAGAGCATGAGAGAGAGATAGATAGAGTGAGAGTGAGAGAGCGTGAGAGAGATAGATATATAGATAGAGAGAGAGAGAGTGAGAGAAAGAGAGAGAGAGAGAGAGAGAGGGAGAGAGAGTTGCCAAATTTGGCAAATTAAGCTGATTTTAGCAATGCCGCGGCCTAACTGGCGGTCTCCAAATGATGCTGTCAAACAGTATGGCCGGAACATTGGCCGGAGATGCTTGTCTTTGCTGCAAACGCCATGTAACCAACATCAAATCCGCTGTAGCTTGCGTTGGGTGCAAAAAGTGAGTTGTTAGAAGGGACCACAAAGGTAAAAAAACAGCGCAAATTCCCTAAAACATTCGAATCGGCAAAACCCGGTTACCGTACAGCATAGAGGCTAAAAACCAACTAGAATATCTTAAACCGTTTAGATTCACGCACTTCGAGTGTGACCCGATGGGGATGCTCTCGCCAAAAGACTACAAATGCAAGGGATGCTCGAAATATCCTTTGGTGAGTCATTCAACATATAGCTAAACCCATTTACTTTCTAATCTAATCAGCATATAATTAAATAGTTGCGAAAATCAATAGGAAAATGCGAAATAGATGCCCAGAATCATCGAAGAATAGACAAAAAACACAGAAACGAAAATGATGGAAGCAGGAATATCTAAAAATCGACAGAAATGACCGTAAAATGCAAAAATAAATAGAGCAAGTAGAAAGAAAATAGTGAAAAAAATCGTACGTCAGGTTTTGGCCATATTCACAGCCCCCAACGCCTGAAACACAAAAGACGCTGTGAAACATGTTTCGATTTTCGATGCTCGATAGAAATGGGAGCGCCTGGGAGGCGATTTGGCGCCTTTTTGCATCTGCGGTACTACTATTAGTGTCGGAACTGTAGTGGGCCTGGCTAGGAATTGGAATTTAAATTTTTAGGCCGAATTTTGAACGTGACTTGCTATTTTTATTTTTCTTTGAGTTTAATTTCAAAAATTAAATTTTTGCAAATTAATGAATTTAATTTTAAATTTTTCAATACTGCTTATAAAACTATTAAAAACCTTATATTTTAGGTAGCCGATCGTCTGCTCTCCTCATCTTCCAACGAACCGACCAGCCCATTCGTCACCACACCCCAACAACCGGTGAGGAATTAATTTTTAATATCTCTATTTGATAAATTTCAGTCAATGCCGGAGAATCGACTTGCTGAGGAATTCACAGCGGCCGTCACTTCGCATCAAGATTTGCAGCGAGTACCCGAAGATTTGTATCAACTTCCGGCACCCGTTTCGAGGAACCAGACGCAAAGTGAGCCTAATCCTGGTGGGTTATGAATTATTTACTAAATTATTCTTCTAAACTAAGCTCCGTTTAAGCTAATCGACAGGGCCAGCTGGCGGGGATTATTTGGCAATTTTTAGCTGACAAACTATTTTTAACGATTATTTTCCAGATCACCCCGGCCCGTCGCCAAGCGCCGAATCGGAAAGCGCCCGAGCTTCGCCCTTCTTCCAGCCGAGCGACGACGAGGAGGAGTTCAAACCGCCTGGGTATGTACTTCTACAACTTTCTAGAGTTTTTAGAGATTGAATTGCTAGAGCGATTAAATGAATCTGAATTGCCTGTGTCGTTCATCTACCGCCAAAATGCTAATTTTTAGCTCTCGTACCTATCAACCACGCGGTCGTGGCCGCGGACGAGGAAGTAGAGGAAAGAAGCCTGGAAGTAGAGGAGGAGGAACTGCTGGATTGTCGACTATCGACTTGATGAAGACGAGGACCGGAGGACAACCACCCAGTGGAATATATGGAGACAAACTTGGACAGGTTCGTACTTTTGAATCATACTTACGTAGGAGGATAGACACGGTTGGGGGAGAAAGACAAAGATGGTGAGAGAATGAGAGAGTGAGTGCGTGAGTGAGCGAGAGATAGAGAGAGAAAAATAAGAGTGGAGGGTAAGTATTCAAATTTAGGGAACGCGCGGAAAGCGCGGAAAGGGCAGCCGTGGATCCTATGGAGCCCGTGGAAGTAAGGGCACAGGAACGCGAGGAAGAAGAGGAAGGTTTGTCACATTTCGATTTGGCAAAATTGTTTTTCGATAATTTTGTAGCCTCATTTTATAGAGCATCAAAAATATACTCGGCTATTTGGTTGCAACGTCAGTGGCAAACGATAAAAAAAGTTAGGGAAGAAAAACCTCTTGAAAATTCGATTTAAAAGTTATTTTGCGATATTTTAATGATTTTTCTAGTGTCGTAGGAAAGTACGAAAGTTCCTACCCACCTTTTGAGTGTGAAGATCGATTTAAGTGTGCCGAATAACGAAGCCACTTATTTGTCTTTGATTTCTAGAGGCCAATTGGCGGCGGGTGCCCTCTCAGGGAATGTGATGCAACATCTCACCGGCATGAGCTTCACCGCTACTCGGGAAGTTGATGAGGTTTGTGCTTTAACATAATTTAATTTAATTGGTTATTATGTCAATCGTAATATTTGGCCAAAACTCGCCTAAATTTAGTGGGAAAAAGAAATCGTGAAAAATGATGTTGGCGTTGGAAATTGATTTGCAATTAACAAAAAGGATCAATTTCGCTGGAGTAGCAAAAAGGCACGATGGCAAAATGCCTTCCTTATCACCCGGCAGAATCTGTGCTATTGGCTGGTGAGAAAATGGGGGCTAGAAGAAAGGGGCGATTCCCCGGAGGGCGATGGGAACATCAAAAAGGCAGGGATTACTCGCGGAATGGATTTATTTTCATCTGTTCCTGGCGGGATTTCTGATACATCGCAGTTTGTAATGAGACCAGAACACTTTTAGCGTTCATATTTTGGGTTTTTAATTCTAAAAATTTCAAAAACAATCAATAATCTTTTTAGGATTCCTAAATATCTTGACATTAAAATTTAAAGTATATTCTAATCAAAGAGAGCGTTAGACCGGCCGTCAGACTTTATGAAATATATATGATAGATCCTGATGTGCACGCGACACGCAACGCAAGGCACAGGCGGGTGTGCGTCGCGTGCCGTTGTCGCGGCAAAATTTCTAGGAAATCTACAGCCAAGGAGGTCTAGTCGTCACTTGCCCGCCGCTTTAATCCATGAAATTCTCAATTTTGTTTTGCTCTTATTGTCGACCAGTGGAACGTGTTTTTTTGCATTAGATTTGGAGCAGAAAACCAATCAAAACAATTGCATCGATCCGTTCGGGGCTCGGCCGGAAAGTGGCTTTTCGATCAAAAGTATTTTATATAGCCTCTAATATAGCTATTTTTTGTGAATTAACTAAGTGGAATCCCAGCCACGTTCCCGATATGGAAAACCCCGAAGCCAGCATCCCGACAAGACGAAATTCCGATAGGCCAAAACCCCGACAGACCAAAATCCTGTCGGTCGGAACTTTGGCTCTCGGGATTTGCGCTGTCGGGATTGTGGCATTTTCCCCACTTAAAGCGCTTTCTGGAATTACTACGAAACTTAAGCTAGGCAAAGAATAGTATCGTATTCCCCCAAATATCCCCATTTTCAGCAACTCCTCGAAGAGTTCGAAGAAAAGCAAGAGACTACGATGGAATACGTCCGTACAGCGCTGGTGTGCCCGGTCAATGACGAATTCCTGAGCAAGGCCATCATTTGTTTGATCTGTGGAAGTACCGGAAAGGGAGAAGAGGCCTCATTTATCTGCTGCGCCAATTGCGCCCAGGCCTACCATACCTACTGCGTTGGCGTGCATGAAAAGGTATGCATTCTAGAAAACCGGATAAGCTTTGTTGCACTTTTTCGTGGAATTAGCTAACGTAATCGATTCAGATTCGCGAGACACACGTGAATCGCGGGTGGCGCTGTCTCGACTGCTCGATTTGTGAGGGATGCGGTGATGGGAAGGATGAGAGCAAGCTGTTGCTCTGTGACGAATGCGATACCTCCTACCATATTTACTGCTTGGATCCACCTCTTCAGGTAGATTTAGAGAAAAATGACGTTTTTATCCATATGAAACCTCATCTCGCTCTTTTTTTGCATAGCGTAACCGGTTGGCCTTTTGACAAGTGAAGACGCATCCTTATCCCCATAAGCCCAAAAATTTCAGAAAATTCCCGATGGCCCGTGGCGCTGCAAGTACTGCTCGAAGTGCAGGAGATGTAATCTGCCCGTGCAGACAATGTCGGAGCTGACGAAGGAGGGACTGTGCCATGCTTGTTCCTCCTTGAGGAAGTGTACCAGATGCAAGAAGTTATACCAGGTGGGTTCAGCGCGCCCTCGCTCACTCTCACTCTTGCTCTCTCACTCTCACTCTTGGTCTCTTACTTGCTTTCTCTCGCCCTCTCCCTCTCACTCTCTCTCTCTCTCTCTCTCTCTCTCTCTATCTCTCTCGCCGCTCTCTCTTGCTCTCTCTCGATCTCTCTCGCTCTCTCTCTCTCTCGATATCGCTGGTTGTGCCCCAGTTTCTCGCGGTCTCAAACTATGGTACTGGTTCTCTCCGTCTCTCTCTCTCTCACTCTCTCTCTCTCACTCTCGCTCTCTCTCTCGCTTTCGCTCTCTCTCGCCATCTCAGGGATAAATTTGTTAAAAAATTTCCGCGTCCTGAATATTCTATAGATTTTGCCTTCACAGGCCCTTTAAACCCCCAAATTTCAGCTGAATGAGCCTCTAATCCACTGTGACAATTGCAATCGATGGTTCCACGGTCGTTGCGAGGGCTTATTCTCCACAGAAGACCTCGACAACGCGGTCACGAATCGAATGAAATGCATCGACTGTCGGCCAATGTCTCGATACTACGGTCAATCATACGGTGCCCAGGGCCAGCAAATGCTCGTCGTCGATAATGTCATTTTGCATCGAGAAGCCGAAGAAATCCTGAAGTCCCCGTTTGTACCCCCGCAATTCCGGCCGGATCATACGCCGGGGCCCGCGCAGAGGAGCGGATCGTTTGATTGTGAGTTTTGGGAATCCAGAAATACCTCGACAAATCTATTAAATGCGAGCATACCTCAAGTTTTAACTTCTTAGCTTATAAAATTCAAATTTTCGGTGTTTTTGGGTGTTTTGAAGTTTAAAAGCAACATGAATTTTTGGAATTAAAAGCGTAAGCTTAAAAAATTTATGAAATTATCAAAAAATTAGAAGGAAAAAAGAAAGAAAGCAAGGAATTATGGAAATTAAAATAAAACCTTATGATGTTTAAAAAATTCAATATTTTTGTGCTATTTTTAGAGAAAATTAGAAATTTTTTTTACTGCAAAACATTTAAATTATATTAAGATTTAGATTAACTTTGGCAACGTTTTGTAAATTTAAATGAATGTTATTAAACAATTTTAGCTACAGATATAATTTAAAAAATGGGGTCCAAATTAAACCGGAGATTTTTCTGCGTATTCAAAAATTACAAAATCTGATAAAAACGTCTATTAAGTTCCCAATTTTAAAGCCGAACAACTCTCAACGCATTCTAAGGTTTTTAAAATCTTAGAAGTGTAATAAAAATTTCATATTTAGCATTAACAATTACTTCGTTGAAATTATTTACCGTGGGAAAAATTAACATGTTTAAAAACAAGATTACCACAGTTGTATCAAACGCTTTGTTCTTTAAAAAGCCTCAAAGCACCTATTAAAACATCCATTAAAATGTTAAATCCTGGTTTTGAAAGCGTCTAACTTGGTAAAACATGCAAACATGCCAAAAACTTACCGATCAAAATGAGTTTATAGCTTCCAAATAATACTAGATGTTTAATATTACGGTTCTAAATAATATCTCTCTTTTTGCAGTCTGGAGCAACGTAGACGACGACTACCACGAGGAGGTTGAGGTGCCGACTAGTGGGCGTGGCCGTGGAAGGGGAGGCGGAAGGGGGCGTGTTCTACGTCTCGGTGTTGGAGGGTTTATGGTTCGAAACCCGAAGAATAAACAATCATTCGATGAGGATGATGGGGAAGAGAAGAAAATGAAGAAACCGAGAAAACCGAGAAGGACTTTCCTAGAAGACGCATACCCACCCAATATCCAGGAGGGCTTCTTTGGATTCCCGGGAGTCGAGGGCAAGCATTTGATCGATGTTCATGTGAGTTTTTGGATATTTCAAGCGATTGGCAAGGCACGATGATGATGATTTTTATCACCGATTTTACACATAATACCGACAAGCTAAAATCCCGAGTAGGCAAAATACCGACTTTAAAAATCCCGACACGCTAAATACCGAAGTTTCTACCGGCTGGGATTTGGAACGTCGGTATTTTACCAAATCACTATTTTTGCCTGTCGGCATTTTGCATGTTGGGTTTTGAATGTCGGTATTTTTGAGTGTTGTCATATTTGAAGGTTTTTCTAAAGTCATAATTAGTTACGTATTAGTTACGGTAATAAGTACATGACAACAAACGTCGTTTTTTCATCAATTTTTTCATGCATTCAAAATCCAAATAACCGGAATCCCGAAAGCAAAAATCCCGAAAAGCGAAAATTTCGATGGAAGCAAACTAATAGCTAGGGCGTCGGGATTTAGGCGTCGGTATTTTGTTTTGTCGGGCTTCTGAATGTCAGTGTTTGAAGCATTTGGCCAGCATGGTAATGAGAATTTTTTCATGTGGATTTTGGCCATAATCACGACAGGAAAAATACCGACATCTAAAATCACGCCCCGAGAAAATACCGTCAACCGGAATCCCGACAACCACAAATTGCAAATGCCTAACAAAAAGCTATTTTGCATGTTAGGACTTTGGTTCTCGGTATTTTGGCTGCCGGCATCTTAGAAATACTCCCTTCAAATAAATGAAAATTCTAGGTCGAAGAGCCGCGCCTCAACGAATATACCGTAACTGGGCAACCCCTGAAAGCTGAGAGCGGAATGTTGAGCGCCGAGCAGACGTTGCAGTTGCAGCACAACATTGACGGCAAGTTTTCGAATGGGTTCTTGCATCCGCTAGACTACCGAAAACTGGAAAAAATTAATTATACAGTTTTTAAACCGTGACGACTTTCATGGAAAATGCATTAAAAATTCGAACATTTCGTTTTACAGAAGAAGGCGTCCTCGAAAACTTCAATTTCGACAGCGTCGACGACTTGGAGGAGGACTTCGACTTTGACCTGTTGCTGGAAGAATTTGATCAGGAAGAAGATACACAGACAGAAGATGGAATTGCCGAGGATCTGAAGGATGCGTTCGATTTGGTGAAGACGGAGATCAAGAGCGAGCCGGTCAGCCAGCCTGGGCCATCCACTTCTTCGGCATCTGCCCCAGATCCCAGTCAGCAGCCGTTGGGGTGAGGTTTAAAGGGATTGACAAGGGATGATTACGGATTTTTATCCTGCGAAACGCAACGCCATTACCTGTGATTACATGGCGTAATTGATTAAGACATCTTACAAGGAGACGTTTTTTGGTGTGAATGGAGTTCTGAGTGGAAACCAAGCCTATTTTGTGCAGAATTTTTCGCTGATTCCGAATATGTTTTCGAATTCTGCTAAATAGCTCGATTTCAAAAGTCCTAGCAATTTTAAGATCATTTTAGCCCAAATTTTCCCTTCTTTAGGGACCATTATATTGCTTTTTCCGGCTGTTTTTCCAAAAATGGAAATGGAAAAAATCGACGATACTTGGTATGGGCTGCGATTTTTGTATGGGAAATGGTGAAAAATAGCCTATTTCTCACCCCTGTAAGCCATCGTCGATCGGCAGTAGCGCACGAATCAAATATACCCATCGAATCAGAAAAAAATTCTCTACAAGATAGGCTACTTAAACAAAATTAAAACGTTATAACAAAAAAGTAGCACAGCATAGCATATGGCTACTCTGGGCCTAAAAATTATCTTAAAATAGCTGTAACTTTTTAAATCGAGCTATTTAGCAAAATTGGAAAACAGCATCGGAATCAGCGCAAAATTCTGCACAGAATAGGCCTGGTTTGAACTTAAAACCCCATTCACACGAAAAAACGTCTCCTTGTTAGCAATGGCCAAATGGCGGTTGGCTTGCTGTCGCGGTCGGGTTAAAGGGGTTGGCAAGGCAGAAAATATATTTTTCTCTAAATGGATTTTCTACTGAGCTGGAAGAGACCGCCACACGGCGTATATCTCGAATTCCATTGCGTAATGGATCGCGACAAATGGCGATAGACAAGCGTTGCGTGGTGCGATGTGCAAAAATTTTCTGGACTGCGCTTATCCAACGACCGTAATCAGTCCGGACCACTTGCCGATTTTACTTAAAGGGGCTGACAAGATAAATTTATCGATTTTGCTGGCTGTTTATTTTACGTCGTAGCCGTAGCCGTAATTCTCTTGAATAAATTATTTCATCATCAAGCGCCGTGTGCATTGCGCATCGCGGGCGCGGCAAAACCCCCCGCAACTCCAGCTAAAGAAATTTATTTTTCTACTTTTATCAAGCGCTTTAAGTAAGCTTCTGAAATGTGAATTTGACAACTTCTAAAAAACACGCAACGCGCACCGCTTCACTTGGCCCTCGTCAAAGCAATGTAATCCATTACGCAGTAAAACAAAAAAGAGCATGCGTTTCGTGTCGCGGGGGCAGAAAAATCTATAGGAAAGGAAAAAATTATACTCTGCCATACCCCCAGGGGGTATACCCCCCATGGGGGTACAAAAGGGGTACGAGGTGGGGGTACAGCGGGGGTACGGGGTGGGGGTACGAAGGGGTACCCCACCCCCTACCCCCCACCCCCAGCAACCCAACAGATTTTTTCCAGTTACCTCCCACACATACCACATATCGGTGGCTCGCAAAAAATTCAGGAAGAAATGACGAAGTCCGCCGGAATTTCACCAAGGCAGTTAATAAAATACGAAACTTAAAGTAAACATTTTTTAAATTTTTGTTATTTTTTCCACTTAAAACATGTCTGAATTTTACTAAAAACATTATTGAAATTCTTACTATAACGTTACCAGGGGTTTCTGGGTTTATTTCAAAAAGATTGGTCCGCCGATAAACTTTCAACTTAAAAAAATGTTTAGTTCAAATTTGGTATTTTATTAACTGCCTTGATACAATTCCAGCTGACTTCGTCATTTCTTGTTGTATTTTTGCGATCCACCGACATGTGGTATATGTGGGAGGTCGCTAGAGAAAAATTTGCTGTGCTGCTGGGGGGGTACCCCATTTGTACCCCCTTTGTACCCCCACCCCGTACCCCCTTTGTACCCCCACCTCGTACCCCTTTTGTACCCCCATGGGGGGTATACCCCCTGGGAGTATGGCAGAGTATAGAAAAAATTATATAAAGGTTGACTTTCGTAATTCATTACGGAATAGAAGTACCAACGCGCGTTGCGTGCCGCGACCGGAAGGTTAGCCATTCGTTACGCGAGGAAATTAGGGGCGCGGATAAAAACAGCCGGCCAGCGCGCTGCGTGTCTCGATCGCGAACCATAATCCATTATGCCATCTAAACTGAACGCGCCACTGGTTAGTGTTTGTCGGAAATCCAAAAAATTCAGAAATTGGCCTTCTAAGCGCCTTTAAACCCCATTACCTTTCAGACCTACCACCTTCGCGCGAGCCCTGAACCCAGCTCTCAGCCGCTCCTCCTCGCAACTCGAAATGTCGGAACGAATCCAGAATGCCGCAACGGAAAGGTGAGTATCGGGTGGGGGGCTTGACTTTAATGCGCGGATAGTCACCACACATTTAGGTGGGAAGAGGATGAACCGCTGGGAGATAAGGCTACAAAGGCTGCCGTTCTCTATGTCAATATCAACTTCCCGAACCTGAAGGCCAAGTATCCGGAGTGGAATGATCGCGTCAAGTATATACAGAAGTGAGTGTAGTTATATACTAAAGGTCATATACATGAATTTATGCTATTTTCGTAGCGTGCAAAAAAACGGATAACAGCAACCTTAAACTAAAAATTTCTAATTTTAGGCAATGGCGGATCCTGAGCAGCGAGGAGCGCAAGAAGTACGTCGAGATGGCCAGGGAAAATAGGCAGCAGCGCGGAAAGGTATGGAAAAACTATAAGCACTTATTAAAGGGAGTAGAAGAAAAATATTTTACCAAAATTCATTGATTTTTTTACTTGCAGGCCCCTTTAAAATCCTATATATTGGAATTTTCGTAAGCGAGATAAAGAGTGAGAGAGTGGACAGATGGAGCAAGCGAGATAGAGAGCGAGAGAGAGGGAGAGAGAGAGGGAAAGAGGGCAGAGAGTGAGTGAGAGAGCGAGAGAGAAAGCGAGAGAGAGGGAGGGTTGGTGTATGAGAGAGAGGGGGGATAGAGAGAGAGAACGAGTGAGAGAGGGAGAGAGGGAGATAGTTAGAGAGAGAGATAAGACGAGATAAACGCTGACTTTCAATCAATCACACAAAAATGATACATTAAGATTTGGATTCTAGTGCGTTATTTTCCTGCCTGAAGCCCCTTTAAAACCCAAAAATCCATGTTTAAGGCAATCGGCTCAATTCCTAAATTTTAGGTACCCCGCCAGAAGCGCGTGCAATCCACAAATTCGACAAATTCGACCTCGCTGGATAGTCCGACCCTTTCCACCCCTCCATTGGGCCACGGTTTCCCACCTCAAGCCCTCGGACCTCAAGGCTTCCACCCAATGGCCCCAGGCCAAATGATGCCGGAAGGAATGGCTCCGCCCCCTGGCCCTCCAGTCCACCATCCACGACCTCCCGTATCTGGAGAAGTCGTGAGAGCTTATGCCATGCTGCGTGATCTGGTGTATCGTCATGACGTCCAAAAGCACAGAATTGGAGAGGAATTGGCCAATCTGGAACGTCATCGGGAAGCCATTGTCAATAAGCGGGAGGAGCTGATCGAGATCCCGATGCCGCAGAGACTTTCGAGTTTACCGGAAGAAGAGAGGGCACAGTATGAACAGTTTGGGGTAAGGCTTTTGAAAATAATTGTATGGAATACTTATAATAGCTTTAAACCACTTTTTTAAAATTTAATTCCATGTTTTAAGGAACGAATCACTACCGTACAGCAAGACAAGGAAAAAGTGGAAGAAGAGCTTCAGAAGTCGATCGGACAGCTAAATGAATTGGTGCAGAAGAGCGGAATACCAAGGGAAATCCTGAACCAATATGCCCAAGGGTCGGCACTGCAGGAGAAGCTGATGGCTGGAAGACAGGTAAGGATATTTCATTTTTTTCAACGATATTAGTACCCTTGCGTGGAATGGAGATGGAGCAAAGAATCCATTTTGTAAACCTTAACGTTATCGTATCGGAATCTAAAGTCCAAATTTGAAATTTTTACTTTACAAGCTATCAGTTAAAAATTTAAAATTAGAAAATGTTATAAAATTATTAAATCTATTTATTAAAAACCTAAGATTTTGTAATTTCATGAACTAGAAAAACGTACAAAAACTTCTTAAAAACGACTTTTTCAAAATTTGAACTCCGTTTTAAACGCATAATTTTACAAATTTAAATCATATCAGGCGTCAAAATAAATTTTGAAACGCTTAAAAATCTCATATATGTATTAAATTAAGGAAAAACGACGTGAATTCTTAATTTTAAAATTCTAAAAATATCTCAAAGAAACAATTTGAATATTTGATTTTTTTCGTCACATTTTGCCAATTTCAGCTACCACCCGGCCACATGGGCCACTTCGGGATGCCGCCACCGGAAATGGGGCCAGAGGGCCAACTCATGCCTAGACCTCCACCAAGATTCGTGCGTACCCCATGGCTGGGTACAGGAAGGGGTCAAATGCTTTACGAGAGGATCGTCAGTCCGGAGGGGAGAGCCGTCTATGAATGTCTTGATGATATGCTATCCCATGTATCCATTCAAATTGACGGTCATCCACAGCCGCACTTGTTGAAGGTGAGTTTCTTCCTGGAGCTGGGTAACTGTCAAGCTTCTTCTAAGGGATAGGATGTCAAGATTCACAATTTGGAATCAGGAACCGATCTATTAATGCGTAATTTACGTCGTTTTAGCGTCTGCTCGAAAACCCCTCTACCGGCTCGGGCATGGGCCCGCCGGGTATGATGATTCCGGGAAGACCTGGACTTGTCCCCGGAGTCCCCCATCAACCACTACCTCATTTCCCGAACGCCGCTGCTGATCTCGAGCCGCCCAAGCCGAAGAAGAAGGTAAGGAAAGTGAACATTTATAAACAGGCATCCAAAGTTATTTTAATCACTTTTTTAGCGCACCGGCATCAAGAAAACGGGCTCCGTCGCCGGCAACAATGAGTACGACTTGATGCTCAAGCGAATTGGTGCTCATCTCCAGCACCAAGCCTTCCCAAGGCGGGCACTCGAAAGTGTACAGGTTTGTGAATTGTTAAGCCTGAAATTTAGGACTTTAAAACGTAATTTTTTTTGAATTTTCGAAGCTAAAAGTTTTTTTGAACAGTTTTGGTCCCCGCAAATCTTTAACTCGGTGGAGTTTTGCCTTAAGAGTTCCTTTAAAACGCAATTTTAACTAGTTGTTGCTTTTTTAGAGTCGCGGCATGGGCCACCTGATCGAGCCGGGACTTACGGAACTTCCGGAAAGACTGAAGGGCTCGGAGTCTTCGCTGGAGCATATCCGAAACCCGGCCAAGACCCCAGATCCGCATCCTTTGGAAGGAGAGATCTTCGCCGAGACCAAGTTCCCGTTCACTGATGATATCTTCGTGGCGGGGCCGCCAGGATATTATCCACCGGCTAATAGCAGTTTGGTGATGGCTGCTGATGTGGAGGCGTTACTGTAGGTTTCCAGAATATACCTAAATTTATGGCTGGTTGGTATCCGGTAGCTTCCCGGTCCACTTCCGGTCTGAATCCTGTTAAAACCCTACGACACCCTCCTAATTACAGTGCCAGCGACGCCACCCCGTGTGAGATCATCTACGACGAGGTCGACCTGGCCGATGGGGTCAGTCGATGGCAACCCATGAAGATTCTGACACGAGCGGTGCCGAGGAAGCCAACTGATCTGTATCTCCGGACGCAGATACGGCTTCCGGATAGTCCATTACCGCCTAGGGAGCCGAGGAGGAAGGACTTTATGCAGGTCAGCTTCTCTCTCCCTCTCTCTCTCTCTCTCTCTCTCTCTCTCTCTCTCTCTCTCTCTCTCTATTTTTCTCTCTCTCTCTCTCACCTTCTCTCGCTCTTTCTTTCTCTTTCTTTCTGGTTCTCTGCCTCTCTTGCTATCTATCGTTATCCTCTCCTCCTCCTCTCTCTCTTTCTCTCTTTCTCTCTTTCTTGATCCGTCAAAACCTAGTTTTTTTTCAGAAAGCCGTCCCAAGAGAAGAAGATAGTGATGAGGACGAGATTGAGGTCCAAGTCGATGTGAATGAGGCCGAACTTATGAAATGGTACTCCACGGTGAAGAGCGAGGTCCCGAAGGAGGCCCACCAGCTGCTGTTCGACAAGTTGGCCGAGTTGTTGACGAATGGGAAGAAGATTGAATATACCATGGATACACCTCCGGAGTCGCCTATTGGTGAGTGAGAGAGCGAGAGCGAGAGCGAGAGAGAGAGAGAGAGAGAGAGAGAGAGAGAGTAAGAGAGAAAGAGCGAGAGAGAGAGAGTGAGCGAGTGCGAAAACGTGTCTAACCCCTCGATTTCAGAATCCGGCTTCAACCTGGCCACCGTCAAGCAAGAACCAATTGCCCGATGCGGATTTTGCGATAAATCTATGGAGGATTCTTCACCTCGTTCCAACGAGCCCGACGAGTTCTGCACGTACCAGTGCCTCTACCGGAACGCCGACGCCAAGAAGGTCAGAAAAATAAAAGTAGAAAAATTATTTAAAAAATTTGGTAAATTTCTTTAAAAGTCTGATTTTTAGATCCCCCTAACGCCTGACCAATGCGCCGACGCCGAGAAATACGTAGATGAGGAAACGTTTGTCCGCCTGAAGCAGTGCTCAGCCGACAACATGGCAAAAGTTGTTCAAGGAAGGGTGAAGCTGGAACAGCCGCAAGCTGACGCGATGCGAGTCCGAGAGGCGCGCAGTGTCTCGGTTGATGAAGCCAGTGCAAAGAGGGAATATGTCCAGGTGAGTCCTCACGGTTTTAAAGGACCTGGAAAGCTTGGAATCTTGCTCTTTACACCTTCCAAAATCGAAAATCTGAAATCCTGTCAGGGAGCGCTGACGCGTGCGGTTGCGTTGCGTACGTACCTATGCGTACGCGTGCGGCCGCGCTGCGTGTGCGGTTCTTGCTTTTCATATCGTAATCTGGAGCCGGACTTGCTCAAAGAATTTTTTAAGGTTTTTGCGTTTTTCCTCAACCTTCGTGACAAAAAATGCTCTCTGTTAGCTTGCCACCGTTTCTATTGCCCGTTAAAGGGAACGAAACCAGGTTTTAAAGGATAAGCAAAGCCACAAAATGTGCAGATATTTTTCGTGATTCCAATTCCGATAAGGAGCTTTGCAAGTTGAGCCGAGATTTTTTTAACCCAAAATTTCGTCAAGTAGCCTAGATTTTTGCCTGGTTTGACTTTACACTACGCATTTATCAGGTTTCTAAATAATCTTTGCTAGCCTGGAAATGCAGCAGATAACAAAGACAATAACTACGCCACATCCCTCTTTGCAGCCAATCCGTGTCTCCGAGCTGCCCACTCCCCAAGTGCCCGACAGTCCATCGGAGCGTCGTGGAGCCCAGCAAGATGGTCGGGGTTGGTCTCCATTTACGGCACAAGTCCGTGAGACGTTCCTCAAGATTGCCCAGCACCGGAAGGTATGTATTTTGACGAATTTTTATCCTTAATACATGATAATATCTTTAATTTTATTTTTGTTTCATTTTTCGCAAAACACAATTTTGAAAGAGTCATTGAATCAGATAAATGTCGCTTTTGCAGGAAACATTGCAGGAACTGGCGCGCTACGTTCCGAAAATGGGCATCATTAACTCGCATATACCCTACGATCGGGACCAGCGACAATGCCAATTCTGTGGACAGATCGGGGATGCTGAACCGACGTATCAGGTGAGCAAATTAGCTCTAAAGCGATTTTTCTCTCTATCTCTCTTTCTCGCTCTCTCCCGCTCTCTCTCTGTCTCTCTCGCTCTCTCTATCTCTCTCTCGCTCTCGCTCTGTCTGTCTCTCTGACCCTCGCTGACTCTCACTCTCTCGCTCACGCTCTCTCACTCCCTCTCACTCCCTCTTACTCTCTCACGCTCTCTCTCTCTCAGTCTCTCTCTATCTCTTCGCTCTATATCTGCTCTAGCTCTGCCTATGTCTCTCTATCTCGCTTCCTTTCACTCTCTATCTCTCTCTCCCTCTCTCTCTCGCTCTCTCTCGCTCTCTCACTCGCTCCTCTCTACCTCTTGCTCTCTCTCTCTTTCTCTCTCTCTCTCTTTCTCTAATCCAATCTTTTCCAGGGCCGTCTCCTGAACGTCGATTGCGGCGTCTGGGTCCACGTTAACTGTGCCCTATGGAGTGCCGAGGTCTTCGAATCCCCTCAAACTGGCTCACTCTCCCATGTCCAAAAAGCGATCGAACGATCACGACAAGTCCGTTGCGAGAAATGTGCGCACCCTGGGGCTTCTCTCGTTTGTCACAAAGCTGAGTGCCAATCCACCTATCATCTCGCATGCGCCAGGAGTATGCCGGGCAGCAAGTTCCTGAAAGATCGGGTGGGTTATTCAGCGAATTTTATTCTTTTTAAAGGTACTGGAGAACGGAAAAAACGTGAAAACATTTGCAATGTAATTTTTGAGATTTGGCTCTAATTTTACGAATTCTAAAGGGACCGGAAAATCGGCACATCATCAAAATTTCAAAAAAAAATCCATACAAATAGTTATTTTTTGAAAGTTTTTTGAAGAATAGTTTTTTAAAGGCATAGCAACTTAAAAACTAGGTCGAAAATCTATGAAAACCGCTATAAATAATTTTTCCAGTCATTCATCTGCCACCGTCATCAAGAAGTCACAAACGACGTGCTGGTCACCACGTACGAGTCGTTGAGAAGGCTCTATGTGGACAGGGACGAGAACCTGCTGCTGGCCAAGTTATATGATGGAGATGTTGATGCTCCAAAGATGGTGCTCAAGATTGGGGCGTTGACGTTGCACTCCATTGGACAGTTGTTGCCCGAGCAGCTCAAGGGTAAGGATTTTTTGGGCTATTGGAACTTTTAAGGGAACTTGAAAGTTGCGATCTCGCTTTAGGGAATTTTGGGAAAATTTTTCTACCAAGTATTGCCATTTAAAGGGCCCTTGAAGACAAAATCTTTAACTTTTGGACGGTCTTCAAACAACGTACAATTTAGCGGAGCTTTTAAAGGGACTGTTCGACGTAGATTCTTCCAAAAAACGAATTCAATACGAAGGGACATTTCTTTCGACATGGTGCGTCGGATTCGTTCCTTAAAGAAACGGGCAAGGCATAGCTAGGGATCATTTTGGCAAAAATCTAGCGGTCACAGTCCCTTTAAAAAATATCCGGCTGAACGCGTGCGCTTCTGCGTTGCGTATGGCTAAAAAATTGACTAAAACGGTCCCAGAGTCACGTAGAGACTACGACACGCAACGAGTTCACCTTCAGCCAAAAATATTTCTGTCTCAGCACCTTAAAAGCATATCGCACTGCTGAAAGTGCGTGCGGTTACGTAGTGTAGCGTAGTCTCTTGCCGCAACCCGACGGCAACGCGTTCACTGGGACTGGGACAAGAGGACCAACTAATGTAAATTTTCAGCATTCCACAACACGGAGTACATCTACCCTGTTGGCTACCACGCGAGTCGTCTCTTCTACTTCCCGCCCACCTCCCAGGACTTTAGCTCTGTCCTCTACCGTATCGAGTACACCTGCGAGATCAAGGAGAAAGAGAAGAAGCCGAACTTCGAGGTCCGACTCTGCTATACGTCGCAACACAATCAACTCGTCGAGCAAACCATCGGAACTGGAGCAACAGCCTTCGATGCTTGGCTCCCCGCGCTCAAGCTCGTGAAAATAGCTCGAGACAGGATGAGTTCGGGCGAGGTTTTGGGCCACGGGAGGATTGCTCAATATTTGAAGTTTTTCCCATTGGCCCTATCAGGCGAGACGTTATTTGGATTGAAGGAATCGGCTATTTCCAAGATTTACGAGAGCTTGCCTGGGGTGGATAGTCTGTATACGTATACCTTTCGCCATGGAGGGGCACCTATCCTCGAGCTCCCGCTAGCTGAGAATCCATCCGGATGCGCGAGGACGGAGCCCCATTTTCGGACACTCATCAAGAAACATAGGAGTAAACCAATGCCCCTGACTTCGACGGAGACTAGGGATCAGGTGGGATTTTTGAGGATTTTAAACCTTAATTTAAATTTGGTACTTTTGCATTATCAGGGGACGAACTTTTTTTTACTGATCGGTTCAGAAATACCTTGTAACGCAATAGTAGGGATTTTAATAATTGATTAAGCAAAATTTAACTATTTCCAAGCGGAAAAACATTTAAAAACTTGAAACTGTGATGTTTTTACGTTTAAAAATAGTAAAATGGTTGAAAAATACTTCATGGATTTCTATTAGAAAAATTGGACACTAAAAAATTGGTTGCTGTCCCTTGAAACCCCCTCCCCCCGATAATGCACAGGAATCAACGATTTTTACTGGGAAGTCCTAATTCTAAAGTCTATTTTTTGGCTATTTTTATTTGTTTTTTTTCGCTTTTACCGACGTAAACCAGCTATAAAAAGCTGCATAAGAAAAAAAGCCTAAAAAGCATAGTTTCAGGCAGCGTTATTTAGCATAATCTATTGTTTTTTAATTTAGCAATTTAGCAATTCCCTCTTCAAAACACAAAAAGACTCCCCCAATTTTCAGCCAGGAACCTCCGCCGGAACGTCACGTAGCGGTCGTGCTCGGTGCTCAGCCCGCGGAGCCGGAACCTACGACTCTGAGCTGCAAGCGGCCGAGATGCAGAGAATCTGGACGGCAAGTGGAATCAGCGCCGAATGGGTGGCCGCGATGAAATTCGGAATGGGCGAGCCGACGAGCAATGCGGCCATTTTCTCGGCTTACCAGACGATGAAGAAGGAATGGAAGAACACCGTGTATTTGGCTAGGTAATTACGATACTTTACTTACCTTTAATCTACCGATCTAGTTAAAGGGGCTCCGAAATCTGGTCCACGGCCCCCTGCTGTGATTCCTGGCAAATTGCCAGATGCGGCCGCAACGCGACCGCGCCGCATGGTCTTTTGCCCCCGTTTGGACCCGAAAACTCTTGAATTTAAAAATTCTGATGCTATTTTTGGAATCTTCACCGAATTTTGATCATTCCAGACTTTTAAATTATGAAAATTGACCAGAGAATCACCGAGATCGAGAGATTGGGTGTCTTACAAGGCATTACGACATGTAATCGTCGCACACTCAAAAACTCGTTTTCGCCCCGAGAACATTTCGGTTTTACTCAAATATTTGACGTTTTTTCGCAACGAAAACAGTTTTGTTGTACTCCTCGGCAGTGACTCTTTCGTTTTTTGACCAGTAGGTTCAATCCCCGTACGCGCGAATTTTGACTTCTGAGCCCCTTTAAGCTAAAAATTTGAATAGTGTATACTTTGGTGTAGTAAAAATATGTGTTTCATCTATAGTTCGTTTTTAGGTCAAAGATCCAGGGTCTCGGCCTGTACGCAAAGCGGGATATCGACATGTTCTCGATGATCATCGAATATAAGGGAGAGCTGATCAGGAGCGAGGTAACTTTGCAGGACTTTTAAAGGGGTTGGGAAGCCATGATAATTACCCCTTTGGGCGACTAGGCCTCAACTTAAGCAATAATTACGCAATATTTCTTGCGTCTGATTGTTGTCGAGATCTAGTCACTGAAAGGGTCGATTTTCCGGCTTCAAGTCATGTTTAAAGGGACTGGAAAGCGTAAAAATCTACTCCTTTAGTGTTGACAGATTAGGGTTGTTTCTCGGAACAGACCGAGATTCGGAACTTTCGGAACAAAGACTGGTCGGAACGTTCCGAGATTCGCGTGTTCCGGCTGTTCCGAGATTCGGAACATTCCGAGATTCAAATGTTGCGTTTGTTCCGAGATTCATAGTGTTCCGAGATTCATAGTGTTCGGGCTGTTCCGAGATTCAGAACGTTCCGAGATTTGGCTGTTCCGACTGTTCCGAGATTCGGAACCGTCCGAGATTGAGCTGTTCCGAGATTCAAATTTTTTCGCATGTAAATTTCGATTTCGTGTAAATTGTGTAGATTGCATGTAACTGTTTCGATTTTGCCGTGACACGGCAGTGTGGGCGCAACTGAACACTTACTTCCGTCGATGGTTAGATATTGAATCTGGAAATTAAGGAAATGAGAACGAATTGGGGATCGAATCGAATCGAAATTCAGTCGTGTTTGGAAATTTACATGCGAAAAAATTTGAATCTCGGAACAGCTCAATCTCGGACGGTTCCGAATCTCGGAACAGTCGGAACAGCCAAATCTCGGAACGTTCTGAATCTCGGAACAGCCCGAACACTATGAATCTCGGAACACTATGAATCTCGGAACAAACGCAACATTTGAATCTCGGAATGTTCCGAATCTCGGAACAGCCGGAACACGCGAATCTCGGAACGTTCACATTCGGAACAGTCGGAACGGTTGCTGTTCCGAATGTTCCGAATCTCGGCCTGTTCCGAGAAACAACCCTATGACAGATTGAAAGTTGATTGAAATCGTCATTTGGCCTGTATCGCAGTTGTCGATACCTAGTCGAGGCTGGGGTTAAAGGGATGCCCAACCTTTTCGGGGCTCAAAAAGCAAAAGCCATGCCGCGAGCGGGGGTCGAACCCCGGAGCCCCGTTTTGTAGGCCTAGATGCTATCCATTAGGCCATAGTGGCAAGCCATTTGGTGGGATGGGAACGCCACAAGAGGGAATGGTGTCCGAATTCTGTGCGGCTTTGGGGCCCATTGCCGCACAAAATTCGCGCGTCATTTGTACTGCCCGGAATACATAACTATATATTTGCCGGCTAAACGTTGGGTACCCCTTTAATACTAGCACCTCAATAGTCAAGGAACCTTTGAGCTTATTTACGCAAGACGCCTATAACGCTGACTTTTCCAGATCTGCGAAGTGCGCGAGAAACAGTACAACGCAAAGAACATGGGAGTCTACATGTTCCGTATTGATGAGGAGATTGTCGTTGATGCCACGATGGCCGGAGGGTGTGCCAGGTGAGTTCAGAATCTGGAATTTTAACGGTTTCTGAGTTTCACATAGTATCAGTACCATTATTATGATCATCGCTAAAATCAAGAATCATTTCCCAGATACATCAACCACTCGTGTGACCCGAACTGCTCGACGAGGATCATCCAGACCGGGACGCAGAGCGAAGACAAGAAGATTGTTATCACAGCGAACAGACCGATTAAGGCTCATGAAGAGGTGAGAGAGAGAGAGAGAGAGAGAGAGAGAGAGAGAGAGAGAGAGAGAGAGTAACTTAACCAACTTTTTTTTCAGCTAACCTACGATTATCAATTTGACGTGGAAGAAGAGACCAAAATCGCCTGCCTGTGCGGCGCTCCAAATTGCCAGAAATGGATGAATTAAACAACTTTTCATAATTAATTTTATTTCTACTATACCTCACCCCCTCTATGCCTATCAATGCTCCTTTAAAAATCGACAGCCCGGCCTTTTTGGATGCCCGCTTTTATGGCTGGACCCCTGAAAATCTGAATTTCTTACTACCTATTTTTGTACCTTACCCTCGACTATGCACCAAAAACCTAGATATTTTCTGAATTTTCCAGCTGCATTTCTGTACATTTGACTAATGGATTACGCAAGGAAATGTGATTTTTTGATGTCTCTGGATTGACTAGTAGCATTGATTCTTTCCAAAAGTTTGAATAAGCTCTTCGTAAAGCGATGAAGAATAAATAGTTGTATGTATTAACTCGATTGTAAACACGCAGATTAAATTTGAGAAAACAAGATAAAATTCATATGGAAAACACCTCTTTCATAAATGATAAACGGCCTCGTGCTTTTTTCCTAACAATTTTACGCCAGAATACTGACACTTCCGTTTTTTATATTTTTAATGATATTAAATTATGAAAAGCAGATTTTGAAATTTGAATGCATATTGTCGATATTTTGTTGATAGGGGATTTAATCATTTAAATGGCCTGAAAATTGACTTACTCAAATGATTACAGTTAGAATACGCTAATTACCATATTTCCAAATCATCGAAATCGCAGCAAATCATAGTAAACCATGATACTATATACTTAATCTCATATAAAAATTACAAAAGTACGGATCACGCCCAAAAACGTATCAAGGAAATGCAATTGCACGCAACTCTCCCACCCAAAAAAAACACCTGATTTTTCTGGTCTATGGGCCGAAGCTTTTCCTACGCTAATTTGAATCGGCTCTCCGAATCAACCCAGCCCAGTACCCAGTCTCGAAAAACGACTGGAAAAATGCAATTCGAGGCCTTGGATTACGGTACTCTTGTGCTGAAGCTATTAATATTTGCATTGACTTTTTATACGTTATGGAGGTTAAGGAAATTTAAGGTAACCTTGGACTACACAACTAGATTTTGATAATTCTCAGGATTTTGTTGTGCTTGGGCTTAAATTCCCACTAAAAACTTCTATTTTTTTCAGGAAATAAATCCAATTTTGGTTGCAAATGTGATACTTGTCCTTACCGATTTTATCTACGCAGCACTCGCGATTGTGCACGATAATTTGGCCAAGATCTTTGACTATGAGACTTTCGGTAGGTAAACGTTAGAATTTCTTGGCCTTTTGCGGCCATTTAAAAAAATTAATTAAACTAAAAAAACAATTAAATTACACTGGCTAAAAGGACTAGGTAGGTATAAGCCGATGGATATCTGAAATGGAATGGAATCCCCGTAGGTTTTGCCCAAATCATATCCATAGCCCAAAACATCGACAGCCCTGCCTTCCGCGTTTCTTGAAAGTGATCAGGAACCGCGAAAATCAACCCGGTTCTCGCGACGGGTGATACACCGGAAGACACATATAAGCGCAGCCCTAAACCCACCCCAAAACCAGGCCATCGGAGTCTTCGAATTCAGCTTGTGCGTGTTCTGGCGTGTAGCGTAGCGGTCAGGGCCTAGGAGCCAAAAATAGTCGATTCTCGCGCTTCTTTGTTCTTTTAGAGCAATGAGAAAAAAATTCGAGAAAAAATAAAAGCTTGGATGACATTTAACAGGTTTTGGAAGAAGCATACCTTTTTTAAACAAGTGCAACGGTTAACTTCCAGGCCCTATCGGCGGTTTTGCGTACCTCTACATCGCAAACCTCCGATATTGGATGCAAATCTACACCCTCTGCATATTATCAGTTCTCTACCTAGTCGCGATATTCGCCCCTAGCAAATATCGCTTGCTCGGAAAAGCATCCATTTTTGGGATTATGGCAATTCCGGCTGGGCTTACTGTAGGTGAGGCAATTTCGTGCATTCGCTGTATTCAAATTTCAGTTTGAATACAGACTTCACACCCTTGACCCTAAACAAGAACAAAAAAAATAAGAATTACTTATTTTAGTTTCGGATACAATCTATTATACGGTATGCGATTGCCTGGAATATAAGATTCCTGGTCACTACTTTGCCATAAAGGCTGGTCGCCAAACCTTTGAGGATATGTTTGAGATTTATGATGCTTGGCTGAAGGTAGGAGAAAGAGAGACAGAAAGAGAGAGAGAGAGAGAGAGAGAGAGAGAGAGGGTGAGAGCGAGAGAGAGGATGAGGGTGAGAGTGAGAGTGAGAGTGAATGAGCGAGAGGGTGAGAGAGAGGAGAGAGAGAGAGAGAGAGAGAGAGAGAGAGAGAGAGAGAGAGAGCGAGGGAGGGTGAGTGCGAGATAGAAGGTGAGGGGTGCTAGAGAGTGAGTGAGATAGAGAGAGAAAGAGAGAGAGAGTGAGAGAGAGGGCGAGAGATAGATAGCGAGGACGAATGCGCGAAACGAGGAGAGAGACAAAGAGAGGAAGGAAGAAAGAGAGAGTGAGAGGGAGAGGGAGAGAAAGAGAGAGTGAGAGAGAGCGACAGAGAAAGCATACAAAACAATTTTAAATCCATTTTTACAGACCACAATGCTAGGCCTCTTGATCGGCACCGATGTGGCCATCATTGCCAAGCTGTACAAGATGAAAGTGTTGGGAAAGGAGCGCAGGCCAGTCGAGATTTCACCACGGACAGGTAAGATTTCGCACTTTTTGAAAGATATTTTTTAGTAACTAATCACCCAACTGGACCGCTTTTTCCGAGGCCAAGCCAGAATAATTTGATGAAAAATACGGTAGGTTACGGTAGCTACCGAGCACAGCGGGGACTACTTGAGCAGATTGAGCTTATTTTTACTTAATTTGGCTACAGAGTAATAATTTACATTCTATATTACCTTGCTTTAGAGAATATTTAAAAAATTACAGACCGCTACCCGCTCAAAGACGACGATCGATATTCGACTCGCGCTCGCTTTTCTCTATATCACCGTGGCGTTTATAATAATGACACTGTATTTTCGCTATATTTACATGTAAGTAAATGGTTTCGAGGTGCTTTTGCACTACCGGTGGGGAGTTGTCCAGGCGAGCAGGTTCAGCTTTTTCTTTTCAAACTAATTTTTCAACAATTAATAGATTCTAGTTTTTTATTTTCTGAAACATATCACTTTCCTCATTTTCAGTGTCCCCTACTCGATAATGCCGTACACGAATTTCGTGGTGTTCAACCTGGAGCTGAGCAAATGTACCGTATACGTGCTGATTGTCACGCAGAAATAAACATAATTGGTTCTCCTTGAGCGCTTGCCTGGGCAACATTCTATTTTGTGGGAATTTTTGGGTTAAGCCCTGTCTTTTTCCCACGCCCAATGACCATAACACCAACAAAACTTACTGTGTTTTCAAGGTGGAAAACAGCGTGTAATTGTTGGTCTCTAAAAAACCGAATCCAAAATTAAACTCGAAAAAGCGGCAGTCTTTGACCCCGAAACTTGAAAAAATTTTGACTTCAAAATATTTTTGGTAAGTAAACACTAAAAAAAGGCTGAAAAATATTGTAGCAAATATTTACCATACGTTTAATTATGATTTTCCCAGAGATATTCCTTGCAAGTGCAAACCTTTTCAAACTGTGTTGCTCTTTGGATAGACAGTTCTCCATTCGAACGGGTAGTTTATTTTTTAAAATTACGAGCCGATTCGTACCGTACGGCGGATGAAGTTGCTTGGGGGATGGGAGAGCAATAAAGCGCCCCCATAATCTAATTTGTTGCATAAAAATCATCATTTTCCGGAACTTCCGTATCCACGTCTTCCGGTACCCACAGGATATTCGGAAAGAGGCATCGTGTTCGTCGTAGTCGATTAACTATCGGAACCAGGGTTGTACGCTGATGGACCGGGATCGGTAAAGATCCGGGTCCGACGCGGATCCGAGAAAAAACGGGATCGGAAGTAATATTCTCGATACTGATGCTGATTCGGTTATTTTTATCGCAAAAATACATTGTCCAAATGCAGAACTGATCTTAGCATCTTAGAATTAGCACTAAGCTCGGTCGCATGATCCATTTCCTTGGATCCGGACCGGATCCAGATCCAGATCCGGATCCAGTCCGATCCGACAATGACCAACCCTGATCGGAACACATTTTAGCCGTATTTAGAAGAGTTGAAAACGACCCAACGATGTCGCTTCGTTCGCTACATCAAAAAAACCATTTTGGTTTTACATCTCTGATAAACCAACTTGTTTTTCCCACCGTTACCTCTTCCTACGAGCCGGACATCTTTGCCAAATTAAAAACCGCGTGTTCTTGACACACACGCGAACTTACGCGCGCGTACTAATTCCCCCGAGACCCCTGAAAATTCATTTGGAATCACGGAACAGTCCGCCAAAGTCTAGCCCCAAGTACAATATTTGATTTCGTTGTTTAGGCTGGGAATTAAGGGACAAGAGAGAAAGAGGAAGATAAAGAAGTAAAGCGCTAATTTCCGCGCCCCGAGTTCGTTACGATCAAAATGTTTTGGTACTCTGTCTGGGCGGAATAAAAAAAAGGAAAAGAAAAAAGGTGCGTTCGTTGATTTGTCGAGAGGAGCCTCTTGGAACATTTCATATTTCTGGAAAGCTATGTTCTCGGCTTTTGATGGATTTGAGGTGGTATTTCAGTTTTTTGTGCTTGGCCTGACGATAGTGACGATAAGGAGGTTGATGGCCTATAAGGTGAGTGAGGATTTTGAGGGTTACGGTTTCTCGATTTATTTTTTATTCGATTCAATTGAGAGATGGAGATAGTGGGAACGTGCGAGAGAGAGCGAGAGAGGTGAGAGAGAGAATGAGAGAGAGGGGGGAGAGTGAGAGTAAGAGAGACAGAGAGAGAGAGAGTGCGGGAGCGAGAGCGAGAGACTGATAGAGTTCGAGAGACTGATAGAGTGCGAGAGAGAGAGAGAGAGAGAGAGAGAGAGAGAGAGAGAGAGAAAGTACGTGGTTCTGCATATAGCTATGAGAAAAATGATAAAAAATAAGAAAGACCAAAAATTTTCTCCCAGGATCCAAGCCCAATAATCGCCGCGAATTTCCTACTCGTCCTCGCTGACCTCGTTCACCTAGTCGTCAGAATGATCCACGACAACCTGGCGAAAATCTTTGAAATTGAGCCGTTTGGTAAATTCATACAGAATATTAAAACATAACCAGGGTTGAAAAACCGCTTCGCGGCTTTTTCAACCCCGACCCCGTCCAGGACATGTGAAAGTCCTTAATTTGCATGTTTCTTCCTGAATTCTAGCAAGAAAAAAAGTGAAAAACCTCTCTTCTGTCCCTTTATATAGGCTCTTCCTACTTCCGGCGTATGCTAATTTCCCCTAACAAACAGGGTTTTACAAAAACCTATTTTTAATAGCGAAAACCGCAATTTTTCAAAATTTTTATGTGTGTGCAGTCGATTCCGGACCATTCTAAACCTATTGTCGTTTCTTCCCTATCCAAAAAACCCTTCCCCGAGGCTGTAGGAGCGGAACATCCTAACGGAAGTGCATGCAAATATACACACACACACACACACACAAACACTATTTTTTTATATATAGTAGGATCTGATATTTTCAGGTGATATCGGCGCTTGGACCTTTGTTTTCCTGATGAATTTCCGCTTCATCGTCCAGATCTATCTCTTCTTTTTGATCTCAATATTACATTTATTGGCTATATTCGCTCCAACAAAATATCGACGTTTCGACACGCCAACTACCGTAATTGCGATGGCAATCCCGGTCGGATTGGCGTTAGGTGGGTATTAAAGCGCAAAAAAATTACGTACGTATAATACCGATAAGATCTGAAACTTACGGTATTCCGTTCCAGTCCAAGATACGATATATTCGACCGTGTGCAACTGTTTGTACTACGACGTGGAGAAACAGGACTTTACCGTGCACCTCATCAACCTCGACTTCCAATTTGCATACGATATTTTTGACAAGGCATTGAAAGTACGTGTTTTTCATTTTTTATGCGAATCGCTTAATACCTAGTAACAGACCAAAAACCTTATTGTTAGGTATCGATGATTTCACTGCTAATCGGTACTGATATCGCGCTGGTTTCGAAGCTGTACAGGATAGACGGCCTGGGAGCTGCAAGGCGAAGAGCGGTCAGGACGACAGACAGCAGTTTAGCTACTGGTAAGTAGTAGTGCGTGTGTTAAATTTGCGCACAAAATTCGACGCTTGCGCGGTTGCTAGATGATGCGAGTCGCTTTACATTTGGCGATAAAATCGATAAAAAAAGATCATATTCTTCGGTCACGAGGCCCCTGAAATTCTGAATTTCCAGTTGCTACCGTTGAGCGACAGGACTCGACAATTGCGTGGACCAACGGATTACCACCTGCTTCGGTAAGTCAAGGCATTTTTGCGCGATTTCACAAATCAGCACTGCTCGCTTGCCCATCTAGAGGTTGTACTACCAGATTTTGTTTCTTATGGCGTGCCGATTTGTTAGAAACTTTAAAATGTGACCAGGGTTGAAAAGCCGCTTCGCGACTTTTCAACCCTGGCCTCGTCTGTTCCCATTTTATCCTTCACTTTGCATAATTGTCCTAAATTCCGATGACAAAAAATGAAAAACAACCTCTCCTGTCCATTTATATGGTCGAATCCCCACTTCCGGTCTATGCTAATTATTCCTAACAAAGAAGTTTACACAAAAACTTAAATTTAATGTTGAAAATAGGTGACTTTGTTGAATCTAAAATGCGTGCAGTCATCTACAGACCATTGCGCACCTAATGACGTATCATACGTACTTTAAAATTCATCGCCTAGCGAGATATCCTCCGGACAGACAGACAGAAGTGGATGGAAAGTGGCACACACACACACAGACACTATTTTTTTATATATAGTAGGATAAAGTTAGCAGCTTGAATAGCTTTACATGCACTGATAAATTACATAAAGTTATCAGAATCAGGACTTCTTCAATCCCTAAATTCTCTATGCTGTAGACCTCCCGAACCCCCCCCTAAACCTCCCTAACTAGGGGGGTTGGGAGGGGGGTTGTAGGGGGGTTCGGAGGGGGGTTTAGGGGGTTTAGGGGGGGAGGTTGGGGAGGTCTACTATGCTGGCGTACCCTTGCGATTACAAGTAAACTTATGTTATTTCGCTTGCATGTCTTTCCGAATGCCCTACACACCGTTATTTAACTTTGAAATCGATACAATCGGTCCTTTTCGGCGTTTTCAAGAGGTCTCAGCTTGCTTGCCACCAGTTCTTATAAAAATCGCTATAAAGGTATCATATATTAAATTTGATCCATTCAGACCCCAGCCCAACGTCCCGTCCACCGCGTTCGTATCGACAAGCGGCTGGCTCTGGGGTTTTTCTATATAACGCTCGCCTACACCTACGTCGGCTTCTATTATAAACTATCCCATTTGTGAGTTTTACGCTATAAGGACGCTGTAAGTACAGGAAATTACCGTTTTCTTGTTGACACCTAATTTCCTCGATTTTTCAGAATACCGACCAATATACGAGAGGGTTTCGCCCTGTTCCAAGCCTGTTTGGAGATCAGCAAATGTACAGTCTATGTGTTTATTGTTACGTATAAATAAATCGTTGTTTTTTAGGGTCTCCTACTTTTTCATTACCGGTGGGGGGTACAATGTAAAGCTTGACGTCATTTTCATGATTTTGTTGTAGTAACAATGTAAAGCAATAAACTACTTTTACATCGAATTTTAAAATTCGCTGCTTTGTGGTATGATAATGAAATTAGGGATTGAACTTCTTGAACTCGAAATCTCTAAAAGTTTACACCGGTTTTACCTTATCTTCGCCATTTTCATAAATTTTCGATCAAAAAGTAAATCTTGCCTAAAATTCCTCTATTTTTATTTGTTGATTTAATTCTAAAAACCGATCTATCGTTATAGACGTACAATATTCCTGGGAAGAATTCGGTTCACTCGCAACCCCCCCCCCACTAACAGCACAGTGCCCAAAGTTTGTACAAAAAATATTTCAAGTCCTCTAAAAAAAATTCAAATTTGAACTCGTTGCTTACTAGCTTGCTTACCAGGTCACTAGCTTACAACTAGCTTTAAAGGCTGAACATAGTTTTTCCAGCCCAAAAAAACTAATTGCCAATCCAAAGAAATCCGCTAGTTTTTGAGGCGAAAAGATTAGGAGCCTCCGACTAACAATCAAGAACGCGATTTTGGGTCCCGAATCCTCAGGGAATCGATTTCAATAAATACGGCAAAAAATGGGTGAGGGGTGAATTTAGGGGGATATGATCCGAATTGGTAATCAAATGACAGATTAGTGAGGGGTGGAGATTCGTCGCTATAGAATTGGACAGCTTGAACCTCATATCTCATTCCTCACCTTTCCTGTTATTTGAAAAAATTTTTCGAAACTTTATAAGCCTTTTCAAAGACGAAAAACTTGAAGCACGAGATTGTTTCTCCAAAAGCAGAAATGCTGACGACTCGCGACTATATCGAGGCTGGGATCAGGGTTGGACTGTTGTTTTTGATGTTTTATTCGTTGAAAAAGATTGTGATATTAAGGGTGAGCTAGTTTAAACTGAATGTTAGTAAAAAACGCTATTTCATGCGCGAATTGTAAAAATTTTTCGCGTTTCAGAACTTCGATCCGGTACTTGCGGCCAATTTTCTATTAGTGCTTGCTGACGTTATCAACAATAGTATACTACTGGCCCATGACAACTTGGCAAAGCATCTGGAGTACGAGCCATTTGGTATGTGGTAGAGGGCACTTTAAATAATTTTAATACCTTTATATCTATTTGGGAATGCGTCAGAATCGATCCTTCGTTTAGCTAGGTCTAACTACACGACGCCAAAAAAAAAAACATGAAATTCCGATACGCTCCGGACGTGAAGCGTAGCTGGCGGTACCTAGACTTCAAAACCGCTTCATTTTTGCGCTCCCTGATCCCTCTAAAAGCGCATCTGTTTCAGGTGAACTTGGCGCTTGGTTATACGCTTGGGAGGCTAACTTCCGGTATTTCCTTCAAATGTATCTCTACTGCATGATTCCATTATTTCACTTTATCCTATGCTTCCGCCCGGTCGTTTATAAAAATATTGGACATCGAAAGACGGCTGCTTATATGGCTGTGGCGCTCGGCTGTGCTTTTGGTAGGTTTGTGAAGAGGCCGGGGCAAGCTAGCAAAGATCATTGAGGAAAAGCATGCACAAAAATGAATCAGTATTCATAACCTTTGTTGTCGCTACTGGAACGGATTATAAAACAATCATACCGCTTTTAAGCCTTTTAATAAACCTCAAAATCTATTTTTTTTAGTGACCGAGACGTGCTATCACCTATTTTGCGCCTGTTTCTACTACGCGATACCGGGGTATTACCTCGGCATTCGGCCGGAGAGAATGGATTCTGAGCGGCATTTTGAAATTTTTCACAGTTTATGGACGGTGTGTTGGATATTTTGTGCTAAATTATAATCATACCAGCGGGGGAGGAGCCGCTTCGCGACTCTCCCCCGCTGGATCCCGTCTAGGCCCTATGAATCGAGCACCCTTCCACATAAAGTTACCCTGAAGAAAGAAAAACCCATCTCCCATGCAAAGCTCTTTGTATTGGCATGCGGCGCAAGCTTGAACTGCTAGTCCTGTTATTAGGCCTGCGGCGCATGTTTGATCGGCTAGGTCGCTACCTCATCCTACGGCCGAAGCTTGAGGGATTAGCCTCCTTTTGGCCTTTGGCGCCAGCTTGAGCGGCTAGCTTCGTTCTAAAGCCTGCGGCGCTAGCTTGAACGGCTAGCTTCGTTCTAAAGCCTGCGGCGCTAGCTTGAGCGGCTGGCTTGAGTCCTTGGCCTGCAGCGCATGCTTGAGCGGGTAGCTTCATTCTATAGGCTGCGGCTTGAGTGACTAACTTCATAATAACGTCCTTACACGGAAATCTACTCCGAAACGCACTTTCCGAGCAAAAAGCAAAACAACTACGATATCCGAGGATCGAAACACCGATGGTTAGATTAGCACGGTGAAGCGCTAACCACTATACCATGCAATGCTTGGTAGCACGCGTCAAACACCCGTGTTATGCCTCAAGAGGACTGCCCGGGGCAGGGGAAGAAAAAGCATCGAGAGGCAGATCCAAAGAGACGACCAAACTCGCGAGTGCAACTGGCAAGAATGAGGAAATTTGTATTTTTCACATTATGCAAATTAGCCCTCCCGGACCTCCAAAAATCAACAAAACCGGCTTTAACTTTGTAAACTTGTATTTTATCGAAATTCTGAGAACGCCATCGGAAACAGAAGGGTCGACTCCCCCGGGTGACGGAGAATTGAGGCGTTTTGGACACGGGAAGGCCCTCAAATCGGGCATCGAAAGTGACATCCACACACACACACACACACACACAGAGATACACTCCAAAGTATATAAGGTAGGATCATACATATATCCTAAGTGCTCATATTTTACTTTTTAACCGAAAAACGTATCTGCGCTGGTTGCGCTGCGGTTTTTCATGGGGGGAGCGCAGCGAAGTTTTAAGCGTCTGTTTCTGGAAAAACGACGATCTGATTTCTTTTATTAAAAGTTTTAAGATCGTAATGCTTTGGCTACTGATCGGAACTGACGTCGCGATTATAGTAAAGCTCTACAAGAGAAAAGCGCGCACTCAGAGGAATTCAAGGATTATTGAGGAGTCCAGAAGCACGGGTAATTCGATAAAAAATATTTTATTAACTGTATTGTTTATTTTATTTATTATTAGTTTTAAATTCAATAAAAACTACGGATTCTAATAAATTAAGGTTTAGCCAGTGCTCCGCCAATCGCATTTGTCGAAAATGGGTGGACGAACGTGAGTTGGCCACAGGTTCGGAAAATTATTAAAAAAAATCGTTAGTATCTCTCAATATTCGTTAAAAAATTTTCCGCAAATTAAAAAATAGCTCCTTCCTATATAAAATCATACCGATAGAAAATTTTATTAAATCCTATTCAAAGATTACAGATAAGTTTCAGCCCTCGACAACCCTCAAAATTGCGACAGATAAGCGGATAGCAATGGCTCTATTTTATATCGCGAGTTCGTATATATTCTTGACGATCGTCTTTCGATATCCGTTTTTGTAAGTCTTAGGCAGCTCCTATTTGCTTTTGTCTCCCTGTTCCTAGCTCCTAGCTTCTAACTCTGCGCTCCTAGCTCCTCCTCCTATCTTCAAGCCCAAACCTCCCAGCTCCTGCCACCTAGCTGTTCGTCTGATAGCTCCCAGCTCCCAGGTCCTAACTCCTAACTCCAGCTCCTAGGTCTCAGCTTCTAGCTCTCAGCTCCTACCTCCAAGCACATATCTCCCAGCTACTAACAGCTAGCTAGCATCTCACAGCTCCCAGCTCCTAGATCCTAACTCCTAACTCCAGCACCTAGCTCCTACTTCTCAGCTCCGAGCTTTCAACTTAAAGCTCCTAGCTTCTAGCTCTCAGCTCGTTGCTCCCGATTTCAAAGCGAAATTGGCGAACGTTGTGCGGTTAATTCCAAAAGGTTTATTTTTCAGGTTTCCGCCCTCAATTCAATCCGATATCTTGCTGTTCGGATTCTTGCTGGATACAAGCAAGTGTGCCGTTTATGTCTTGATAGTCGTCCAAAATAAATAGCTATTAAATGGTTCATTATATCTTCTCATCGGCCTTGTAGTGTCGATATTCCTCAGTGCTAATTTTACGGAAAAATTCCACTTCCTGAATCAAGACTTCGGGTTCCATTTTTGCCGTAGTTTTCACTAATTGTGTTTTAAAGGGGCTAAGAACTGCCAAAAATTGAGTGACGGCCCGAAAATCGGAGCCCTGTACGTCGGTGGCCCCTGTACACCCCGGGGCCCGGGAAGCTCGCAAATTTGAAATTGTCTGTTGTCACCTCGAAATCACGTGCTCGGCTGTTTCTGGGCCAAATTTAATGATTAAAACACCAGAACTATTTAAAATTGAGTGAGGATTTCAAAAATGAGCTCAGAATCCTTGAATTATAGTGTTTTCACACAGAAACCGGGCTAAAACGACTTCGCGCAAAAATCGAAAGAGTGGGTGCTCTCGTCCCGCACGCCTGCTGGCAATTTGCCAGAAATCAAAGAGCCCTCCCAAACGGGCTTTGATTTGGCAGTTCGGAGCCCCTTTAAGAAATGAGAAAAGGGCCATGAAGTACAAATCAAAAACTTTTTGCAACACCACCAAGAGTTCAAGCAGCCCGCAGAGACTTGGGATTCCAGGAATTTTCCGAGAAATTCTGTGGTTACTGCACCTGACCTAATTACAAAAAAAAGCCTAGGAAGCGAGTATTTACAGAATTATAACCTGAACTGCAGGACAGAAAAACAGCGGAATTTCGCATGCGGCGACATCCAAGGGGAACACCAGCTGCTCACGAAATTTTAACCATAATTACTACAGTCAAAATACTAACAAGCGAAATTACCGATAAACCAAAATTCTCCGACAACCCAAAACATCGGTAATCCACGATCCCGACCGCCAAAATCCACACAAGCTAAAATACCGACAGCCAAAATATCGACAGCTAAGATCTTGACATGCCAAATACCACCGACAAGCCAAAAACATTCTTCAAGCTAGATTAAATCCCATTGCGTGTCAAAAAGTTATTTTTAATGTCTTGGCTGTCGGGATTTTGGCCTGTCGGATTTTAACTGCAGGTATTTTGGGGTATCTGTACATCCTCCTCTTTCTCTCTGGTTCTCTCTCTCTCGTTCTCTCTCTCTCTCTGTCTCACCCTCTCTGTATCTTTATTTTAATTATAATACCGCTATTCTTCTCTGCAACACTGCATTCTCGTTCCATCCTGTTCAAAAAACCGAACAGGAACCAAGAATTGCCAGCCAAATACGGGAAACCGGATGCTTTTCCTGAAACTGGGTGGATAATTGATAGCCGGGGTAGAGAGGAAGAGAGGAAGAGAGAGCGAGAGAGAGAGAGAGAGAGAGAGAGAGAGAGAGAGAGAGAACGCATGAATTAGCCTCGAGGGCACAAAACAGGCTCTGCTGTATAGGGATTGCCCTGGTAGCGAGGGCAAAAAAGTGGTGCAGTCCTTTCGAGCAACTCTCGGTGTCTCGGTCAGCTATTCCATCTTCATCGTTCGTATTGTCATTTATTCCTTTCTCGCCGATCCATCAAAAATGAGCGGTTATTATGGATGGGTGTTCTTTGTTGGGTTCGCATTGTTACAAGTTGTTGCTGCCGAAGATGAGATGAGGGTAAGTTTTTGTAATTTCATAATTCTAATCCACTATTTATTAGTGACCAGTGGAAAAAGACCGCTTCGCGGCCCTTTTCCACTGGACCCCGTCCAGGAACCATGAATTTGAATATTTCTTTTTAGCCTGCGGCGCCAGAGCCAGCATTCCGCTAGAAACTTTGAGCCTGCGGCGCTAGTTACTGGTTTTCCTCTGGGCTCTGCCGGGTCCAGGACCCATCCTTGGCCTGCGGCGCGAGAGCCTGGGCCAAGGACCGTTTCTTTGGCCTGCGGCGCTAGATCGATGGACTTGCCTAAACCTCGCACACCGTGAGCCTAGAAATCTGTTTTGTTGCCCAACTGCCAAAAAGCAAAAAGTTAGATCCATCCAGGATCCGAACCCACGACCACACGCCTGGCAGACCCGAAGCAATCCATTAGACCACTGCGACGATGGGAACTGGCAGCGGGAAAGGCCTCTTCTCTCCTGGGGGAGCGCAAGGGCAAAGAAACGGGCGACCCAATGATCCCCGGCGGAGGCCTTTTAGTCACTTTAGAAAATTCCATTTTTTAGTCTGAATACGCTTAAAAATTGTGAAGATAATAAGATGCGCGTGATCCCCACTATCAAATACATAAGTTGCCCAATTTCCAGCCCGAAATTCCATCAGGGCTTCGAGTTATGGCCCGGACGCCACGGCTCGTAGCCCATTTTGTTACGGATTTTCACCATATTGTTTGTAAAATCGTTAAATGAAGGAATTTCGCAAAACAAAAAAATGCCTTTCTGGCGAATGTGTTTCTCGACCTCCATGCCAAAAATCAGCTCGAAATTCGGCCTGACGGCCGAGAAAAAGGCTGCACAGAAAACACACATACTTTTCTCGCTTATAGGATAGGATTATGGTAATCATTTTCCGGTTGACTTTTTTTGAGATAATATTGCTGCTATGCATATTTTTCTACATTGCATCCCGATTAGCATCTAATATTCATACCCGTTGTTGATTGTAATCATATGTAAAGTGTGGACCTATCATTTTGACACATCGGTTTTTGGCACTGTTTTATTGTTTGATTTATAAAATTGGCGATCCGTTTTTATAGAGATATTTTGAATACATGAAAAAATTTGACTTTTCAAGGGCTATAAGACCTGCTGTTACCATTAGCTTAAAATCGTTCTCCTCCGAGAAAATTGCGAAAAAGTATGTGAACCTATCATTTTGACCCGCACTGTATTATACACACCCTTAAACGTTTTGATACCCGACATACGTTAATTCCAGCCTGCCCGCCTCCCCTACCCGTCTCGGGAGCTTATCGAAGAAATCAGCAAAAGATTCATCGAAGAGGGAAATTATGAAAAATCCGAGGCCGAAAATACGGTAGATGGAGAGCACGAAGAAGACTATCAAGAAGCTTACGAGGAAGAGGCTGAAGAAAAACCACAAAGAGGAGCCTCTGTTCAATTTTTCAAAGCAGAGCCTGTCTACACGCCTGTGGTCATCAAAAAGGAGCCAAAAGTACCTCTTTTGTCGACTGGGCCTAGACAGTTACGGCACACGCCAAAATACGCCCGGGAGAAGCTTTGCCTTTTGCTGTAGCGCGTAGTTTTCTCGATCTGGCCAAAAGTTATGTAAAAGTTGCAAAAACAGTTCGTAATCAACCCCTACTCTTGGCTAGATCTCGACAGCGACGATACACGCCGAAAAGCAGACCTATGAAGTTTTAACGACACGTCTCCGAATTCGAAGCCCCGAAATTTAGCTTCTTAGCGTCATTTGGAACGTCGTGTAGCTGTACGAAATCTTGCAAAAATATTTTAAAAATTTATATAAATTTATCTGCCCCCACTTTCACTAGGCCTAGACAGCTACGTAAAAGCACATAAGGGCAATTTTTTATTTCTCAAATCTTCAAAATTCGAAACCCTTAAAAATTACGCTTGTATGCGTCATTTGAAGTGCCTTGTCGTTGTCGAGACCTAGTGAGCCTAGAGGGTCGAAATTTTGGAACAATCCAGTCCCTTTAAAGTTATTTTAATTCATAACGCTTTTGGCCAAATCCTAGGGTAGTTGTAATGACCTTAAATTTCGTTAAATTCAGAGAAAACAACTCGTCACCCGCCAAGCAGTTCCACGACCATTGATGCAGCGTCCTCCAGTAGTTCTGGTAATATTTTCATAAACTTTTAGTTAAACCAGTTGTATATAGAATTTGCCTTAATAATCATGTTTTAGCAATACCAAGCTCAAGTGCAAGCAGTTCAACAAGCTCAGCCTGTGCAGCAAGTACAGTATTATCAGCCCCAGTATTACCAACCTCAGCCGCAGCAACAACCCCAGGTTTTTCTCGTTTTTCCGAAACGTATAATTTTCTGTTTTTCAGTACCAGCAGCCTCAGTACCAACAATACTATCAACAGCCACCACCGGTGCAGCAGGCCTATTATGTACGTTTTTAAAGCGTACTATTAGCGTTTTAGGCGGATTTTTAAACCCGAAAGCGACAAAATCTAACTTTTAAGTGGACCTTCAAACTTTAAAATTTTTTAGACGTATAGCAAACGATTCGGAGGTACGGTAGAGGTGTAAGAGCGCGAATTCTTTAAGTATAACGTTTTTTAATGTTAAAATATATTGAAAACCGTTAAAAATTTTTTCAGAACTACCAAAACCAGCAATCACCCTACGGACTGCAGCCACAGCCACAACCGCAACAACAGCCGATACAGTACGCCGGCTACAACACCTACTATTACCAAGGATGAGATCGCATCCATTAATTAAACACCCTAATATAAAACTTAATAAAATCTAAGAAAATTGTCTGTAAGACATTTATTAGAAACCTGAAACTGCTGGAAAAATACTACTCGGCTGCACTCTTTACTATTACACATTAATAATAATTAGCGATATTAACATTACTACAGTTTTAGCCTTATGACACACTTTTCGGGAACGAATTTTTAGTGTAATTTAAAGGGGCTACGAAATGCCAAAAAATGAGTGACGGCCCGAAAATCGGAACCCTGTACGTCGGAGGCCTCTGCACACCTAGGGTCGTGGAAAGCTCGCAAATTTGAAATTGCCTGTTGTCACCTCGAAATCACGTTGTCTGCTGTTTCTGGGCCAAATTTGATGATTAAAACACCAAAACTATTTAAAACCAGCGCCCAAAACCCGCTTCGCGGGCCTTGGGCGCTGGAATGCGGCCGTTGCATGAGAAATTTGACTTTCCGATAGCTTGGGTCCTTCGGACCCTTCCCTTCCTCCGACCACACCCGCGAGTGCAACTTGCAAGAATGAGGAAATTTGTATTTTTTTGGAATTATGCAAAGTAGCCCTCCCTGGCGCCGGACACACACACACACACAGATACACTCCAAAATTATATAAATTTCACTTAGAATGCGCGAATTATAGTGTTTTCACAAAGAAACCGGGCAAAAACAACTTCGCGCAAAAATCGAAAGAGTGAGGGCCTTCGTCCCGCACGCCCGCTGGCAATTTGCCAGAAATCAAAGAGGCCTCCCAAAAGGGCTTTGATTTGGCAGTTCGGAGCCCCTTTGAATGTATTCGTACACACCCCTGACCTGGAGCTATTTTTTTGTGGTGAGCCGTCACCTGCAAAAAGCTCGCCGGCCCTTCTGGGTGTTATCAGATTGCCGACGGCTAATCCGGACACATATCGATTCATACGAAAAATTACCGTTTTTTTGGTGCTACCGTAAAAACCGCTGGATCGTTTTGTTGTGGTTTGCAGTTTTATGGGCCCCTAAACAGAGCTGTTGATTTTTCTGCAAACAAGCCATGCTTTGCATGGGGGCAATGGCAGCAAATATTGGGTATTGGGCGGTGCCGTAAACTCTCCAAAAGGATTTTTTGGAAATTTTTAGGGAAATGCGGGTTTTTTTTTAGGAATCACAGCTTCATGAACTTTTTGCGATTTGAATAAACCGTTTTAAAAACAACGGTTATTTTTGGGTTTACAACAAAAATCTGCAAACTTTTTGAGAATTCTTTCACATGGAGCTTTCTCGGAATTTTAGTAGCTTACTTTATTGAAATGTTTTTTGAAGGTTTTTCCGTATTAAATCTCGAAGGCTCGCCTTAAATAGCTTTTGAAATGCCAGCGTTTTGATGGATAAACAAAAATTAAAATCTGAGTCGCGTTTTTCAGATAGCAAAGTTCAGGATATCGCAAAATTCCGATTTGCCCAGGATTTTATAAAAAAAACAATTCCTGGAAACTTGAACTTCATAAATTCTACAGAAAAATTACGGTACAACCGGAAATTCCCCATTTGAAGTGATTACCAAAACAATGGCAAAAAGTATAGGGCGTGCCCGCCATACGCTTTCAAAAATACAACCTCGACTAATCGAGTTAACCTAAAAGTGACAGTTGTATATGGGGGGTGTTTCCTGTTCCGCTTCCTTCCAATTTACAGCCCCCCGACCAGCAATCACCATTTCCAGGTGTTTTCGCGGGACCCGCTGCGGCTATTCTTGGCTGTACAACTTATTTTTTGCAGAGAAATGCTAAAGCTCGCGGTTTCTTTCATTTTTGTCGGATTGGCAGTTTGCCAAGTGACACCAGATTACGACAACCCCGAAACGACGACGTTGCTGCAATCTGGGATTCAGAGATTGGTAAGAAGTTGCTGTTGAATAGGAAATTATGATCTTTATTAAGTTACAGAATATAGTTAATAAAATACAAATTAATGAAAAATGTAGAGTCAATTTTTTGTTATACTTAAAGAGATGAGGACGGCATCTGTTGAACCCCCCTTGGGGAGGGGGGTTCAACAGGTCCCGCGGCGATCTCGCGCGCGAGAGGGCTCCCAGAGGAGAGGCGCAGAGACATTTTCTTTCCCTCGCGTAATCGATTGACTTATGCCGCCCCTATCTCTTTAACGTGGTTCTTAAGGCCGGTTTTACTTTTTCAAAGTTAAATATAGAGTAGTTGCAAGCTGCAGGATATATCGTAAAGCTTGCAATTGGTTCGTCACTTTTTTGATTTAATGGATTTAATGAGAAACCAGGGTTGAAAAGCCGCTTCGCGACTTTTCAACCCTGGCCCCGTCTGACCCCATTTTATCCTTCACTTTGCATAATTTTCCTGAATTCAGATGACAAAAAATGAAAAACTACCTGTTCAGCCCCTTTATATAGTCGAATCCCCACTTCCGGTCTACGCTAATTGTTCCTAACAAAGAGGTTTTTACAAAAACTTAAATTTAATGTCGAAAATAGGTGAATTTGTTAAATCTGATATGCGTGCAGTCATCTCCAGGCCATTACGGATCTAATGACGTATCATACATATCTTAAAATTCCTCCCCTATCGAGATATCCTCCGGACAGACATCCGGAAGTGGATGCAAAGTGGCACACACACACACACACACAGACACTATTTTTTTATATCAACTATAATAATTTTGTTGTGGTCTCCGTCCGAAGCCGAATTCAACTCGAAGGGGAAAGGAGCTAGAGCTTAGCTCTCTTCGGATTCGGATAGAGCGTGGTCAGAAACCCCCAAACTGATAAAAAAATTACGAAAAAGTTTTAGTTTAACTTATTAAAATTAACTTTGAAAGTTTTTTCCTTAGTAAAAGGGGCGGGGGACGGAGGTTGGGGTGATTTTGGACATAGTGAGCCAGGTCGCGCGCGTTTCGTGGATGAAAATTTTCACGGGGGATTTCATTTCTTTTTTTCTTTCATTCCATCCGGTCGGTCGTTATTTTCGTTTTTTAAAAGGATTTCGGCTAGGGGAGGTATCTTAAACCATCAGGAAGGTATTTAGGTAGTTTTTGAAGGGGATTTCAGCCATGGGGGGTATCTGAAGCCATCAGGAAGGTATCTAGGTAGTTTTTGAAGGGGATTTCAGCCATGGGGGGTATCTGAAGCCATCAGGAAGGTATCTAGGTAGTTTTTGAAGGGGATTTCAGCCATGGGGGGTATCTGAAGCCATCAGGAAGGTATCTAGGTAGTTTTTGAAGGGGATTTCAGCCATGGGGGGTATCTGAAGCCATCAGGAAGGTATCTTGGTAGTTTTTGAAGGGGATTTCAGCCATGGGGGGTATCTGAAGCCATCAGGAAGGTATCTAGGTAGTTTTTGAAGGGGATTTCAGCCATGGGGGGTATCTGAAGCCATCAGGAAGGTATCTAGGTAGTTTTTGAAGGGGATTTCAGCCATGGGGGGTATCTGAAGCCATCAGGAAGGTATCTTGGTAGTTTTTGAAGGGGATTTCAGCCATGGGGGGTATCTGAAGCCATCAGGAAGGTATCTAGGTAGTTTTTGAAGGGGATTTCAGCCATGGGGGGTATCTGAAGCCATCAGGAAGGTATCTAGGTAGTTTTTGAAGGGGATTTCAGCCATGGGGGGTATCTGAAGCCATCAGGAAGGTATCTAGGTAGTTTTTGAAGGGGATTTCAGCCATGGGGGGTATCTGAGCCATCAGGAAGGTATCTTGGTAGTTTTTGAAGGGATTTCAGCCATGGGGGTATCTGAAGCCATCAGGAAGGTATCTAGGTAGTTTTTGAAGGGGATTTCAGCCATGGGGGGGTATCTGAAGCCATCAGGAAGGTATCTAGGTAGTTTTTGAAGGGGATTTCAGCCATGGGGGGTATCTGAAGCCAGCAGGAAGGTATCTAGGTAGTTTTTGAAGGGGATTTCAGCCATGGGGGGTATCTGAAGCCATCAGGAAGGTATCTAGGTAGTTTTTGAAGGGGATTTCAGCCATGGGGGGTATCTGAAGCCATCAGGAAGGTATCTAGGTAGTTTTTGAAGGGGATTTCAGCCATGGGGGTATCTGAAGCCATCAGGAAGGTATCTAGGTAGTTTTTGAAGGGGATTTCAGCCATGGGGGGTATCTAAAGCCACCAGGGAGGTATCGAAGTAGTTTTTTAAGTGGATTGCATGAAGGGTAGCCCGAAGGCCAGATGGTTACAGTCGCGAAGCGACTGGAACCATCTGGTATAGTAGGATTCATCGAAATTTTCCAAGAGTTTTTTTTTGCATACTCATTTTTCAACCCAGTCTTTCCAGATAAAGCTAAAACTTACGAGGCTTTTGTCACGAATGCTACATTTCCAATGCCTACATTTCTAGATCCCCTACCCTGCCACCTCACAGGACTGTAATTCTTGTATTACGGTGGTCGAGACAATTCGCCAGAACCAGGGCATGCATGCGTATCAGCTTACCGAGGTAAGTAGCGCTATTCGCGTTTATCCTCCATTAAAGCGTTGATTCTTAAGTTTATAAAGTCTACCGAATAAATTACTATAAAATTAAAAAAGTTAAAAATTTAACTTTAGATTCAAGTGATTTCAAAGTTATTTGCGCTAAGATTTGCTGCTTAGCCTTGTATGTGTGATTTCTGCATTTTCAGCTTGTCTACACTACTTGCGAAGGGACATCCCTACGCAACTTGGAAGATTTTTGCCTGACCGTTACCGCTGATATTGGTGAGCATTAAATTATTTTTAATTAGCATAAAGAAATAAAAACTTTTAATTATGGCAAGGAGCCTTCAAAATCGCAATGACGAATTACGAGTTTACGTTTACGTTAGAAGAAAGAAACATTTACTTGGGATCCAATTTACAATATTTTCAGACGGCTACATCACGCAAATCAAGGAAAACAACCTAAACGACCAGCAACTCTGCGACTTGCCAATTCCAGATTGTGTTAAATTTTGGGGGAATTAAATAATTGAATTAGTTTTTTAAACAGCTTTATCGAATGTAAATAAATGTATGTACATAGTATTCTACGGGCTACGCAACTTTCCGCTTGTTCGCATTGCCCAATTATTTTTCGGGATTCTGAGAAGACAGAGAGAGAGGAGAGAGAGCGAGAGAGAGAGAGAGCGAGAAAGTGAAAGAGATAGAGAGAGAGAGAGAGAGTGCAGAATAGTAAAAGGACACTCCTATTTACGGGCCCAGGGCTCCCGGTTGACAACCCTCCAAATTCTCATTAATCCGCCACCCGTCTGGGCGTTTCTTAGGTCAGTGCTTCATATTTTCGCCTAATATGGAGGCCTACTGACACTACCATTTACAAAGCTTTTCGACAAAAAACCTGAAACTATTGTTTTTCTAAGAAAATTCAAATTCAGATTTTCCGACTTGGCTTAGGCTTGGCTTAGGCTTGGCCAAGGTTTGACTTAGACTCTGTCAACAATTTTATGCCTTTCCATTCCGGTTCCATTTTCGTTTGCCAATTTTCGATTTAGGAAATGGCGATTTCCAGTTTGCCTTAAAAGCATGAAACGCCACAAATTTCGTAGCCTTAGCTACGAAGAGTGCTTTTAGAATACTGGCGATATTCGGGAAATTATGACCCTCTTTACTTGGCTGGGCTCCTTGAAAAAGCGATAATAAATCCAAGCGTTTTGAGAAAAGTGCCGTACCCACTACTTTTCCTTGCGGAGAATTATTTATAGGGTGTAGGTATCCGCCTTGCTCGAAGGCCCAAATGAGAAAGACGGTCAACAAATTTCTTTGTTTTTCTTTTCGCATGACTCCGCTAATCCGTTCGCCGGTTTTACGCGGAATTTTCGGGTTTTTAGGGAGCTGTAGAAATGGATTAATCGTATTTGGGATACGAACTAAGCTACACAAGCCAAGCCCAAGCTAAGCCTAAGCTATGCCCAAGCTAAGTCTAAGCTAACAAGGGAACCTCACGCGGACAGGGTGGAATTTCGAAAAACGCTCGCGGCTACCCCTAGGTAATCGACCATTGCGATCCCGATGCGCTTGTCAGATTTTTCTGAACGCACCTGTGGACAGAGATACAGCACTTCCGGAAAATGCTGATTTGCATGCGAAAAATTAGCATTAAGGGATTGTTTATTAGGCTCTCCCATCACTATTGGACCACCAGTTGAATGGCCGAGTGGTAAGCAACTCGCTTGGTAGGATACTGACGAGGGTTCGGATCCGCTCACGATTTTTTCGTTTTGCTTTTTGGCAACTCTTTTGCAAACGTCCAGAACATCGCCAAAATTGATGAAACCCCCATACTTTACCCAGGATAATCCCTTGTTCTTTTGAATTTTTGTTCGAAAAATATAGTCTCGACATCGATGCGGACGGCCATGCATCCTTTGGCACGCCAGAGAACAAAAAATTGAAACCAGAAAATGCTAGAAGCACCCCTGGCTCCTGCAAAAATCGACACCTAAAGATTTGGGTTTGATCCATTAACTGGTCTGGACTTGTGAAGAATCTCTGGCCAAAAAAGCAAAACGAAAAAATCGAGAGCGGATCCGAACCCTCGTCAGTATCCTACCAAGCGAGTTGCTTACCACTCGGCCATTCAACTGGTGGTCCAATAGTGATGGGAGAGCCTAATAAACAATCCCTTAATGCTAATTTTTCGCATGCAAATCAGCATTTTCCGGAAGTGCTGTATCTCTGTCCACAGGTGCGTTCAGAAAAATCTGACAAGCGCATCGTGATCGCAATGGTCGATTACCTAGGGGTAGCCGCGAGCGTTTTTCGAAATTCCACCCTGTCCGCGTGAGGTTCCCTTGTAAGCCTAGGCTAAGCCCTAGCTAAGCATAACCTAAGCCCAAGTTAACCCTAACCTAAGCCCAAACTAAGTCTAAGTTAATCCTAACCTAAGCCTAAGCTAAGCCTAAGCCAAGCCAAATCTAAGCCCAGTTAATATACTTTAACTTTTTCCACCCAAAATCAATTTTCGGTGCACCCGATCAACCCAATTACTACCAGCCCGGCCGAAAAATCCGAATAAAATGGGCATAAAAATGATAGGGGCCTTAAGAGGGGGGCCAGGAAGGCAGAAGGCGTTATCAGCCAGCCGTCGGAAGGCTCAGATTCCGAGCCTTTCCTCTTCTCGGGCCCTTCATTTTCAATTTTATCTACTGCGTCACAGTCTCGCGTACCGCTTCTTTTAGGGAATACCAAAACCCGAAGAGCCGACGGCTAAGTTTTGCATTTTTAAATTTTTTGGCCATTTTTTAATCTTGTAAATTTAAGTTTCTCATACTAATATTAATAAAATATATTGATAAAGGGAAAATTAAGTATTTTTAGATTTGATCCGGACGCTGGATTTTATAATTCGGGCTTACCCTTAATTTATGATATACTATTTAATTTACCGCATAATAGCTTTAAAGGGGTGGGGAATCGACCTCGTTGATTGATTAGGTTACGTCAACACCACGCCACACCAAATTATGTGTACCAAATCAGTATTGAGCTCGGTTGCTGGAAGTTCTTAGTCTCTTAAAAGCTTTGCAAACATATAGTAAAATCAAGATTTTTTCGAGGTACTTGGAGAATTTTTACACCAACCTCCGATCCATTCCGTTGTCAAAATCATAATTTTGAGCGGCACCTAGTTTTTGACACCCATCAGAGGAACGGGTCGATTCGCGGCTAGCTAGTACTTGATTCGAAAGTTCCTGGTTTATCAAGCTTTTTCACGTGGCCTTACGAATGCCCTTAGATCTTTATGTAATATTGATCCAGTAAACTTGTTGATGTTTCCCCTGTCCTGATGTTCACGCCGCGCTGTTGATGTCCATCCTCTGCGCTTGCTTGCCCCTTACGAAAGAAGTGAGTCATGGCGTTCACCTTCTGTCTGGCCACCATTCCCACCATCGAGAGGATGTCCAGGACAGACCATCGGAGCTCCGTTTCTCACGTACTATGGCCCAGCCTCTGCGATTCGACCGCCAGACGAAATGCAGTCCGGCCATTCTGCATTTCTTTTGGCTTTCCCTGTGCAAAGCAAATAAGGATCTATCAAAAAATTTCTTTTCTTCTGAATCAGGTCTTATTTCGTCTGAAAAAAGTAGATTTAAGAGAATTTTTGAGATGTTTTTGCTTCAAAATTCGTCTACCAGTAGCACTCCGTTTTTTTTTGTTGTTAAATTCGATGGCTTTTTGCAGCATGATTCTTTCTAGTGGTCGTTTTTTTAAAGTTTTTAGATAAATCTTTAGTTTTAGTGATTTTCTCGGGGATACATGATCAGTTTTAAGAGGCTTAGCCTTAGACTCTTATTTTCCTTTTCAGAATTTTTCAATTTTTAAGGCATTTTTTTAAGTAAAGTTACCCCGAGATTCAACCATCGGCAATTTCATCCGTAACCTATCCTATTTTATACGTAGCCTTAGTTTCGATAAAAATAGTGTTTTGCCACCTGGATACGGTTTGAAACCTCCAGCCTTGAAAAGAGCTCTGAATTATTCATACCTACCTTCTCAATGTATCGAATTGATTCGCCCAGTCGAAGCGCTCCCAAATCGCCACGTCCCGAATCATATTTGCCTGCCCCTCCTCTTGCCGTCTCTCTCTCCCTCTCCCTCTCTCTCTCTCTCTCTCTCTCTCTCTCTCTCTCTCTCTCTCTCCCTCTCTCTCTCTGCATATTGTTTTTCACACGGCTGTTCCACAACGGTGGGGGCTCCCTGGCTAGGGGCACAAATTATGCTCTTTTTCTGTGGAAGTCCTTAGCAAAGATCAGCTTTCCGTTGCCCAACTCTTTTTCTTTGCCTAGGTCCATGCTGGCAAATTGCCAATCTGCTTTAAGAATTATCTATTAATTATATTTTTAATATTTAAGAATGTAACGGAGTAGTTCAGACAATAAAATTCTGCCTTGGTAGCCTTGTTCATACAATAAAAATTGTAGCAATTTTTAACCTTAATTTTTCTTTATTTCTGTTTTCTTTTGCGACCGTTTGTCTTGACGTGTAATAGAGGTTTTTCTACCAAAACCATAATATTAACGGCATGGTCAATTCAACTTTTAGGGCAATAATGACCGAGGACGCGAACGTTGAGATTGATTTGAAGCAGGTCCTCCCTGCCGTCACCTATTTGGCTCCACTCATCGCCTTTGCCATCTTCTTCGGCGTGGTCTTCCTCCTCTCCATCACTTTCATTAACTGGTACGGTAGATGGGCAATTTTCTTAAAGGTTCCAAACGATTTTATCAAAATCTTCCAGGATGCACCTTCTTGTAGGTACTTGTAAATTTGAAAAAGCAAGTTGATAGCTAAAGACAGAGAGAGACAGTGAGAGTGAGGGAGAGAAAGAGAGAGAGACAGACGGACAGAGAGAGCGTGAGCGAAAAAGAGAGAGAGACGAGAGAGATAGACAGACGAGAGAGCGAGAGAGAGAGGGTGAGCGAAAAAGAGAGAGACGGGTGAGACCGACGAGAGAGAGTGATAGAGAGACAGACGGACACAGAGAGAAAGAGAGCGGGTGAGCGGAAGAGAGAGAGAGACGAGAGATAGACAGACGAGAGAGTGAGCCTCAAACATGAGGGTTTTGTCTAATTATACCAGGCTACAGGGTGAGGCATATATATGGCAACACTTTCCCGGGTCTCTCAAAAAATGAAGTAAACTGGCTGGGCTTCAATAATTTGCCGAAACATAGCCACCAGTTACCTGTAACCACTCTTAAAATATTAGAACGCAACAACCCTACAAACTTTTGTTCTGAGGCAAAAACTGTGCGTCGTAAGGGTGGCGTTGGCACGGAACGCCTTGGAAGCCAATTTCAGCATGGTTCAGAAACGTCGTTTTGGCCACGAACGGCCCCAAAAACATGTGTACCACCTAGTAGTGACAAGTAAAGGTAACTAAAACAATTCATTTCCTTTAAGTAAGCAGAAATTTTTGAATTGTTCTCGGCTAGCCCCAAAAATAATACTAAAAAAAGTAAA